TTTATATGTATATGGTACAAAAATGTAAAAAGTAATCAAAGTTATTGGTAGAAAACAATTCATTAAACAAATAATGATGATATTTTTGTAACAATAAATAAGTTGTAAAAATTTCTTAAAATTATATAGTAAATACAATTGCTAAAAATTAAATAAATAAATTTATTTCGGAAAAATCAAAATGACAATATAAATAAATTATAGGAATTATCAAAGATATAATATAAATAATTATTATATTTATTTGACAATTCTATGATCACTTATTCCCATAATTGAATTTATAACAAAATAAACTAAAATGAACTTAATAAAAGCTGATACAACATGTGATTTATAACAAATTCGGATGTATTGACCGTAACATGTCCATATTTTTTCAATTTAACAATGTCTTAATGTCTTCGATAAAATATGTGTATGTATATATATAAAATTGTCTATATACAAATACGAATGTGTTCCAAATTCAAATTTAAATTTCTATTTTTTTTAAAAAAATATATATATATATTTTTTTTACTTATAAAATATTCCATCAAATATTATTTTAATATCAAATTCAAATTAATTCTTTTTAAAATTCAACCGAAAGAAACGCATCGGTAGTGTGGGTCATACTCGTCATAAATATATTAAATGATTTATATATGAATTTTCTTTTTAATTTATTTTGATTTATTTGATATAAAAGACTACTTCTGAGAAAATGACATATGTAAATTATATTTTTATTATGATTTAATTTTTAAAATATTTTAACTTTTTTTTTTACGTTTAATTTTTTTTAAAATTATATATTATTTGTTGTTAAAAATGTAAAAGTATTATATTAAAATAGTTATTTTTGTTATATTTAAAGATATTTTTTTTAAAAATGATTTATTGGCAACTATATCAGCATTAAAAAACATTAAGGTATTATTTATAAAAACACAGTTATAACTTACAAATTTAATTAAATATCTCAAATAAAATTTTGTTTTTTGTTTTTGTTATTTTAATTTTTTTTATGCGAAAAATAAATAAATATTTATTTGGTTTGTGAAACTTATGTTATTGAATGGGTTTGAAAACTAAAAAGTAGTTATATGAAGTAATGTTTAAGCTTAGTAGATAAACATTTAGGAAAGGTATTATGAGAATTCATCAAGGAATTTATAAAAAAAATAAATGATGAAAATATAAAAAATAATGGCAAATAATATCATAAGTCCTAATTTTATTTGTAAGTAGTGACAAATAATACTCTTCTGTTTAATCGATCTGTTTATTTGCGATACGATATTTAATTAGTTAATAATAGAAAATTATGATATTATTTTATTATTTTGTATGTAATTAATAAGGCTAAGGATCATATACAGAATGCTTAAAAAAAGTTAATATTTATTTTATATCATTATTTTATAATATTAATATAATTATCCTACTTAAATTTTAATGTGTCAGCATTGATGCTTTGAATAAAAGATTTCAGTATTGATCTGTATTAAATTAATAATATTGGTAGTTTTAAAATAATTTTAATATTTTCTTTGTCGCAGAAGTAAATATTTATTTATTTTTTGCACGTAGTTTTAGAAATATTAGTATTATATTGAGATATAGTATGAATAAAGTAGAAATGACAAACAATCTTATTAGTATGTATGATATAAAGGTAGTAATATTTGTGTAATATATTGTAAGTTGTAAGGGTATTTGTAATGTTAGGTAGATAGTACAGTTACTAAAAAAGGAAATGAATACTTTGTTATGCGACGGACTAAAATGGAAAAATAGATATTTTGTTACGAGACGGATGAAGTATATATTGTTAAAAAAATTTTAAAATATGTATTTAAATATTTTTACAAACATATCACAATAAAAAAATATACTCAATATGAATATTATTTTGTAAATAATAAAATTTTCTATAATACAAGTAAATAAGAAAAAAATATATATTTTGTCAGGACTCAAGAGAGCGATATATGACGTTATATTATATATTGTGTAGTTAATTAAGTTGATTTATATTTGTTAAATATATTTTAATTTAGTAAATTTTAACCAAAAAAAAAAAAATATCAATCGGTACAAGACAGAAAAAAATAGAAAATGTATTAGTTAAAATGTGACTGATGGAGTAACAATTTTGATACTGTTTATATATATATCCACTATTTTTTTTTTTTTTTATTTTTTATTTTTTATCAATTTTTTAATAAATTTCTAATAATATTTTTATTTTATTTTTTTTTTATCCACTTACTTTAATATAATTATACTACTATTATAATTAAGCCTCCGTATCTACCGAATGATACATAAGTTTCCGACACGGAGATGGTATAATTTTTCCACATAAAATATTTTAAAATAACAAAAATAAAGTATAAAATTTTATTTTTGATATATTTAATTAAATTTCTATATTATAGGTATATTTATTAAAATTAATATCAGAATGCAATTTTAATACGATATAGTTGCTAATAAAAGTGTATAAATTTTTTTATAAAGTATTTAAAATATTAACAATGATAATTAATTTAGTAATATTTTTACAATCTTTAATAACTCACAATAAAAATTTCAAAAAAATATTTTAAATACTAAAAGAATAAAATCAGAATATTTTAAAATTTTTAAAAATATAATATATATGTCATTTTCTCAAAAATAATTTTTAAAATTTAATATAAAAACGATTTGCATTATTAATAGAATAGAATTGACAATAAATTAGAGAAAATAGGTGTATTCAATTTATATTTTTAAATAAATGTGTTTTTAATGTTTGATTTGTAAAATTTGTAATATAAAAAATTAATATTTTTTATTGAATTATTTTTATTTTGTAAGTGAATAAAATCAATATTATATATATTATGTTAATGTATTTATATATTATATTTTTTATTATTATTTTTAGAAATAAAAATTATTAAATGAACAAATTACACATATATAATTCATTTAATGTTGTCCCTTGAAGTTAAAAGAGAAAATATTATAGAAATATTTTTTAAAAAATTGATAAAAAGAAATAATAATAAAAACTAGTGAGCTAAGTAAAAAACCTGATAAATTGATTATTATTTATTAAAATCTGAATAATAAATTTTTTTATTATAAATAAATTATATATAAATAATCAAAATAAATATATAACATAATTATAAAAAATACGGAAAGTAATTATAATGAGCGGGGCCACATTCATTATTGCCCGTCATTCACCAACCGAATTCAATATGAACCATTGGATACACCAACCTAACAGTATTCTGAATTTATTTTGTTCATATAACTAATAACATCTCCGTCTACAAAATAAGTATACATTTACTTTTGGCGCGGAGTGTAGATAAAAGTAGTGAAATGATATTTTTGCCCTTACTTTTTTGGTATAAAAGTAATGATGTGATGTAAAGTAGGGGTATTTGTGAAAAAAATGGGGTATTTAATAAAATTGTTATTTTGTAATTGGACGTCCCAAAATAGAAACATGTATATTTTCTAGCTGGACGGAGGGAGTATTAAATACTGTCTCCGTCCCAGATACCGTATCTGCTACATGTACATACCGTATTTTAGGAGGAGTGTAATGAGTAGATAATTGAAAATAATTATCCTATAATATAAATAATTATAAATTAAGATTAAGATAACTAATTAGTTTAATTAAAATTAAAAAAAATAATAAAATTAAAAAATTTAAAATGAGATTAAAGTGTGTAATTATTTTCTAAAAAAAGAAAGTGACATGATACGTGGGACGGACAGAAACGGCAACTTGTACATTGGGACGGAGGGGAGGGAGTATTTTTCTAGCTAATGGATTGTACAATTAAACTGTAGAATCACGTTTGGCATTAACATGTTGTAAGAAATCAAAGGCAAGAAAGTCCAACATATAGTCCAAAATTAATCAGTGCAATGGTCCAAGATGTTCACTCGACCCTGCACCTGATACACATGTGCTTCCGATGCTAAAATTGCTGAAAAAATAAATTTATTTTAAAATTTTAAAATAACATGCCTTCCTCCTGATGGTGACGGGACGGTGCTGGAAGAAAGCCGCCGGTGCAATGAAAAATAATTCCGATGAGCAATAAAGCTCTAATTAAAATCTCGTTTGGAGTAACATCTGTAAAGTATTTTTGATTTATGTTTCTAAAAAAATATTTATTCATGTATGTATGTATTGATTTTTCTTTCTTGAAAACAGTAGAAGCAATTTTACTCTCTAAATTATAATTTAAACCCTAATAATAATAACAACAAATTAAATAATTATTAATTTATACATTTTATTTTAATTAAATTTAAAATTATAAAATTTAATTATATAGTAGATAATTTAATATTTTTAAATATAATTTATAAAGTTAAAAATAATTTGTAAAATAGTATTATTTAAATTTAATTATATTTTTATTTTTCATTTTTATATAAAAAAATACAAATGTAATTTACACATACAATTTAATAAATATATTTTCAATTAGTTTAGATAATTAAAATTTTTAATATAATTTAGAAAATTCTAAATAAATTAGAAAATTTTAATCAATATACTATTTACTAGGTCATATTTTGCAACTTTAACGATTTAAAAACACTTTCAACTACATTATATCCAAACAATTATTTTATTATTATTATTATTTATTTATTTATTTTTTATAGAATGCTCTTTTTATAACTATTATCCAAATATAAAATTGAACTGCTGCTTTTAACTTATGCTCCTGATCCAATTCCAAAGAAATCTGGTTAACACGATGTAAGTCGTGGATTTAGGGGTGGAAGTGCAATATATGGCAGAAAGTTGGAACTTTTAAAGCGGGAAACTGAAGATCTCCGGCGACCGGCTGATCACCGGACATCTCGGATAAAAAGCTCAACGACCATGGAGTTTTGATTTCGTCGCTGTTTATCGTGTAATTGTTGGATTCATCAGTGAAAGATTTGAACAAAATGTATCTGTTGTCGACATTAGTAGCAATCGCGAACGGCAGGAAGTGCCGGAAGCTGGCAGCAGCGGTGGCCGGAATAACAGTGAGAAAAAATGTAATGGGATATTGGAGTGAGGGTAAAATAGATATTTAAAAAAAAAATTAAAAAAAAATATATATTTTTTTATGTTAGATTGTAGCACGTGCCACAATCTCAGCACTCGGACATGTGTTAAGGGTGCAGGGTAGGTGAATCTGAATGGAATCTTCAACATTGTGGCTCTAAAAATTTTGCTTCATGCCCCTACAAAACGTACAAAAAGTTTGTGAGGACCAAAATCGCTCGGAAATTAAAGATGGATATCAGAAAGGACAAGAAGAAGAAGCCTTCAAGAAGAAACTTAAGAACCTCTGACAAACGAGGACCATAAACTTAAATCTCCTTATCAAACTGTCAGCAGCTCCTGTAGTAGAATGGGAACGATCAATCAACCTGACCTTACGAGGATTGTCGTGTAGCAGATTCAATAATTTTAATGGAGTAACTTGTTTGAAGTGGGGTACCTTCTCTTTTTGTTTGTAGATCGAATCGATTTTCTTCATGTATTCATCAGTTACTTTCTGCACATAAACAAAATGCAAGCCAATGCAGCATTCATCTTTTGCTTCTATGTGGAGAAATAGGATGTCGACATGAAAATAACTATGGCTAATGATAGGGGAATAACTTAATTTCTTGTATTTATGCAGTTGTCATGCAAATTTGGGATCAAGTCCCAAGTTCATGGTGTCGAAATTCAGCAAAATGTTTAGTGTAAATATGAGAATCAAGAAAAAAACCACAAGATTGGACAGTTAGTGCAGTTCTCGATAATGTGGAGATTAGGTGAAACTTCTAGGAGGTGAAATTCTTGATTTTCATATTGAATTTCACCTCATAATGAAGATGAAGCAAATGCAAACTGCAGAATTTTAAAGTCTCTAGAATACATAAATTAGAACTGTGGAAATATTTTGAATTTGGTGGCTCACTTTTAGGTTTTGCAGCCGAGACGAACACAAAAGTGTATGGGCATGCGGATGGTTATACAGACTTTGGACAAAGAGCTCACACGGCCCGGCAGAAGAGTGCCCGATGACCCAATCTAAAAATCATGCAACTTTCTGCTGCCACTACAGAAGTGAACATGGCTGTGCCAATAAGGGCAAGGCCAAGACGGGGTATTTTCAGGAGGTTTTGCGCTTTTATAGTTATAGTTAGTGATATCAAACCCCTAGCGACAGACTTTAGTCGACTCTTGAGTGGATTGTGAAGTTTCCCTCCCTAATCCTTATGATTTAGGGAGGGAAACTTTTTGACAGAATGTGTTATTATACTTTATATAAATAGTTCTAGATTTTGACATATTAGTGTGAGGTGAGCTCAATCATTGTTTTGGAGTTCTATATCGATCATCCTTAATGGAGATTCCATAGTCTATTTGGGGTTTTCCCGATTGGATTCTGTGTAAAATCTATGTTCCTTGTTCTTGATTTGAAACTCACATCTTTCAAATATTTGTGAATGTATGTGTTCACAGTAAGGCTAAAATACTACTGTATTATTCAATCCTAAACATAACACAAGTTCTTTATGACACTTTTCTCTCCAAGGTTAGAGTGGATTTCAGTTACACAAACAGATTGGGTTTCGTAGGTATCTAGTGGTTTCTATTGGGAGAAATATGTAGTTTTTGTCTTCCTGTCATCGGTGGGATTTACCAGTCAAGTCATTTTGATAAGATGAAGATGTTCTCTTGGGAGTAATATATCAGTCAAGTCACAGCTAAAGACCTGTGTATTTTATGAATTATGTATGTTTTGATTCATGTGGCAATGCTAACCATATAACTGGATTAGGACAAAGAACAGGACTTTCTAGAAGTTTCATGTAATCTCCACATTTTCGATCAAATGAAATAAATCTAGGTACCTGCAAGTCACTTGACAGGTCCTTGACATTGTCCTCCGAGAGTTTTTTCTCCTGTTAAATACAATGCAGTTTATTCATAATTTATAAAGGAATAATAAGACAGAGAAAGAGAGAGAGAGTATAGCTTTAGAGACCTTCTCAAGCTTTTCATAAGATTTAATGGCATCCCTTCTAATATTCCTTACAGCAACCTAAACAGAGCAAATAATGGCCGCCCCGATTTGAGAATAAATAAACTTCAATTAATATTGAATAACAAAGGCATGTAAACGATATGAAAATTCGACATTGAAAGATCATACAACAATAATGATTTCAGAAAACCATGAAACATACCATTGCAACAATTGCAGCCATGTAGTCTAAGTGAAACAACATAAAGGGTTTACTGAAACAAAAGGGTTTACCTTTCCTTCCTCAGCCTGCTTGGCCACAATCTTTGACAATTCCTGCAATCATTGACGGGTAAAACTTCTACTAGATTATACAAATGTTGCAACCAGACATCAACTTGTTTAGTGTAGCCATGGAAGATATCATGCAATACCTTTCTCCTTTCGGATGTCAATTGTGGAAGCTTCAATCTGATTACGTCTCCATCATTGTTAGGAGTCAAACCAAGCTCAGATCCAACAATCGCTTTCTCTATAGCCTTCAGACTGAAACTCATGTTCAACAGTAAGTAATTGGTGCAGGCAAAAACCCAGCATGTTATTGCCAGTTGAAGAAAGCTAATAAAACACACAAGGGGAACCAATCGCTTCATCTATCTTAAAAAAAAAAAACATAAAGAAAGGTAAATAACATTGTAGGTACCTCGGCCATTGTATCACTCGGTTTCAAACGTAAAGAAGAGTGCAATAATCCCATAAATATGATGGTCTATTTGCTACTTCTTTCATCTATTTCTCAGACAAATATGATAGTTTTCCAGGTAAGTCAACGTGCGTAACTAACCTATGTAGTGAGAGTATCTCGACAAGATGATATTAGTCGCTAAAAGAACAGTGAGGAAAAAAGTGTCAAAGGGCTAACTGTAATATTTACCGTTTTAAAAATGATTATACACTTAAACGAATGAAGTGCTAAACGAAGTCTAATGAACTAAAGTGCCTATACGATGAATTGAATGGTCTATTCAACTAAGTCCAACACCACTCTTTGAGGTCCCTGATTTGCAGCACATTATCTTCATGCATTAACAAGAAGGATATAAAGAACTCTAAGTTCGATATTTTCCTTAAACGAAAAGTTCAAAAAGTTCAACCTCGACTTGTCATAGGGCTGCACCAACAGAGAACTGGAATCAGGGGTACTGATCTGAGCTATAGTTTTCAAGAGGACTGGTGTTCCATAATACTCCACCTGAGTATTGAGATGGGATCAATACAAATCCTGTTTCCTTTCATAACGCAGGTATTACAGATTTCTAGCAGTATATGCTCACCTCCACTTTATCTAGTATTGCTGGATTTGCTCTTCCCGTTCTGATTGAGCTGAAACTGGACCTCAAATTATCAATAGTCTTCTCCATTCTTTCTTTCTGAAACAAAATTGCAATGTGGATGCACCATTAAGCCGTTGATGGCATACAAGTGGGCGAACAAACTTAAAGAATGATATATCCTTACAGCGTCTTCCTCAATCATGGACTTCTCAGCTTCTATTTCTTCAATAGTTGCGCATCTAAGCACACCTATTCTGATAATTGGGAAGCCGCAATCGACATCAGACTTTTGAAACAAGAAAATCGAAACTACAACAACAGAAGAGCATCATTTCGCGGAGCTTGCCTCTTCTTCAATGGCTGCTTATACGCCAACCGACTCGCACGATACCCTCTCGCCGCGACATGAACTTTGACATAACTTGCCGAGGCACGCCAAGGACTCACGTTAACAAAATCTGCACCAATCCAATCCTAACCGCTCGCTAATACAACAATTTAACAACCGAAACCCGAAAACGACTAAAAGCGACAAAAAATTCCACCTGGATATGAACAGCAAGGCTTGGGAGTACTAGCAGCGAAGCAAATGGAACGCATGTGAGACGCAGGAGAGAAAATTGCCGCCATGGATGCACAACCTGCTCGACCAATTCCCGAGTTAAATTTCAGCACTTTCTATGTATCAATCCAGTTGAAACACTTCAATTTAGATTTAACAGCAGCAAACTTACAATCACCGAGCGATGAACTTGCGGATAAGGGCGAGCCGCCGAGCCCCAAGCACTATGTCAGTCGCCCCCAAAAATCTTCCAACGCATATGTATACCCCCGAACTGCGAAGTACAATAATACCCTCGGTCAAAAACGAGAATCCCAATACTACCCTACCGAAAAACCCCATGTCCATCTCCATTTTCATTTCTCTGCAAGATTCACGAAAAGGGAATGAATCACCAGTCAAAAACATGGCCTAAAGCATATATTCCCAACCCATATCCTACGCACTCATGCATTCATTGCCTGCTTTCTTAACCAACTCGTTTTTATAAATTGGAAATTGCAAGAAACATTTCAACACTATTTTGATCACCATGGAAGCTGCTGTCCTGCTCCTATTGCTGCTTCTAATGGCTACTGCACCTTGCAAGGGCTCCGTGTACAGAGTTGGGGACTCCCCTGGCTGGACCATCATCGGCAACGTCGATTACCATTCTTGGTCTTCTTCCAAGACCTTCCGCGTCGGAGACACCCTCAGTAAGTCCAGTCAATCCATCAAATCTTGTCGGTTTCATTTCTAATTTTTAATTTTAATTTCTAGTTTTCGAGTACGATCCGAGATTCCATAACGTCCTGGAAGTGAGCCGGTCGGACTACCACTCCTGCGACTCGACGGCGCCGATCGCCAACTACACGTCCGGCAACGACACGATAGTCGTCCGGTGGCCGGGGCATTACTACTACGTCTGCGGGTTCGTCGGCCATTGCCAGGCGGGGCAGAAAGTGGACATACGTGTGCCGAAGCCAAACCGGCCCAGCAAAGACCGGACCGGGACGAGCCTAAACCCGTCGCCGCCCGAACCGGTCGACCCGAAACCGTCCCAAATCGGTCCGCTTGACCCGAGCCCGTCTCCTAACAGTGGAGACTCGGAGTCGTCTTTCATGTTCTTGTACGGACTCATTTGGCTTCTCAAATTGATGGTTTTATTGGATTAGGGTTTTGTTTTTTGTTTTTGTTTTTTTTTTAAAAAAAAATTAATTTATAAATTTGGGGTGTTGTTAGAAAGTGGAAGAAAATGGTGTGTGGTAACTGATCTAATTTTGAATTTTTTTTTATTTTTTAACATGAAAATGAGAGATTAATTAAGAATTAGTTAAGAGAAATGACAGAAGAACTGACTGGAGTTGCAATTGGGACATCAAAGGTGTGGAAATATAGGTGCAAAAAGGATGAAAGATGAGTGTAAGTCGCCATTTGAGATGGTGAGGTTGATTGATGCATGCTCACAATAAATATTGCAACACTTGCATTTCACCGAATCTGGTTATTAATAAGTATTATACAAATTAAACATGCCTTGCATGCCTGCTATAACGTGTGCACGGTTCAGATATTTGTAAATATATAGATATTTGATATTTGAACTTAATTGAACAAATATTCCAATTAAATCAAATAAATATCCGAAATCGCAAACTGTATCCGAACCGAAAATATTTGCAAATAATTCGAACTGAATCGAAATTTTAAAATAATATATTAAAATTCTAATTAAATCAAAATATTTGCAAATATTTCAAATATGTGAACCGAAAACGAACCGAATATAATTATTAATATAAATTTTAAAATATAATAACATAAATATATAAATATATTTAGTTTGATTAACGAACCGAAAAAAATATCAAAAACTGAAACTGAACCGAACAAATATCAAATATGCAATATTTATATTCGAACCTAATTTGTTCGGTTAACCGAAAATTCAGTTCGATACAGCAGGCGGTTCAGTTCGTTTTTTTTGGCCACCCGTACATGCTATGACACGAGTTTTTATAGTAACCAATTTTTATAATTAGTATTTATATTCTAATAATTGTTATTTAATTATTTCCATTGACGATGCAAAATTTTCTTGTAAAGACATCTTTTAATTTGTATTCAATTGATATCCCTTTCATCGTGTTTATATTATCGTCTTGGTACACCCCACGTCTCATTGTTTTTTTGGGATGAAATATTATGCATTTCAATTATAAATTATATTTTAAATTTTAAATTTTTTTTAAAAAATTAATTAAATTAATTAGTTATCTTAATTTAAATTTATAATTATTTTTAATAATGCAATCTTAATGATTTACTAAGATGTGTTTGTTTATGAGATTTTGGCAAAATTATACTATTCATCACATTTTTTCTTCTCTTAACAATATAAAATCAAATACTACTTATTTTTTATTTTTTTATATTATACTAAAAATTAATTTTATATTAAAAATATCATATCAACACTTATTTATATCACATCATATAACTATTATAAGTTCAAAATTTTTACTATTCAAATATTAACCGAAGATCCAAACCCCAAACAAATACAACCTAATTATATTCTCACATCTACATAATAGTTGATACCATATCCAAGACATAAAGAGTAATGTTTTTGGATTATAGCATAAGATAATACTCCCTCTCTCCCATATATGGTGTCCCGTTTACTGTAATACGAAAATTTAGGAAAAAAATAATTAGTAAATAATTAAAAATGTATATAGTGAAAATAATTATTATTTAATAAAAATAATTTTAAATTAAGATTAAGATAACTAATTAGTATAATTAATTTTTTTTTAAAAAAAATTAAAATTGTAAATGACATTAAAATATACTCCATCCGTCCCATTGAAAGGTTACCATTTCATATTTTCGTCCGTCCAAAAACAAGGTTACCATTTCCTAATTTAGTAATTGTACTACCTAGCTAACGTAATAAATATCCTTTCAACTTATAATATATTACACAAATGTCATTACTTTTATATTACACCATACTAATAAGGGTATTTTGTCTTTTTTACTACAATCCAATATAATACTAATATTAAAAAATTTACGTGCAAAAAGCAAACGCCACAATTCCAACAGGACGGAGGGAGTATAATACTTTTCCAAAAAAAAAAGTGAGAGAATAAGTGGGACAAACGAAAATAAAAAGATGAATAAGATAAGTGGGACGGAAGGAGTAATACTTTAATAAATATATAAATAGAAATGTGAAATTAATAATTGAATGAAAATTATATAGACAATGCAAATAAATTACTACCACCCTTATTCAAATCTATCTTCATCATCAAATCAAATGAATTAAGCACAAATTTATATGATGGATTAAGTATTTAAATGTAACAGCCTAAATAGAATCTAAAATTATTTGGATAAAAAGGGATTAAATATATATTATATATTTATAAATAATACTCTCTCAGTTCATAAACCAACGTTCTATTTTTCTATTGAGATGTTAATAATTATTGTTCTCTTTATTTTGATACACATAATTTACTTTTTTGCTCTTACTTTATCTATCTTTTTTTTTTATATATATATACAAAATAAAGAATAAATTTGTTATTTTTTAATAAAAACTCTAATTACCTAAATATACATATAAATATTAAGACATTAGAAAATGGACGGAGAGAGTATAATACAATAAAATGATAAATGAACAATAATTCCGTAAAAAAGTTATTATTGAATTTGAGGCTGCATATTTCCATGTCTTAACCATTTTTTAAAAAAATAAAAATAATAATATATCAATATATTATATATTCTTAACAAAATCATTTTATTGAATTCAGTATATTAAAAGCAAAAAAAGAAGAGAATTTATTGTACAGGTGAGTGCGTTAATTACGTCATTAGCATCAAATTTAATTAATTATTGTTTATGAGTATAAATACGAAAAATTGTATCCGCACTGTAATCCGCGTTGGCTCAGTTTCACTGAGAGAGAGAAACTGACATTTCCAATCACACCATCAATGTGCTTCACCATTTCAACGTGACCTGCGCTTTAATTTGATTCCTCATACGAACTTAATTCTCTCTCGGTTACCGACGCAGAGGATTGGAATGGAGTTGAGCAAGGTGACGCTGGAGATTTTCACTGAGATGGAGAAAAAGTGGCTGCAGCAACAATGCGAGAGCCAAAAAACGCGAGTTTTGAGCATCGATGGCGGAGGAACAACTGCGGCTGTGGTTTGCGCCGCTTTGGTGCATCTGGAGCACCAGATCCAACGAAGAACTGGTAATTCCGACGCCCGAATCGCTGATGTTTTTGATATTGTTGCTGGTACTGGAATTGGCGCTCTCGTTGCCGCGTTGCTCGTCGCGGATAATGGCTCCGGTCGTCCGCTTTCCTCTGCCAGAGGTGCCGCTGAATTTGTGGAAGCGAGACAGGCGGAGCTATTCAAAGTCAAAAAGTTTGGAATATATCGCCGGCGATCGAGGTTTTCTGGAAGGAGCATGGATAGAGTGTTGAAGGAGGCGTTCCGGCGTGATGATGGTGAGGATATAACTCTCTGCGACACATGTAAGCCTCTCCTTATCCCCTGCTTCGACTTGAACAGCTCGGCGCCGTTTGTTTTCTCTCGAGCCGACGCCTCAGATTCCCCGAGCTTTAATTTCGAGCTCTGGAAAGTGATCCGCGCAACATCAGCGACGCCTTCGATGTTCAAGCCGTATAAGCTCTCTTCCGTCGACGGTAAAACCTCTTGCCTGGCGGTCGACGGCGGTCTCGTGATGAATAACCCCACGGCAGCGGCGGTTACCCACGTTTTGCACAACAAGCGTGATTTTCCGTCGGTAACTGGAGTAGACGATCTGCTTGTCCTCTCTATAGGTAACGGCTCGTCAATTAGTCCATCAACGACGAAGCTCTATCGCAGCGGCGACTGCTCCACAGCTTCAGTCGTCGGCATTGTCCTCGACGGAATCTCCGAAACCGTCGATCAAATGCTAGGCAACGCTTTCCGCTGGAATCCTCAAAATTACATCAGAATTCAGGTGACTCAAATCAATCAATTTCCATCCAATTACCGAATTATCAACCGAATCTCCGCAATGAATTTCGTTATTCAAATTGATGCACAATTTCTCAGGCCAACGGCGCCGGGAACTCCGCGAGTGAGGTGTTGACGGAGAGAGGAGTTGAATCGTTGCCATTTGGCGGGAAGCGATTGGTGAAGGAGACCAACGGAAAAAGGATCGAGGCGCTCGTGCACCGCCTGTACTTGAGCAACAGCCTGCCGCAGAGTCCTTGTGAAGTAACGGACGTTACACCCCTCATTAACGGCCGTTAGCACGTAAGTGATCACATTTCTCATCCTTTTTTATTTTTATTTTATTTTATTTTCGTATCTCCTTCTTGTCGCTTAACTATTACTTTGCCTTAATTAACTACATGTTGTGTGCCACTTTTAATTGAGTCCAAGTCTTGTTTTCAATTTATTTATTGTGTTAATTAAATTTAATTATCATATGAGAGAGCTAAAACTAAAAGCATGGTATTCTCAAAGTTCTTGGTTTATTTTCATTGCTTTATATATTTATTTAAAATAAAAGTGGATATTGGTGATTGATTCTTTCAATAAAGTGAAATTGAAAAGGGCATCGCATTGATTGCCGAAGCTTAATTTCAAAATTTGTAAGAGAGCTTTTAAGTGAAGGCAACTAAGAATAATTAATTTTAACTAGTATATAATTTGCATTGTAATAAGACATTTTTTGGGGTGGGTGGGTCACTGTAACTAACCTCATCATGAAATGATGGTGGTTATTATTGTTAGGTTTAAATTGCTGGAACTACTGTTTAATTAAGGTAGATATATAAATTAATTAATTCAGTAATCTAATGATGAAATAAATAAATAAATATATAAAACCCACTTCAAAAAATATATTTATATTTCATGCTTAAAGCAAAATACTATCCAACAAAATTTAAAGCACTCATATGGCCTTTATGGGTCACTACTAATAATGAAATAACATTCCTTTTAAGTATGCTTAAGCTTTTTGGTTACCCACACTTTTTATTTAAATCAATTGTTTCACAATTTGATAATAATTCAAATAACCACTTGGCCAAGGGTTTAGCATTTCATAAATCAACCATATATCATTTATAATAGTATACTCCCCCCATCCCATGTAATATGAGTCTATTAGTGTAGTAACTAAAAATAATTATAAATTAAAATTAAGATAATTAAATAGTTTAATTAAAATTAAAAAATTTAAAATTTAAAATTTAATTAAAGTGTATAATCATATTTGCAAAAAGAAAAATGACAAATTATGTGAGACAGACAGAAATAAAAAATATAAACAAATTATGTGGGACGAAAAGAGTAATACAAATACAATAAATAAAATACTCCATTCGTCAATATAAAAAGTAAACATTTATTTATGGCGCGGTGTTTAATAAATAATAATATTTTAATCACAATTCGTAGTTAAAAATAGTGTAATGATATTTTTGCCCTTACTTTTTGGTGTAAAAGTAATGCTGTGATGTAAAGTAAAAGAATATTTGTAAAAAAAATAAAGTATTCAATAAAATATTTACTTTGTAATTGAATGTCCCGTAATAGAAATATATACTGGACAGAGGAAATAAAATAATATTATTCAATCTAATATCATATAACAGTAAATATATCCTAACGTAATTAGATATACTGCAAGATGTGATCGATTTTCAAGTTCATGCATGCATGCAGGTGTCCGTACAGAATTGTATGCATCCATGCAGCAATGTCGTACCCAGCAGAGGGTGACCATACATACAAAGAATTTAGGGCACTGTATTGTACACATAGATTCATTTCTATGACTTTAAATACCTATTTTATTTTATTTTTTTTTTATTATTTTTTAAAAAATATAATCTATAATTAAAACAACAAAACACACACGTAGTTGCGTTTATATTATACAGTACTACACGACAAATTCTGATTACATTTTGTACTTGCATCCCCGACACATGATAATAAACTAATAATACACATTATATTATTATTATTATGATTATATATATATATATATGCAGTCACGAAACTAGCATCTAAATTTCGGGGATAAAATATTATAATTTATTTAATGTTTAGCTAATAAATATAAATAAATAATAATGATAGAATTATATGTGAATTTAGATAATTTTTGAAAGGAGGGACAAATTGTATATAAATACATAAAAATTAATATTTTTAATACTAAAAAAATCATAAAAAAATTGGCCTAAGGTACCCCAATCCCTAGTGTAGTTCCGTCTCTGTATATAATTATGTATGTATATGTTTGTGTGTCAGTACGTAGCTCAACATCAAACGATGTCAATCTTATCAATTCACGTGTTGTGTTCTATATTATTGTCCTTACTATATTCAATTTATTCAATTGTGGTAAAAAAAAATTTAGGGTGAGGAAGGTAATTGTTTAATAGTCTTTATCTTTCCATTTTGAACGATTCATTTTATTAATTTGTTAATAATAATAAATTATAATATTATTTTATTAGTTTTTAGGTGAGTATTAATATTAGTAATTTTAGAATAAAAATTATTAAATGATTAAAATAAATTAGAGTTTATTGAAATATAAATATTAGTTAATAATAAGGAATTATGATTATTGGATTTAAACCCTTGATCAAGTGGTAAAATATAATCTATTATTATTTTTTTAAATTTGTCAGCTAAATTTACTTTATTATTAAATTTTGACAAAATCAACAAATTAACATTTAAATATTATCCTCTATTCTACATCTTCTCTTTTCATTTTTTTTTTAATCTAACTAAAATTTTAAAAATAATTCAAATTACTTTTTACTTTTATTATTTTTTCAATAAAATATTTATTTTTTAAATTTTAATCCCGGATATAAATACTCTAATTTTATTAGACGGACAGAGGAGGAAATAATAATAATAATAATAATAATAATAATAATAATAATAATTGATTATTGGGCTGAACCGGCCCATGGGCAGCTTGCTCTCATTGGCCCATTAACCCACACCAAAGCCCAAACTATCAAACAAACGTCACACTGTAAGGAGAACGCAAATTCGACATGTACGTGATTACAAGAATGGAAAGGACTTATTTGTAATGTGTAGTAAAAATTTTGAAACGTAACAATTTTGATAAACTATGTTGAATATATTTTTCTAATACATATACTATCCTAAATAAAAAATAAATATATAAGTAATATCATATATTTATATCATATATAAATAAAATAAAATTACCGTATATAAACAGAAAATATCAAGAAAACCACAGCCAAACAAACCCAAATTCCTCTTCATCTAGCAACTTAGTGTGCACAAGTTGGATCATCTTTACTTGCCACGTTATTGCCTTCCACGCCACAAGCACCCGTCCGAAGGCAGTTACGAAACTAGTATCTAAATTTCGAAGTGGGACAATGTTATAATTTATTTAATATTTAACTAATAAATTTAAATAAAAAATAATGATAAAATTATATATGAATTTAAATAATTTTAAGAAGGACAAACTATATATAAATACATAAATTGGGCTTGGGAGGTCAATTGCCCCCAAAACCCTAGTGTAGTTCCGTCCCAATCCGACGGTCGCCGAATCCTCCCGTCACGGCAACACCGTCCCGTCTAAGTGTCGAGCAATAGTCGTCGAACGTGTCCACCGTGACGTGAAGTCGGAAGTCCAACCCGAATAGCAGCTTCATCTCAAGCTTATTTAGCTCCGCCGTGCTCACGCCTCCGACTCTCGCATAGTACGCATTGTTGAAGAATCTGACCACAACCACGTCACATTCGCAAATATATTAATTAATTATAATTACGAATATCATAAATTATAATTAGTTATAATATACTTTCTCCATTTGGCTCTTAAGGAACTCATTTACTTTTTGTATCATTGTATTTAACATTAAAAATATCCTTATAATTGTATAATTTTTTGCACAAATGTTATTGTAATAGTATTATAAGACACTAATAGAAGTACTTTGTTCTTCTTTCTTTAATTTATATTATGTTTTCATATAATATTTAATATTAAAAAATTAATACGCAAAAAGTAAATGGAACTCTTAGAGCCGGATGAAAGTAGTATAAATTTATGACACCATATCTAGACGTCACTTTACTTTTCTATATATCGTAGAAAAAAAACAGCACAAGGAACTTATTAATCTTTTAAGTTTCTTCTGCCATTTCTTTTCACGATGAAATATGAAAAAGTAAAATGACGTCTAGACTTAATATACATACATATATAATAAAAATAAAAGGAGAATAAATAGTTTTGTATTGCTTACGAATCATCGATAAATTTCGCGGCCACGACGACGGCGGCGATGAGGAGGCGGTGTACGGTGAGGGATGTCAAGATTAGGGCCGTGCATCGGATGAATCGGTCGATGTACACTTGTGCAAGGACGAAGCACGAGGGGCTGCAACGCGAGTACTTGAAGATCCGTACGACGTATTGGTGAATCGTGAGGGACGGCGCGCTTACTCCGTGGAACAACGTGGCGCGATCTTTATATCGTGAAGTCTCGACCATCCTTTCGTTTTTCCGGACCGATCTCTCGAGCAATGCCGAGAGAAGCGACAATACCCGAGGCTCCCTTCGCCTCTCGCCCCTCGCTTCGTATAGCCCCAATGCCACGTAGTCATCGCTCGAGGAAGACCCGTTTTCGTCGGCGACGGCGGATTTAAGTGCCAAACTTGACATCCTTTAGAAGACATTGATGGCATGAGTCAGTACATGATAATATACAACTATACTCAATTTTTATTTGAAATATTAAGGCTTTGTTTACGGCACACATTTTCATTCATCTGACACTATTTATTTTTAAAAAAATATTACATCAAATACATTTTTTCTTTCACAAAATATTAAATTAAATACTAACTTTATACTTTTTTCTAAATTTCCAAAATTTCAAAAACCTCCAAAAACTTTAAATTTCACCTACAATATATATACTAATTTAGTTCCAATTCAAAATACTATTTTTATTATTTTTGTATGTACCACTTCAAAGTATTTATTTATTATTTTAGAAAAATAATTATACAGGAATATCAAAATACCCTTAATTTTAACTGAAATTACAAATATATCATTACACTTGTAATTACTTTAGGTATAAATATAAAAAACTCTTACATACTTCTACTGGTTAATAAAATACTATTATTTTATAATCTACTACAAAATCCCAAAAAATATAAAAAATATTTACGTACTTCCATTAGCCAATAAACTATTATTATTTCTTAATCTAATACAAAATACAAAAATGTAAAAAACTATTACACATTTTATTTTTTTAATCTATCGTAAAATCCCAAAAAACTCCGTTGACCTGGGACGAAGGGAGTATATTTTATTATTTCTATCCGTTTACTACTTAAATATTATTTAACATGACAAAGTAAATATTATGAATATTTTCAAACTTATATTTATTTACATTTGTTAACTTTTTTTACTAAGATCTAAGTTGAATTCTTGAATTCAATCTAAACAATTGAAACACATATAAGGATGAAATCTAGATTAAGACAAGTCAATCTTTAAATTCTCAGCAACACATCTGATTCAAGAAAACACAGAGACACAAGTAATTAATTGAACCAAAAGCTGAATAAAAATCAGTAAAAGGGAAGCAACAAGCAAATAAATCTCAAGAACAACACACATGTACAAGCCCTCAAACTATATATCTATCTATCCCAAATCATAAACAATCTAATGAACAAAACCAAGAAAGTTCAATAAATTAAGTTCAAAAGCTTACAGAGAGTTTGGGGAAGAACTATGAGAGATCTGCTGCAATTAATCGAGCAAACAACAAAAGAACACTTCTTCTCTTTTTGCTAAATAAAGTGGAGGGCAAGCAAGAAATATACCTGTAGCTATTTTTCCCCTTTTAAAATTGGGTGAATTTGTTAATCACATTGCAATTGCAGCAGAACCCCACCTCCATAATGCCCTCCATCTCCATTATACTCTCTCTCTCTCTCTCTCTATATATATATATATATATATATTATCCTCTTTAATTTTGACATCAGAGATTAGGAAAGCGCCGTTCTAATGGCCATTGAAATAGAAAATACAAACTACTCTTTGCTTTGTCTGCAACTGCTTTTAATTAGGGTTTGACGTCGCTGTCAAGCTTCCACCCAATTAAACGTGGTTGTTCTTTGAATTTGTTAGATAAATTAAAAGACAGTAATATTTTTTTTAGTTAATAGAGTTTTATAATAGATTAAAAACTAATACACTTTTTTATTTTTATCCGTCCCAAAACAAGGTTACTATTTTTAATTTAGTAATTGTACTATCCACTTAACATAATAAATACCATTTTAACTTACAATATATTACACAAATATCATTACTTTTATATTACACTATACTTAAACAGGGGTATTTTTGTCTTTTTACTACGATCCAATATAATACTAATATTCAAAAATTTACGTGCAAAAAACAAACGCTACCCTTCCAACTGGTCGGAGAGAGTACTTCATTCGTCCATAAATATAGTCTTAATTGAGTTAGGCACAGAGATTTAAAAAATATTGATATTATATTGGTAGTTGGTAAAAAATATGGACAAAAAACTCTTTTGTCTTTTGTGAGTGTACTAGTGTAAAAAGTAGTGACAATTGTGTAATAAAAATGAAAAAAGTAAGGGTAATTTTATGGTGATATGATTATTTATGAAAATAAGACTATTGTTTTAGTACGGACAAAAATGGTAAACAAGACTATTGTATTAGTTAGGACGGAAGGAATAGTATTTTATTGGTTAGTAAAAATACGGTAAAGTTTTTTTGGTATTTTTATTTTTTGATTTTGTATATACATTAACTGTATGTGTAATAATATTTTCATAATTTAGATAAAAAATTAAATATATTTTGATATTAATATATAATTTTTTTACCAAAAATGAATACATTAGAATAATCATACGAAAATAGTTATAAAAAAAAAAAAAAAAAAAAACTATTTCTATCCATTTTTAATGTGTTACTTTTGTCATTTTAATCTATAACTCTTAATTTATTTATCTGTCAGTAATAATACTTTTCATTTTCAAGAAGTAAATATATACTCCCTCTATCATTTAATAATTTATCTATTTTTTTTTATTTTGGTACGTTCCGTAATAAAGTATTAATTTTTGTTAGTAATTGTACTACTTACTTAACATTATAAATACATTTTCAATTTACAATATATTATACAAATGTCATTACCTTTATATCATGCAATACTAATAGGGTTAATTTAGTCCTTTTTATTTTTATTTCTACTTTATTCTAATATAATACTAATATTTATAAAATTTCATGTAAAAAACAAATAAATATATAAATATGAAACGAAAGAAGTATTTTATGATCGAAACAATTTATATATATAAAATGATATAAATATATTATTACTAACGAACTCAATTGAATTTCCTGCGGATTAAATCTCAACTCATTCATGTACATAATAATTCTTGAATTCAAATTCGACTCGTGAACTAATCAATTTTTTCAAGAGTTATTTTTCAACAACACTTAACTACTATAATTAAAATAAATATTTTTTTCATCAAATAATACACTTAATTCTAAAGTTATTTCGATAAAATTTTAAAAAGTAAAATAAAATTGTAATAAGTAGTCTATTAAATCCATGAATCATTACTCAACTTAGCCCAACTTCAAAGTATCGTATTATTGATAAATGAGCTTTATAAATGTAAATGCCTAGGTAAGATTATTAATACAGCCCAAATTTACCCTATTTTTCTGGCCCAACTAGGCCCAATTAAAATGGGCTTTTAAGGTATTCAAATGTAGCAACTGCTCCGCCGAATTTTCTCAGCGGGAGATTGTCTCTCTCTTGCCTTTTTCTCTCGATCTCTCTACAAATTCAAAAATTTCAGTTTTCCGGTTTCTTCGAGCGGGTTGCTGTCCAACGGATCTGCGATAAGAAATCCTCAGGTTGGATTTTACTCTTTTCACTTTGATTTTTGTGGAGTTAGATCTAGGGTTTCGGTCGGCGGCTTTTTTTTGTGTTTCCAGTTCACTGGTTTGGTTATTTTCCCCTAATTTTAAATGTTGATGATTTGAAAATTTATTGCTTCTAATCTGTTTAGATGTCTTCGCCTAAATATCGTATGCGGATTTAGTATTTATTGTGGCTCTGGCTTTTGTTAGTTGGGAATTGAATGTTTTGTTTGACTTTTTTTACTGATTTCGTGTTTTCGCGAATTTTGCTGTTTTGTTTTTGAGACAGTTCGCTTCTGTTCTGTTCAGTTTTTATTGAGTTTGGATTAGAATGTTGTTATTTTGTTGTAAATGTTCGAGTGATGAATAATGGTGTTGCATTTCTGGTAGGTTAATTCTGATTTCATGTTTTCACGAACATTGCTGCGTTTTTATACCATTTTGCTTCTGTTCTGTTCAGTTTTTATTGAGTTTGGATTAGAATGTTGTCGTATTGTTTGTAAATGTTCGATTGATGAACAATGACGTACCATTTCATTTAGGTTAATTCTGAAATGGAGATTCCGGCCATGTCTGTGAAATTGTGGCCTCCTTCTCAAGCTACGCGGCTAAAGCTTGTGGAGAGGATGACCAAGAATCTTGTGACTCCTTCAATTTGGTCTAGAAAGTATGGTTTATTGAGTGAGAAAGAAGCAGAGGAGGATGCCAAAGAAATCGAGGCTGCGGCTTTCGATATTGCGAACCAACATTTTGCTAAGGAGCCCGATGGCGACGGCTGTTCCGCCATCCAGTTATATGCGAAAGAATCAAGTAGGCTCATGATCGAAGTCATCAAACGAGGTCCTATTGCAAAAGTCGAAGCGGATCTTGGTATATTAACCAAGATTAAAGGATCTGAGGGAACTTCTTTTGATATATCCGGAAATCCGCGGAAGGAAATCGACGCCGGAGATGCTGAGAAGCTGTTCAAAGCCTTGAAGGAGTCTGGCGTTAAGTATACAAAGATTTGCTTTAGCAATACGAGTTTCGGCAGGGAGGCGGCACTTGTTGCCGAGCCTGTATTGTCTTCGATTAAGGAACAATTGACGGAAATCGACTTATCGGATTTTGTTGCGGGGAGGAACGAGGAAGAAGCACTCGATGTAATGAAGATATTTTCTTCGGCTCTGGAAGGCACTAAACTACGGTATCTTAATCTTTCAAACAATGCGTTGGGCGAGAAGGGGATTCGGGCATTCGAACCACTTCTGAAATCGCAAGATAATTTGGAAGAACTGTATCTGATCAACGACGGCATTTCGGAGGAGGCTGCGGAGGCAGTGTTAGAGTTAATTCCCTCGACGAATAACCTAAAAATCCTCCATTTCCATAACAACATGACCGGAGACGAAGGAGCGGTAGCGATTTCGAAAATGGTGCGTAATTCCGCCGCGCTGGAAGATTTCCGGTGCTCGTCGACGAGGGTCGGATCCGATGGAGGCATTGCTCTAGCTAAAGCACTCGGATCATGTAATCGGTTGAAAAAGCTCGACTTGACGGACAATATGTTTGGCGTCGAAGCCGGTTTGGCGTTGAGCAAAGCATCCTCGGCTTTTTCGAATCTAACAGAAATCTACCTGACGTATTTGAATCTCGAGGACGAGGGTTCGATCGCGATATTAAACGCGCTACGGGAATCTGCTTCGTCTCTCGAAGTTCTCGACATGGCCGGGAACGAAATCACGGCTAAATCTGCCCCGGCTCTCGCTTCCTGTATAGCTTCGAAACAGTTTCTTTCGATCCTGAATCTCGGCGAGAATGAACTTAAGGACGAGGGTGCGATCTTGATAGCCAAGGCCCTCGAGGAGGGGCACGGGCAATTGATCGAAGTCGACGTGAATACGAATCTGATTAGACGAGCGGGTGCTCGACGTCTTTGCCAGGCTGTTGTGAAGAAACCCGGGTTTAAATTGTTGAATATCAATGGGAATTATATATCCGATGAGGGTATCGACGAGGTGAAGGATTTGTTCAAGAACTGCCCCGACGTTCTCGGTCCTCTCGACGGGAACGATCCCGATGGAGATGAATATGACGACGATGAGCATGACGTTAAGGTTCGTGACGGCGGCGGCGACGAACATGAATTGGAGTCGAAACTCAAGGGCCTTGAAATTAAACACGGAGAGTGAGAGGCATTGCATGTTTTGTCTTAGAAATGCATTAAGACTGTGATGATTTAATTGCTTTGTTGCTACATTTAATTCTACTTTCTTGTTTAGCTTTGTTTTTCTTATTTATGATCAACGTCTTTAATTTGAATTTAAATTGAAATTTTCTGTCTATTATATATTTTGATTAAGGAGAAACTCTTGTAAATATATTTAATTTTATTTATGTTTACAAAGTAGCAACCAAGTGGCTGTAGTTTAGTGGTAAGAATTCCACGTTGTGGCCGTGGAGACCTGGGCTCGAATCCCAGCAGCCACATTTATGATTTTTGAAAAATTTAGGGTTTGTTTTTTAAAGGAAAATAATTTAACATAGCCGTTGATTTTTTATTTTTTATTTATTTATTTTTTTGACTGAGGTTAAAACATAATAGTGCTATTAATTTCGTAGCCGTTGGGAGTTTGCTGGTATAAATATGGATGTATTTGAGAGTGAACTTCCTCGAGCCGTCCAGACTAGCCGTTACAGATTCTGAACGTTGCTTTTCCTTCCTTCCTTCCTTCCTTCTCCTTCTATACTGTTTATTTCTCTCTCAAGTCGGGTCCAGGGAAAGCTCTAATGGCGGCTTCTGTGGAAGCTTCGTCTCCGTCTTCCTTTTGCAAGGTGTGTATTCATTTTCTTGCTTTATTTCTGGATCCTCTGTTTTTGTGTGTGGATTGAATTGCTCAGTTTTGGATTCTTTTACAGGGTTCTCCGAGCTTGAATGACTGTTCTTCTCCTCCGATGTTCAGTCCTCCGTCCAACGAGCGGTTCTGGAATACTCTTCGAAGTCGCGTCGATGCGCTTCTCGAGAATCGGAAGCTCGACGAGCGGTCCTTGCCGCCTGCACAGTCGGTTAGATATATCTTCTTTTTTTGAATTACCGATCGATTCATCAATTTTTGTGTCGATTCGAAGCTGATTTCGAGGAATTTGTGGTTTATTTGTTTTCTGGTTTGTAGAACGCGGAATCAGAAGGGAGATCGAGAAGAATGAAGGAGGATTCGATGCTTTTGCTCAGGGGATTCGATTCAGTAGCCCAGACGCTCTCGCAGCTCTCAAACAATCTAGAGAACGCCTTGCAGGTTACACCATATTATTCACAATTACTTCAAAAACGACCTAAATTGCAATTTCTCAGTAATTTCGGCAGTCAATTTAGGGTTTATAAATTCTCTGTGTTGGATTTTTGTAGGGAGCTAGGGATTTAGCTACACCGCCCACAATGACTGATTTAGTTCAAGCTGCACTTAATCAAGCCAAGACGGATGAAGAAAACCAATTAAAAGAAGGGAACCAATACAAGGAAGAAGATAATGAAGTAGACAAGAGAGGGATGAAGAGGAAATTGGATTCAGAGCAAGTGGAAGATGATGGACCATTAGAAAAAGGAAAATGCCCTGACGATATGAGGAAGATTCAAAAAGCCAAAAATGTAGGTTTCTTTTTCTTGATTTTTCCTGCAGCAATCTTCCTACACTCAGCAGTGATTGATGGATCAAGGTTGTTTTCTAGATGGCGATTTCCATGGCAACAAGAGCCGCTACCATGGCCAGAGAATTGAAGTCAGTTCGATCGGATCTAAGCTTTATGCAGGGGAGATGTGCTGTGTTAGAGGAAGAGAATCGAAAGCTTCGTGATGGATTAGGAAATGGGATCCAACCAGATGAAGATGACTTGGTAACACTCGCTCATTTCACCAGCCCTTCAACTAATCTATCTACATTGCTAAGATTTTGAAAGCAATCCTAAATTTGAATATGAACTTTAAAGTTGCTTGAATTCAGTTATATGAGCTTGACTAGGGGAATATTCTTCTGTTAATGGTGGTTGAGCATATTATTATTATTATTATTATTATTATTATTGCTCTGGTATTAAATTGTGAATGATGCTGGAGAGCTATATAAATAAACTTGTAAGTTGCTTCAACAAATCTATCTACATTGCTAAGATTTCGAAAACAAATCTGAATTTGAATATAAACTTGCTTGAATTCAGTTATGAGTTTGACTTGGGGAATGATATTGTTTGGCTAATGGTGGTTGAGCACTATTATTGTTATTCTGGTATTGCATTGTGAATGATGTTGGGAGAACTATATGTTTGTGTGCAGGTAAGGCTTCAACTGGAGGCACTGCTGGCAGAGAAATCGAGACTGGCGAATGAGAATGCCAACTTGAAAAGGGAAAACCAATGCCTCCACCAGCTTGTGGATTATCATCAGATGACCTCGCAGGATCTTTCGGCATCGTATGAGAACCTTGTAAAAGAAATGGGCCTGGAATTCTGTTCTCCTGACGGTGAGGGGGGATCTTATAAGACACCATGTACGCATTTGTCAGAATTCTCCAAGTCATTGGATGAGTATTTTGATGAGGATTAGTAAATTAGAAGCAGCAGCAGTACTGTAGAGAAAAAGACTGATTTTTGCCTTCCTATTAGGTATAAATTCATTTATTTGTTGGTTCTTCTCTTGGATTCAAATCTTGAAGTTCTTCTCTTGGATCCAAATCTTGAATTTATTCGTATGTGTATTAAAAAGATTACTATGGGCAAGGGTTCTTGAGAACAATCTTTCATGTGAATAGGAGTTTTCTGTATCAAGAAAACAAGTTTGATGCACTAAATTTAGTGGAAACCAGTTGTTATAAGCTAAAAATTGTTGAATATTTTTACATTATCTTTTTTACTCCATACCTTGTAGAACCTATGCTGGAATTATCGTATACTAACCTTGTAACTTCATATGTTCTCTGAGGAAATAAAGCTAGCCAAATAAAATGTCTCTGACAGTGGCATTAGTCTTCAAAGTGATATATTCGACTGCTTTTCAGAAGCTCGTTGAGTGCATTGTGCGCGTGCCTAGAGATGGCAAGTGTTTTGTTGATGTATATTCTGTTTGATTTTGTTGAAACCCTCTGAACAAATGACACCATGGAGATCAATGCTTGTCTTACAGATTCATTGCTTCAACATTATGATAGTTAGGTAAAATTGCCCGTAACTTCCTCATGGTTTCAAAACTCAGTGTAAATTCTTCATTTACTTAAAAATTGCATGACGTCCCCTTATATTTTGAAAAATGTTGCATGAAACCCCCTGCCATGCAAAACATATAGATAGGAAATCATCTTCTTATCACACGAGGAAAGTTTCATGGTGGTGGGGTTTCATGCAACGTTTTTTAAAGTATAAGGGGTACCATGCAATTTTTAAAGTACAGGGAGATTTTACGCTGAATTTCGAAACTACAGGAAAGTTATAAGCAATTTTACCTGATAGTTATTTTCGCCACAACTAATTTCTCTCGTGTGTTTGTCTCTTCATTGATCTGAATATTTCATTGGCAATGCTGATTAATGTACAAAGAATCATTTTAGAGAAGATGACCTCCAGTTGTCCTCCTTTTCTGGTATTTGGCATTGCGCACAAGCGTTATTGTTTAGAAAAAAAGAGAACTAGTAACATGAATTCCGTAGGTGAACCTGCGAAAGGATTATTGCCGATGTCTGCCCCGGCAGGCAACAGCGAACTGGTGACCCGACGTTCGAATGCCGCACAGCCGTCCATCGAGACAGAGTGGGCGTCCCAAAAAACTCATGTACGAATTTTCGTGAATATGTAGGCATAAAAAAGGGATTTCCTACGATGCACGTCGCGGCCAAAACTCGCGAACGAGGACCTTGTCCGCCATTCACGGACCCGCTGTTCAGCCGTATATTGCAAACGAGGATTCACGCAGAGACGCCGACGGAGCCGCGTTATCGCGCGATGTCCAACAAGCGTTATCGTTTAGAAAAAAAGAGAACTGATTCCGTAGGTGAACCTGCGAAAGGATCATTGTCAACGTCTGCCCCGCCAGAGAGCATCGAACTGGTGACCCGACGTACGAATGCTGCACAGCCGTCCATCGAGACAGAGCGGGCGTCCCAAAAAACTTCTGCACGGATTTTCGTGAATATGTGGGCATAAAAAAGGGATTTCCTGCGATGCACGTCGCGGCAAAAAATTGCGAACGACGACCATGTCCGCTGTTCACGGATCCGTCGTCCAGCCGTATATTGCAAACGAGGATTCGTGCAGGGATGCCGACGGAGCCGCGTCATCGCGAGAAGTCCAACAAGCGTTATCGTTTAGAAAAAAAAGAACTAGTAACATGGATTCCGTAAGTGAACCTGCGAAAGGATCATTGTCGACGTCTGCCCCGGCAGACAGCAGCGAACTCGTGACCCGACGTACGAATGCCGCACAGCCGTCCATCGAGACAGAGTGGGCGTCCCAAAAAACTCATGTACGGATTTTTGTGAATATGTAGGCATCAAAAAGGGATTTCCTGCGATGCACGTCGCGGCCAAAAATTGCGAATGAGGACCTTGTCCGCCGTTCACGGACCCGTCGTCCAGCCGTATATTGGAAACGAGGATTCGCGCAGGGACGCCGACGGAGCCGCGTCATCGCGAGAAGTCCAACAAGCGTTATCGTTTAGAAAGAAAAGAACTAGTAACATGGATTCCGTAAGTGAACCTGCGAAAGGATCATTGTCGACGTCTGCCCCGGCAGACAGCAGCGAACCGTGACCTGACGTACGAATGCCGCACAGCTGTCCATCGAGACAGAGTGGGTGTCCCAAAAAACTCTTGTACGGATTTTCGTGAATATGTAGGCATCAAAAAAGATTTCCTGCGATGCATGTCGCGGCCAAAAATCACAAACGACGACCTTGTCCGCCGTTCACGGACCCGTCGTCCAGCCGTATATTGCAAACGAGGATTCGCGCAAGGACGCCGACAGAGCCGCGTCATCGCGAGAAGTCCAGCAAGCGTTATCGTTTTGAGAAAAAGAGAACTAGTAACATGGATTCCTTAGGTGAACCTGAGAAAGGATCATTGTCGACGTCTGCCCCGGCAGATAGCAGCGAACTCTTGACCCGACGTACGAATGGCGCACAGCCGTCCATCGAGACAGAGTGGACATTCCAAAAAACTCCTGCACGGATTTTCGTAATATGTAGGCATCAAAAAGGGATTTCCTGCGATGCACGTCGCGGCCAAAAATCGCGAACGACGACCTTATCCGCCGTTTGCGGACCCGTCGTCCAGCCGTATATTGCGAACGATGATTCGCGCAGGGACACCGACGGAGCCGCGTTATCGCGAGAAGTGCAAAAGGTGTTATCGTTGTGAGAAAAAGAGAACTAGTAACATGGATTTCGTAGGTGAACCTGCGAAACAATCATTGTCGACGTCTGCCACGGCAGACAGCAGCGAACTCGTGACCCGACGTACAAATTCCGCACAGCCGTCCATCGAGACAGAGTGGGCGTCCCAAAAAACTCGCGCAGCGACGCCGACGGAGCCGCGTCATCGCGAGAAGTCCAAAGAGCGTTATCGTTTTAAAAAAAAAAAGAGAACTCGTAACATGGATTCCGTAGGTGAACCTGTGAAAGGATCATTGTCGATGTCTGCCCCGGCAGGCAGCAGCGAACTGGTGACTCGACGTACGAATGCCGCACAGCCGTCCATCGAGACAGAGTGGGCGTCCCAAAAAACTCCTGCACGGATTTTGGTGAATATATAGGCATCAAAAAGGGATTTCCTGAGATGCACTTCGCGGCCAAAAATCGCGAACGACGGCCTTGTCCGCCGTTAACGGACCCCTCGTCCAGCCGTATATTGCGGACGAGGATTCGCGTAGGGACGCTGATGGAGCCGCATCATCGCGAGAAGTCCAACAAGCGCTATCGTTTAGGAAAAAAGAGAACTAGTAACATAGATTCCGTAGGTGAACCTGCGAAAGGATTGTTATCGACGTCTGCCCCGGCAGGCAGCAGGGAACTGGTGACCTGACGTACGAATGCCGCACAGCCGTCCATCGAGACAGAGTGGGCGTCCCAAAAAACTCCTGCACGGATTTTCACGAATATGTAGGCATGAAAAAGGGATTTCCTGCGATGCACGTCGTGGCCAAAAATTGCGAACGATGACCTTGTACGCCGTTCACGGATCTGTCGTCCAGCCGTATATTGCGAACGAGGATTCGCGCAGGGACGCCGACGGAGCCGCGTCATCGCGAGAAGTCCAACAAGCGTTATCGTTTTGAGAAAAAGAGAACTAGTAACATGGATTCCGTAGATGAACCTGCGAAATGATCATTGTCGACGTCTGCCCCGGCAGACAGCAGCGAACTCGTGACCCGACATACGAATGGTGCACAGCCGTCCATCGAGATAGAGTGGCCATTCCAGAAAACTCCTGCACGGATTTTCGTGAATATGTAGGCATAAAAAAGGGATTTCCTGCGATGCACGTCGCGGCCAAAAATCGCAAACGACGACCTTGTCCGCCTTTTGCGGACCCGTCGTCCAGCCGTATATTGCGAACGAGGATTCGCGCAGGAACGCCGACGGAGCCGCGTCATCGCGAAATGTCCAACAAGCGTTATCGTTTAGAGAAAAAGAGAACTCGTAACATGGATTCCGTAGGTGAACCTGCGAAAGGATCATTGTCGACGTCTGCCCCGGCAGACAGCAACGAACTGGTGACCCGACGTACGAATACCGCACAGCCGTCCATCGGGACAGAGTGGGCGTCCGAAAAAACTCCTGTACTGATTTTCGTGAATATGTTGGCATAAAAAAGGGATTTCTTGCGATACACGTCGCGGCCAAAGATTGCAAACGACGACCTTGTCTGCCGTTTGCGGACCCGTCGTCCAACCGTATATTGCGAACGAGGATTCGCGCAGGGACGCCGACGGAGCCGCGTCATCGCGAAATGTCCAACAAGCGTTATCGTTTAAAGAAAAAGAGAACTCGTAACATGGATTCCGTAGGTGAACCTGCGAAAGGATCATTGTCGACGTCTGCCCCGGCTGACAGCAGCGAACTGGTGACCCGACGTACGAATACCGCACAGCCGTCCATCGAGATAGAGTGGGCGTCCCAAAAAACGCCTGCACGGACATTCGTGAATATGTAGGCATCAAAAAGGGATTTCCTGCGATGCACGTCGCGGCCAAAAATTGCGAACGATGACCTTGTACGCCGTTCACGGACCCGTCATCGAGCTGTATATTACGAACGAGGATTCGCGCAAGGACACCGACGGAGCCGCGTTATCGCGAGAAGTCCAAAAGGTGTTATCGTTTTGAGAAAAAGAGAACTAGTAACATGGATTTCGTAGGTGAACCTGCGAAACGATCATTGTTGACGTCTGCCACGGCAGACAGCAGCGAACTCGTGACCCGACGTACAAATGCCGCACAGCCGTCCATCGAGACAAAGTGGGCGTCCCAAAAAACTCGCGCAGGGACGCCGACAGAGCCGCGTCATCGCGAGAAGTCCAAAGAGCGTTATCGTTTTTTAAAAAAAAAGAGAACTCGTAACATGGATTCCGTAGGTGAACCTGCGAAAAGATCATTGTCGACGTCTGCCCGGCAAGCAACAGCGAACTGGTGACCCGACGTACGAATGCCGCACAGCCGTCCATTGAGACAGAGTGGGCGTCCCAAAAAACTCTTGCACGGATTTTCGTGAATATGTAGGCATCAAAAAGGAATTTCCTGCGATGCACGTCGTGACCAAAAATCGCGAACGACGACCTTGTCCGCCGTTCACTGACCCATCGTCCAGCCGTATATTGCGAACGAGGATTCGCGCAGGGACACCGACGGAGCCGCGTCATCGCGAGAAGTCCAACAAGCGTTATCGTTTTGAGAAAAAGAGAACTAGTAACATGGATTCCGTAGGTGAACCTGCGAAAGGATCATTGTCGACGTCTGCCCCGGTAGACAGCAGCGAACTCGTGACCCGACGTACGAATGGCGACACAGCCGTCCATCGAGACAGAGTGGGCGTCCCAGAAAACTTCTGCACGAATTTTCGTGAATATGCAGGCATCAAAAAGAGATTTCCTACTATGCAGATCGCGACTTACAAGGAAGCGTACGACGAAACTCTGCTTGTTGGTTCAGCCCTGAGGGCCCATGGTTTTGAACCTGTAAGAAATTAATATCATCAACCTATTATTGACTCACTCAATAACTGACTGTCTTCAATAAATATTAGTACTGTACTACTCAATTTCTTACTATCATTTACCGTTACTTAAATCTGTCATTTTGTTGAAGGGTGATCGCGTTGGAATTTATGGTTCAAATTGTCCCCATTGGATCGTCGCCATGGAGGTCAGGCTATGAATATATGGACTCCTTAATTTCCCCGTCTTGTGCTTGGGTTTGGGTTAGTCATGATTATGATCATCTATTTCTTTTCTTTCCAGGCCTGCAATGCCCACAGCTTAATTTGTGTTCCCCTATATGATACGCTTGGTGAGAAACTGAGAACTAATCCAACTGAATTAGAGTATAAGATATTTGCATTATGTTGGCTAACTGGTTCGGCACATGTGTGGGCTAATGATATGCTACTGCAGGTACTTTCTTTCATTTCCAGTTTTCGGGTCGTTTTGGTGGACTTGGAGCAGCTGTTGTATTTGGCACTTCCACCCTGTCTTGGATACATCTTTAGGAGACCTTCGCGCTTTGGGCCTTTGTTCTTCCAGAGGGTATGTACATTCTTATCCTACCGAACTTATGGTTGCCAAATGTTCTCCACTCTCATCTTTGTTCATTTGGTAAAACTGATTCACTGTTGGGCATTCAAACTGATGAAATAAATATGCTTAGAAACAATGGAGCAATGAAATAATTGTAATGATTTTTTTGATATTTTGGTGACATAAAACCATACTCTAGCAGCTGAAAAATCATGAGTTGTATCATTGCTATTTTGGAATGGTTTATTTACTGCATGGTTAAACTGGAATACGTGTACATATTGCACAATTTCCTTTGCAGGCTGAGACATAGGAACAAGGTTCCACTAGCTTTTGTCAAAAATGGAAATATTAAAGTGAAACAAGATTATACTTTGTAATGAGAAGAAACAATGGGGTAGAGCCCAGCTTGATATTTGTAGATTTTTGTCATGCAAAAAGGTGAGGGTAAAAAGACTGTGTGCACATGAACTGACTACTGAGAAAATTTTGCTTTTGATTTTCAATGAAGAAGAGGAAATAACACTTGAAGATTCAACACCCCAAAAACAGTTCACCTATCAATATATATACTTAATTTTTCAGTAGTAGTTGGGATTGTGAAATTGTGTGGTAGTGGAAGCCTGTCCAATTTACATTCAAATGGAGCCTCTTTTGTGTTTCATGTTATGTTTTGCTCTGTTTAGAATTGACACTGACATATAAAAACGAAAATAAATAAATGAGTGCCAAAACACCCTTCTTTTTCGGTTTTCAGTTGCATTTGCATCTCTTATGCTATTGAATTATGTTCTTGATCAGATCCATTGAACACCTCTTAATCATTGATTGATCAAAGCATATGGCTGTCTGTTTGGCTACAAGTACTGTCTCTATGGATCGTCAACCAAACATTTTTTTCTCAGAACTGTTGCATATGTTTCACAATGTGTTAATAATAATACCCATCCCATGTGGGAGTTCCATTGCTGTTGTTATAGGTCTGTGCTCGGCATCCATGGCATGTGCTACACATGGGCCAAACTCATCATATGTTCAGGTTAGTTCTTGCGTGAATATTACATACATACGACTGCGCTCCATGTGCTATTATGCAACGTGACCTTCGTGTCGACAAGTAACTAAAAAAAATTTCTCTGTGGTATGATACCATATTGGCAAATGTCTGGAAATATTACAGGTCTTATCAGGGGTGTGTTTTTGAGATATGCAGATTTTGTTATTTGTGGTAAAATAGTGACGTAACAGCGTGATCTTTTTAAAGGGTGAAAATGAAGTGCACATCAACAACTATTTACTCCCTAGGAAACAACTTTAGGATTATTAATGGTTGTCTGCATTTTGCCAAGTTTAGCCTAAACGAGAAGCCGGATAGAACCTCAATGTCTGTATGTATATTAGTGTACTTGCAATAAGCAGCATATCTAATATACATATGGGATAACCACCATCACTGTCTATTGAACAAGTGAAGGGCTAAGACAAACCAGTGAACAACACATACACAAGTTGTCCAAGAACAAGTCATTTGACAGATGAAACAAATTTTTTATTTTTTTCTGCTAAAAATTGTGACATTAGGAAATGTGGGATGTCATTTTCTTGTGGTCCTAATTGAGAAAAGAAAAGATTCAGTGGTGTGTGGTTTTTGTGAAATTGCTTGCAATTTTTTATTGAAGGAGCAAGAATTAGCAGTAGTGTATGATGTATAATATTACACTGTGCTTGTCATTTTTCCTTTTTAGAGAAATGATATTGTAGGGCTTAAAAGACTCCATTTTTATTTATCAATACATTTATTTCTTGATAGGTCTTAAATAATTGCCCTTGATTGAACTAAGATGTGATCATTGATCAAGATTTTGTTTTTAAATACTCTGCCTCTAGACACTATTATGCTGGTTTACTTTTGGGGTGAAAACATGATGATGGTGTGATTGTCTTGAATTCATTTCCGGTAAATAAATCCTAGATTTGAACGAATCAGATCCAACCCTTCTCTAAACTGCAACAAATCCATTGTTACTGTCTGGTCTTGGACCATAAAAACAACCAATCATTGATCCAAACTTAGTAGGATCATAATCATTTCTCTCTTTGTCATCAAACCCTAATCCTATTTTTTAACTCATTAATGTGCACATTTGATTAGAGAATCCATTTCTTGTTGTCAAGAAATATGGGGGGATGATGGGGGTGTCCCACATGAAGACCTCTTCTTCCTTGCACACTTTTTGCACCTATAAATCCACCCCACCCCCACCCCCTTTATTTTTATCATTCAAATTCCATCCTCTGATTTTTTCTCAAATCAAAATCAAAATCTCAAATCTCTTATCACACCACCATTCCCCCCCTGACATGTCCTCGTGATTTTCAAGAATCAGATGTCCTCTTCACCTCTCAAAAATCAAAACATTGTAACAACAAAAAATAAAAAGGCAACACTGTCTCTTTGTTCTTCATCCCCTGATTTTTGCCCCCTTTTTTTTTTTTCCTTCACATCATCATCAAATATAACATCAAGAAATAAAAAACATCATCATGTCCTTTGCTTCAAGTGTTTGTCAAGGGCTGCAATCTTGTTTGGAGCCGCTTGTATTAGAGCCTCGGGTCATAATGCACCAGTTGGCTCCATCCAAACAGCCCTTATCCTCCTCCTCATCATCCTCGTCCCAATCCCAAATGCTTCAAAAACAAGATGAACTCCTCCTCCTCCATTCTGATAAAAATGGGGAAGAAGAGATATATGTCCACCCCCTTGTGCGGCGATCAAGCTCTTTGCTCAGCACAAGAAGCCTGGAGATGTGCACCGAGAGCCTGGGGAGTGAAACTGGGAGCAGTGTAATTGATTCGGAGGCCATGAATGAACTTTGCTGTAATGACAAGCAGAAGCCGAAAGGTGGTGGAGGAGGAGAATCATGTAAGAAAGTGAAGAAAGAGAGTAAGTTTCCACCTCCTTTGAGTTCCATCAGTGCAAGTGAAGGGGGGGTTCAAGTTCAGACACATCGGGAAGGGGGACGACTGGTGATCAAGGCCTACTCTTTTCCCATGAGCTCTACGTCCTGTTTTCAGGCGGAGCGCAAGAATGGAAGGCTGAGGCTTTCCTTGGTTAAAGATGATGATAGTGACGAGTTGTTGGATTGTTGTGAGAATAATGATGGAGGAGAGGGAAGTGTGGATGATGCAGAAGAAGTAGAGGTTGTTGTTGATGATGATGATGATGATGATGGGTTTTGGGAAGGGAAGAAGAAGAAGAAGATAGGTGGGTGTAAGGTGGGTAGGGGCGGGGGTAAGGAGTGGGGAAGAAGAAGCAGAAGCAGGTGGTGCAATGGGGATGATAGTAGTGGTAGTAGTAGTGGTAAGAGGGTACCAAGTTTGCCATTTTGTGTGGCTATTTCTTGATCAAAGAAGGCCTTCTTCTTCTTGTTAACAATTAATTAATTAGGAATGTGTATTTGGAGTAGTTATTACTACTAGTCTGGTTCTTAGGGGTTGTTTGTTTTGCATGGAATGGAATGGAATGTAGAAATTGGTAGTTATTATGGTTACAAGGGTAAGAGACAGCAGCAGCTGCTGCAGCACCACTACAATTAATATAATGTAATATTCCATTTCATATTGATTGATTAAATTAATGGTTTAATTCTTCATTGATTATTATATTGATTGATAGGCATTATATTATAATCATTTCAACTTTCTTATCTGATACGTGCAACAATTATTGTACTATTTTATTTTTTAAACATAAATTTTATATTTTTATCCTTCATTCATTTATTACTTTTAATCTCCACTATACAATTAAGGATAAATTTGTCAAATCATAACAAAAAGACAATCACCTAAAAAATCGTGCAAATATACTTTAGGACAATAGAACTTGTACGAAGGGAGTTTATATGATGGATGATAAATTAGGATTAGATTAGATTTGATTTGATTGTGTGTACTTGGAACATGTACTTAGTAACTTTTTGTTTTATTAATGGTTGCTGTAATTAATGCTTCCTCCGTCCCACATGCAATATCCACGTTGCCATTTTTGTCCGTCTCATATTCTATATTGTTTTTCTTTTTTGGAAAATATTACACACTGTAATCTCATAACTTTTTAATTTATTTTTTTTATTAATTTTAATTAAACTAATCAGTTATTTTAATCTTAATTTATAATTATTTATATTATAAGATAATTATTTTCACTAATATATTCTTACTTATCTACTAATTACACCCCTCCTAAAATACATTGTCTACAATGTAGCGGTATATGGTATATGAGACGGATGAAGTACTTTTTTTTGTCATTCAAATTTATTTTTATTTTTTATTAATCTAAATTTATTATCTACCACATTTTCTAATTTTTCTTTATTCTATATATATAATAAAAAAAAAAAATTATATTTTTTAAAAACTTATGTCATGTGATGAAATACATGAAAATGGGGTGGTGGCGGATTTGGTGAAAATATGTATATATATATATATATGTATATGTCACTGAATTAATTAATGTGAATTCTTCAAAGGCTCTGTCATCATTGCCATTGTCACCATGGGTGTTCCGTTGGTTCGACCCGGCAAATACACGCACCCGATAATAATAATAATAATAATAATAATATTCCATTGAATTAAATTACAAATAGAAATATAAATGGAAGTAGATGGTAACTGCAGTTGCAGTCCAGCAGGCATGAAGATGGCATGTGCTCGTCTTTTGGGACACTCACTATGCTAAAAGGGAGAATTTAAGGATATAAATGCAAACAATACATGATCAAAGTATATAGATATTTTGTATGAATCCACTACTTTATTATTTTGTATTATGATATGTCATTCTATTTTATTATATAATATACAATACGTGAATGTTCAACCCTCAAAGACAATATTATATTCATACAGTACAGTTACATGTTTTTATTTAACACAGATGTGTTTGTTAAATGCAAGAACAATGCTATTTCTATGCTTCAAATATGCTCAACCAACAACATATAGGATCTCATGTTGAAATCAATTAATAATTTAGCATTGTTGAATTTAATTAGGATCATTGATTCAAAAAATATGTTTGAAGTAACTAAATTGTCTTTATTTAATCAATCGTTACTATTAATTCAGCTGATGTTGTATTAATTTTTCACATCAGCATGTGATCCAAGACTAACCAACAAACATATATTGATATATATATATATATATACAACACAAATTGACAATTTCATCTATCTATCTCTCTTTTGAATATTCAATTCAATCTAATCCACACATCCACAATTCTCTTTATCCATCCATCCTTAATTAATTAGCTCAACTAATTAAACGATCGCTTCTAATTTGAAGTATTTTTTTTTTATATGTAAAATATAGATAATTGTATTGGTTGTCGTGTTATATTGGATTAAAACGATTATATCTATATAATTTATTAACTAATATTAATATATTATAATTAAATTATCGTATCAGATTCATGACCAATATATATAATTTTTCGTAGTTAAACCATCAAGTGGTGAGATATTCCTTACTTGAGAGCTAGGTCCTAAATTGGATCTGGAATGAGTGTGTATGTGCTTGATGTTGGGGAAAATACCCATCGAGTATCATATTCCTATCGAATCAGATTAGTTTTTGCCGGCTAAGTGAGTTGCATGACAAACGTGGGTGTTTTGGACACACACACTCACGTACACTCGATGGATCATATAAATTGATCATCATCTTCATATATATTTGAGATGTGGTCATGGAATGGAATATTCTCCACCTCCATCTCTTATATTCTCTTCTCTATCTTTATAAATTTTCTTATTTGTCGACGACTAGGGACCAACCTATATGTATTTATATTCATATATACATATGGTCCATTTTAATTAATTGCCAGAAGACGATGCTATTTATTTATTTATGATCTTATTTAGCTATGCATGAGCCATGACACACGTTTCCCAGTTTCTTGGATATTATTTAGTTTGGATCATTATTATATTTTTTGGGTGTCTTTTTTTATTTTCTTAAATATTATATCAAATACAAAAATGTAAACTCATTTGATTTGATTTGATTTTTTTTATTTTTTTTTAAGATCGCTATCAATAAATAATGCCAAAAGCTACATATATATATATATATATATATAAACATAGCCAAAATGTAACTTCAAATCAAAATTTTAATTAGCAGCACAAAAAGAAACCCACATTAAGATGTTCATACGATCGACGCAGCATGCATGTACCTTTTCTCCTTGGTAAAATATGGAAAATCATTGGGTAGGAATTACGATTAAGTGAGAGTTGGAGGGTGTGAAAGTGAAAAAATTGACCTAGGGGATCAACGATTCACTCCCAGCTGCTGCTGTTGGATTCATATTAATTAAAATCTTCAGTACTTATTTAAAACTATATATATATATATATATATATATATAAGGGATGGTTTAATTTTATCTGAGATATTTTAATATAGTATTTTTACAAAAATATTAAATACTATTTTTTTTTTTTTTATTGAAAACCGTAATCAAACAAACCATCATGGCTCTATGGAAAACTAAAATATAAATAGTTTCGAGTAGCGGCTGCGGTTCCCAGCCTTATTGTCCTAAATAGTTTATATTAGTATGTAATTTTCGTAATACAATTTTGTTGTATATATATTTATCACTAACGGGTTGCAATTTGGCCACGGGAGTTTATGGAGATGCTTCGAATGTCAAGTTTGGTTCAATATTTTTTTTTATAATAATAATAATAATAATAGACTATTAGTTATTAAATTATTAAAATGAAGATGTTCATGCATGGTATAGCTAGCTGGTTCATGTATTATTTTCTAAATATGTATTATTATTATTATTATTAGTTAGAGGTCAATGATTAAATTCAATAGATCCGACACTATTATTGTACTCCTCAGGATGTTTAAACGTTAAATATTGTTGTATTTTACTATATAAATACATATATTAAAATTAATAATTTAGCATAAGACAAAGACCTACAATATATACATAAAAACGCATACAAGAAAACCCTCCTCTATTCGTATTTAAAATTATACATTATCTAATAATTCTATATATATATATATATATATGTAACATTTAAATTTGAATGAAAATCATGTCATCCATCAACTTCATTCCCCCACATCTGTTCTACCTTTCATTTGACAAGGATTCGTTTCTTATCCACACTGCCCTACACATATATATATACACACAAATATGTACATATATACATACAATGTGTATATATATATATGTATGTACAAATTACAATCCTAGTATATGTCAGAAAAGTTAATCCAAATTTCTCTAATCTCTTAAAACCTCAAATTAAATATGCCAAAGCACAAGCTCCTAACTCCACATTGCTGAATAATCTTCCCTAATCGACAATCAATCAACGTCGAAACTTTCTATCCCTAGCTAAAAATACCGAACCCGACATGTAAATCTCTAAGAAAATTAGCTAAACTTATTCAATGTTTAATTACAAATGCACACATGACATTATTCGATTCTTTTGAAAAAGACATACTTTCATGGACCATATATACGTGTGTGTGTGTGTGTGTGTGTAAATATGATGTGAGCCAGCATTTGCTCATCTCATCTGTAAGATTAATACATGTGAATTTAAAACCTGCAGAAATCAGTAAAGGCCCCACCAAACATATTGACAAATAACACACACACATATATATATATATACACATTGGCTCATACTTATCTCTTTAACAGCAATTGAAAAAACAAGAATATATAACACAGAGTGATTTAATTTGGTAGATAACATGGGGACCAGACTAAATGAAATAAAAATAGAATTAATAACACATATTGTATATGCACATTTATGTATGTATGTAATGTATACTACGACTGAAATGACAAACATTTGGATTTTGAAAACCTAGTCTTGCCTGTCGGGGAATCGACATAATTATATACCATATATTGTTGTCTTGTTGTATTTTGTTTCTAATTTGACATAACATCATCCATTCCATAGTTGAATTCAATATGGTTGCTCTGTCTATCTCTCATTGGCCTCTACTAAATTCTAATGAATACCCTTATCTTCTTTACATATTAATACACATATATTGTAACACATGAAAGTCAAGTCAAGTTAAGTTATACTCAGTCACAATTTATCATAACAATTGATTGAGGAATGATTAAATTAAACTGAACAAAAACATTTGGACAGAAAGCTAATACTACTTTTAAGATGTATTTAAAAAGAATTACATACATACCTATCTTTTGTTCCTTGCTTAATGTCAATTCGGGTTCCACGTGTCAAATTCTCTGCTCCTCGTGAACTCGGAGGTACGTACACCACTCCAATCTATGCTTCAGGACACACACAAACATCTATATATATATATATATATATATAAAACTATAAAGCATTATCAATATCTATTGTGTAATTCTCCAGATATTTCAACCATGCATCTATGACACTTATTTGTAACCAAACAAAGTGAACCTATGCTATAACATATGTGTATATATATGTGTGTGTATTGATCTTCGTTTCCACCTCCACCCCCCACTCACCCCTAACCTCAGAGTACAGAATTGAAGTGGGCCAGGAAGACTACACTTTTTGCTATTTATACAATACATAGATAGATGATGATTGATGGTCAGTGACCCCATCAGCAATTCGTTTTCTAAATGCCATTGGTTCACTCACCTGAACCAATATCTCAGCAGATCCTAGGACAACATTGTAATCCTGCTTTCATTATTCCTCCTACCTAGCCGGTGATTGTAAGTACATGCCCTACATTCATGCAGTTTCAAATGTGCATATGTACAGTACTGTGCACTCACTGACAAGGATTCCATAATCGCAATCTATAATCTACATCTACTTTCGGGACAGAAACCCAATCCAAGACTCACTCAATACATACTTTCCTTCCGCAATTTATAATCAATCAATATATAGCCTTTTCCAGATGCTCATATATTATTGCATAGATCACTAGGATGCAGTAAGTTTCTTACTTCTTGGAAATCAAAAACATCATAATGTCTACTCTGAGTTTAACTATTTGATTGTGGGGGAAGAATCTCATTTGCATTTACCAAAACTAAGTCATTAGCCGCCTATATGGAGTCGTTAACGACTTCTTGAAATACAATCATGCTTGATAATCAACAGAAGCAGTATCATTTTTTAATACCTTAGGCATTCAGAGTTATTGCAGGCTTTTGTTAAAAACTAAGGTTGTGTTCTTTTGTGAGTTTTACTACAGGTTATTACTATTCAAATTCTTTTTTTCCTAAAAAAATATCAAATCAAATAAGTACTTTTCTTTTTTTATATCATACTACAAATTTATTTTACATTTGAAACGTCACATCAACCTTTATTTATATCACATCAAACAACTATTCAAATTCAACTGTTTACTATTCAAATATCCAAACCCAAAAACTAAAATCTACAAACAAATACACCCTAACACTTTGATAGCTATGGAGCTTAAACAATTTTATTCATCCATTAAGGCCTAGTATAAAGATATACTTTGGGGAGAAATGTCTTCATACAATGAGATGAAGTGAGGAAATACTTCCTCCGTCCCAACTCAAAGTACATATTTTACCATTTTCGTTTGTTCCACTCCAAAGTATGTATTTCTTATTTTAGTAAAAATAATCATACATTAATACCAAAATACCCTTATCTTTTACCTAATTATAAAGATACCATTAGATATACAATTATTTTATACATAAAATCAAATGACAAAAATGTCAACTTTTTGCACACTTCTACCGACCAATAAATACGATTATTTCTTACTCTACTACAAAATCCTAAAGGGCCCATTTGGAGTGGGACGGAGGTAGTAGGATTTTTGCTGAACTTTGCAGTTTGCATAAAATCACCGTAGTAAGGCACAACTTTTGGATCATATTCTGAGCTGTCATGGTAGGGAAACATGCAATTTTGAACCTCTTAAACTTATAATGCACGAAATACCGATGCCGTGCATAAGAAGCGGAATACTCATGACAGCAACTAGCATGTACAAAACAATTTACCACATTAAAATGGCATAAAATTGAATTGTGAATCAACAGTAGCAAGTTTATTCAAACATAGGATACTGGAAATGTAGCAGTTCATCTAATGTATGCATTCACAAAGAGACAATACTTATAGAAACAAAAACTTCTGGACCACTTTGGTGGCAAATAGAAGACAGTATATATGTACAACAAATATTATTTAATAGGTGAAAGATAAAATCACATCAACATGAGTTATTGAAATAAATTTGATGTTACCAGTTTAATTCTCTAGAGGACTACCAAACTAACTGGAGTTGTTCTTCCTTGCAACATAGATTCGATATGCTGCCACGCTAACGAAAGTAGCAGCAGCTCCAACTGCAATTTTTCAACAAATAGTCACAACAAGCAATACCAAATGTGCTAAACAGAATACAAGATCAGTGCCAATGCTTAGATAGACTAAATAGCTGTTCAGAATGCTTCTTTAGAATTCCTGATCCAAGGATATGTTTGATCAATAAACTAAAAGTAGTAGCCATAGGTAAAGTGTTAGAGTCTTGTTTTATCTTGTATCAAGTTTTAACATGTTTCAAAAACCTGTTGGTTTGGTTGGGTTTTGGTATATTAGATTCTTTTGGAATAATGTAAAAAGAAAAAAAAAAGTGTTAAAATAAGTGTTTGATGTGATATATTTTTGGAAAAAACAGGGGTAAGTTATTGTAGATGACTAGTTAAGTGTTGAGTGAAAACATGGCTACGTACCTGAGAGACACATAAGAGCACTATTAACAAGCTGCCGATATCGCTTCTGACTACGGCCAAAATCAGTTTCGGGAACATGCAGGTGAGGGTTCTGTGCTGCTTTTACAATTCTGGAGAACACATGATTCTCATCTCTATCTTTAACACTTACAGGAATAGGCACATCGATACCCATATCCAGGCAAACCTAAAACAATTAAACTCCCGTCAGATCATGAGCAACCACTTACCATATCTATTTCAGGATTTTTTTTCATTCATCTTTTGCATGCACGTGTTGGCTTGGGCTCAAGCAAAGTTCAAATATCATAACTAAAAGTTCCAGAATTGAAGCCAAGAGCCAAAGAAAAACAAATTACCTTTGCTGAATCTTTGTTTATTGTGGGACTTGAACCAGTATCATTTTTTGCTGCAATGAGGAGGCTAGGCATCACATAACCAGTTTCTTCCCCTCTTCTAGCCACATATGCCAGCAACTCAATTGCTCCATTAAGAGAAGATTCACTTGAGCTGAGACATATCAATTAACAAATCATTAATAAATACCCCAACCCTCTTGAAAGAAACAGAGGATATTAGGTAAGGTTATCATTATCTAGCCAAAACCCAGAAAAAAAAATAGTGCAAACCAGCAATGCAAGTATACCTGTCATAAACAAAAACAGCTACATCACAAGCAGCCAAAGATTCCTTATTAGATAGTAATTTCTTAACTCCATCTTCTGGAATCTCTCTCAGTATAAGAGTTTTCTTAACACCCTGGGAATGGAACAGCCAAAGTAATACATAATAGGCAGAAAGGTAGTTTTGAATCACATAGCAGTTTCTTGAATCATGCATCTTTCATCCATTAATCTGTCGAAACAATGTAATGAACAAAGAACCAGCCAGGGGGCAGAGGGAGATTGTACCAATTGTGTTTGTAACTAGCACTCACCATATGCTGGCTAACAACATTCACCGCAAATTGCTCAGTGGTTGTTGTGATGTAGTTTTCAGAAAATGGCCTGCAATTTGGAGACTCAAAATTACAGTATTTCAATGTATTAGCTAAAGCAATAAAAATACTTTGAATCAAAGAAAAAGGTATTCTAATGCTATCACTAAAGTAGGCCAACAATAACCATTAATGGCTTTAACTGTGCTAAACCTATTCCCTGCAGACTTCAACCGCACCTTCCCAAAAATGATGCCAGCAATGCAGACTTTCCAGCACCTTTAGGCCCAAAAACAAAGCACTGAAAAACATTTCTTTCTGTCTGTTGCTTCTTCCTGTCAACAGATCTTCGCCTAGTTACGTGAAGGGCAGATGCAGCATTGCAGTGATGACCAATGTATATTAAATTAGCAATACTTTGAGCTGGATCCAGTAATGTCATGAGAGCCCACTGCAGGATATTTCTCAACATGAGATGGGTAGCAACAATATTATCATCAATTTCTGGACTGAGTGTAAGAACTAACACTTCAGGATAATTACCAAACACACAAAAACACTTATATACGAATAAAGATCTCAATTTACGTATAAGTAACAGTTTCCAATAATTCTTACTCTTAAGACTTCTCTTTCAAGTGCAGTTAATTCCAACATTGATTTGGCTGCAGCCATATTGATATAAGATACATAATTTACTTCTATCAGCAGCCAAAACACAGGCAAATGAAAACTTTGGTCAGCAGCCAATATTATCATGAATTTCTGGACAGTGTAAAAACTTTATCATAAAACGTTTTAGAAAAAAGTTTTTCCATAAGTGAGTGGGTAGGGAATTTCATGTCTCACATAATAGAGCAACAGTTCTTGTAAGGAACCTGCAAGATATATAAATAGCACATCTTGTTAAAATTGAGAAGCTGGTACAGCCCACCTCTGATAGAAATCCAGAAACAGATAATCCACGTGATGGAGTTCTTTCAACTGCATCTTTATAAGGAGCTTCCCCCCAGGGACTGAATTTACACCATAAAAACCAAGTCATGTGATACTAGAAAAGCCAATAAAATGAATAATAAGAATCTGTGATGATTACATGTTTCAAAATGTGTAACGGTCAAATCTCCTATTAATACATGCATAAAATATATCCAAAATTGGTGGCACAATAGCATTCTGTCCAGTCAACCTCTCTGTTCTTAGAGAAATAAAACAAAATCAATTACCTTATTGGTGTAGTTGAAAATAGATCTTCAAGCTCACTTTCACGAAGAACACCATCCTAAAAGAAACAGGTAATAAGCTAACACCAGGAGGAAGAGCAATATGAAATACTTGCGGCAAAAGACCTAATTTTCCGAACCAATAATAATTAAGCATCAAATTATTTACACATCTTTTTCCCACCATAAAGTAGATACTTACAGAATTCAATTACCCCTCCTCTAAAAAGCATAAAAGGCATTAAACTTTCAAACAGGTAGAAAGAAACATCAGGAAACAACATACCTTGTCATCATCAAAGGTGCTGAATATCCCCTTTAAGAACTCTACGGCTTCACTTGTCAACTCAACACTCTACAAAGACACATAGAATCAAGTGAGATTGATTGAAACTATACCAAGATGATAAGTTGAATCTTGATGCCTAAACTCATAATGAGACCTTGCACATCAAAGCATGAATAGACAGACATATGCATGAAATAGAAAAACTGAAGATAGATGTTGCATTTAAAAATGAAGGATCTTATGTTTCTTTCAGAAACAATATTGAACTCGGAAAATATAACTAAAGACACACATGGACACAAGAAGTACCTGATCCGGAGCCTTTTTGCTGGGAATTGACAAATAATCATCCCTAAGGGTCAGGTCATCATTGTAGCCAAAATTTCTCAAAACAGTCCATGCAGCCTCAATTCGGCCCTTCTCTATGAAAAGAGCATGGAGAAATATAAAGCCCGTTAATGTAAGACCACGGTTATTGATTCCTTCTGGCAACTTTTCTTGTACCACACTCTTAACATCCACGATTTCAGCAGGTTGCAAAGGAGCATTGAAACACTTCACCTGCTCACAAGCATTGAAAATTGGTGGTTGAAAAGAGGAAAAAATCAGAAAGATCTAACTGTGTTTGGTTTCTATTTGAACCAAAATAACCACTGTTTAGCCCCGCGATTCCCATTTCCCAATAAAAATATACTATATCCTTTCTCAAACTCGGAATAAAAAATACTATTTAAATAAAAACTGAAATAAAAACCGCAATCTCAAACCAAAACCACATTTTTACACACCGAAAATGTTGATCAACATGAGCGACTAAATGAAAAAGAAAACTGTCCTTGAATGCTTCAGCCAAAAAAAATGTAGAATCAAAAGTAGGGAAATAAAACCTGAAATTCATTGAGCTCATCATCACTGAGGGCACCATCCATATCACGGTCACAAAGAATAAATATCCTCTTCAGTGCTCTGACACACCGAGGTTTCAAAGTTTGGTTTTCTTGATCAAACAAAGGAGCTGTTGGATGAAGGACTGCCTTTTGAGAAAAATAAAATACTTCTTGGATCTACAAACATTTCAAACCATTGCAGTCACTGCAAGTTTTCATTCTCATTCAAAAACATGAAAGAGAGCGAATTCATATAAGCAGATTAAACAATTCTTTCAAAACCTGAAGCATGTTAGCTGCAGAACATTCTAAGCAAGTCTCAATCTCCCGAAACTGCTGCATGAGCGGCATCATTTCAACACTCAAATTGTACTCCTCCTTTCGCCGATCTAGCTTGCAGCCAGATACAATCACTGGAGCCTTGATCTAAGCACTCAAAAATTAACAAATCCATATTTGAGTGAGCATGTAATTAACAAAAAGAGACCAAGACCACTGAACAAATCACATGCACCCGATATATTGTGCAGATGTCAGTCACAAACACAGAAAACAATTTGTGAAGGATCAGCCACAGTTTCCAATTTGGACTTAATTAATTAAAATGCCTAGAAGTGGATGAATCTATTCAAGATGAGGAAGACTCCACTAACATATTTGGCTCCAAAATTGTTGAAATAGGAAACTAGATTTGATTGCTAATTTTGAAAGATGTGCACAGTAATGTTAATAAAATTATATTATGCTGAAATCATCATGCCAAGCAAGTAGCAACCCACTCGTTTTCCAAACAAATTAAGATCGAAATTTCATGCGCGGTAATAAATTCAAACTGAAGCGTAAAAATGTGAAACATTAGCAGTCAGTCAGCTTAAACCTCCAATCGACGAAGCTCGTGAAGCCAGAATGAGCGGAGGCGATTAAGCATCGAAGGCTGATCACATGCATATGTCAAGACCACCGCATCAGCACGCTTCAGCTCTTCAGCAAGCCGCCCTCTATTCTCCAAACTGCATCCACAATCCGCTCCGTAAGAAGCAAATACATCGACAAACAGGATTCTACTCCAACAACAAATTAATAATGAGGATTAAATACCTGGACGAGGTGTCGATTATTATGACGGGAACATTATCTGGATAATAGTCAGCGGGAAGACGAGTGGGAGGGAGAACCGGAGGGACATCCCGTCGGAAGCTCTCGGCAGCCGCTGCTGCTATGAGGCTGGTCTTTCCGGAGCCTGGGTCGCCGACGACGACGATCCGAACGGTGGTGCGGGCGCCGGAGATGGAACCGCCAGGTGGCATCGCATCCAAGGGTTAGCACGACTACGCACCCACGATGATTTGATTTGGGATTTTTATTACTAATATTAACGATAAACAGATCATTTCAAAAGACGATAAAAGACATACTGTAAATTATGAATTTAAAATTATTATATAAATAATTTTAATTTATCTTTCAATATTAAATATGCTATTTTAAAAATTTATAAAATAAAATATATTTCATACGTATGAATATACATATATTATTTTATTGTTAATTATTTTAGTATATTAATATTTTTTTTATTTATATAACAGGAAGTAATATAATAAGTACGAGTTTATTAATATTTTTTATAGATTATGCTTATATATATATATATATATATAGTACAACTTATATTTTTATTGATATAATAAAAATAATTTGTCACACAGTGAATTTTATATAAATTATTGATTAGTCTTAAGAATATTTATATCATTGTACAAAATATTTGTCAATATAATTTATTATTTTTAAATATTATTTCAACAATTTAAACGAATCATGCATAGTACATATTTACATGCTAGTTATTATAAAATTAAAACAAAATTTCCTTTTTCAGCTAACTGTAATTAAAGACTTAAAGAGTCCTTTTTTTCAGCTAATTGAAATTAATTAGGATATTCAGATCTATTTAGGTAAGTATGTAGCTCTACAAATTTTCACAATTCTATACATATTATCAAAAAAAAAATAAAAAAATACTATAATACTCCCTTTGTCCCGTTGGAAGGGTGTCATTTATTTTATTCGCGTAAAAATTTTTGAATATTAGTATTATATTAGATTGTAGTAAAAAAATACAAGAATACTTTTTGAATATAAAAGTAATGACATTTGTGTAATATATTGTAAGTTGAAATGATATTTATTATGTTAAATAGATAGTACAATTACTAAAATAATAACCTTGTTTTGGAACAAAAAATATAAAATAGTAACCTTTCGATGGGACGGAGGGAATATATAAATTTAAAATTATGTTAATGTACTCAACAAATTTTCACAATTTTATAAATATTATCAAAAAATATATATATTATAATATTTAGAAATTTAGAAATATATAATATTTATTTTATTTATTTTAAAAATATAAAAACTTTAGCATATATATATCTTTATATAATATTTAAGTGAATACCTAAGATAAAACATTGTATATCTGCACAAAATGTAAAATATAAATAAATTGGTGTTTTTGTTTAGTAAAATTATTTGAAAATATATATATATATTATGTAAAGTATATATATAATATTTTACTTAAAATAATATACTATTTAAAACATAGTTGTGAATATGGTTGTGTTGAAAATATAAATCTGAATATGAGTCGATTGTGGTGAGAACATGAATAAGAATATAATTATGTTCAGAACAGAGCAGTAGCAGGAATCGTATTCAGAAGTAGAAGGTAATCAACACGGCCGTGTTGGTTGTCTGAATGCCCGGTCACCTTCTGAACTATCTAAAACGCAATATTTAAAGCCACCACGCTGTCTGAGTTATGTAAGATACGGTGTTCAAGACACGCGGCCGTGTTCAATCCAATCAACCATTTTGGAATTAAAATTGATAAATTTTTATTGGAACGATATGGATGACATTCCCTTTTAAATATGAAGTTTCTAAACCGTGCCGCCTGTAAGTTCCTTGGCCCGTTTAGGTTTCAAAATGTTGCCCCGAGTACTCCGAGCATCTGCCGCCGCCGCCGTTCGCCAATTTTCGACGAGGGCGGATGCTGCGTTGGCTACGGCGCCGGAGAAGCTTTCGAGAGAGGGAGAAGATGTCTCTATGAACAGGAGCACCTCCAAGAGCACAGGCCGGGACACGTTGGGGCGACGCCTTTTTGCTCTGGTCTACTCGAAGCGGAGCGCTGCCATAACCATACGGAAGTGGAAAGAGGAGGGGCACGATGTGCGAAAGTACGAGCTCAATCGTATTGTTCGTGAGCTACGGAAGCTTAAGCGTTATAAACACGCTCTAGAGGTTTGTGCATTGCTTCTGTAATTTGGTACTTAATTTGTCATCGTGACTGTACTTTGTTAGTATGTAAATTGCCGGTTTAATTTTGCAAATAGAATTCTAATGTGGTTCTTGTTACTTTAATCCTGCTCTATCCTCATGTGAAGTTTAACTCGGAAGTTAGTAGCTTCCGTATATCTTGTAGGAAATCCTTGAGACCTGTGGTTCATCAATACTAAACTGATTATCTTTGAGTTATCTATCCCGTAGAATTGAAGTGGTAGCTGAAACTAAGCTTCGTGTTATTCAACTATTATGACTGTCAAACTGCAAAGTTTTTATTTCCAGTGTCTGTTACTAATCTTTCTTAAGAAAATTAAAGTGAAAGATAATTGAATTTGATTTGACCTCCTTGCAATGTTCTTTTATATGCCTGCTCTTCATCTGTTTCAATTTTCATGTTTGTGTATGTTACACTATGGCCTGCTTCTATAGTGTCCATGGTGCAGCTTTTAAATGTAAAAGAGAAGCTGATCACTAAGTAATAGAACCAAAGTGATGTTACTTCAAGTGTAACTTTATTCTTTATAATGGAATTTGGCCTGAGCTGTATACTTCGGGGAACCATCCTCAAGGCTCCAATAGCATTTCTAATATTACGAATTGTTCTCTAGGTTTGTGAATGGATGAGGTTGCAGGAAGACATGAAGCTGGTGCCCGGGGACTTTGCTGTCCACTTGGATTTGATTGCAAAAATCCGTGGTCTAAACAGTGCAGAGAAGTTTTTCGAAGATCTCCCTGAGAAAATGAGAGATCCTGCAACCTGCAGTGCCCTTCTTCACACCTATGTCCAGTATAACGAATATAACAAGGCTGAGGCAGTGATGAAGAAGATGTCAGAAAGCGGTTTCCTGACAAGTCCCCTTCCATATAATCACATGTTGTCTTTATATGTATCCACAGGGGATTTACAGAAGGTTCCTGAACTGATTAAAGAGGTGAAGAAAACCACCTCTCCGGATATTGTGACATATAACCTTTGGCTAGCTGCATGTGCATCTCAGAATTTAATTGATACAGCTGAAAAGGTATTCCAAGAACTTAGTAGTAAGGCCAAATTAGAACCAGACTGGGTGACGTACAGCACGATGGCCAGCATCTACATCAAGAATTCATTTCATGAAAATGCAGAATCTGCATTGAAGGAGATGGAGAAGAAGATCAATAAAAACATCCGGGTGGCTTATTCATCCCTCATCAGTTTGCACACGGCTCTTGGAAATAAGAACGACGTTCATAGAATCTGGAAAAAGATGAAGTCTACTTACCGCAAGCTGAATGACTCCGAGTATACTTGCATGATAAATTCTTTACTGAAACTTAAGGTTATTGAAGGAGCAGAGGAACTGTACACCGAATGGGAATCCATTTCCCCAACCAAAGACACAAGGGTTCCAAATTTGCTTCTTGCTGCTTATATTAACAACGATCAAATGGAAAAGGCTGAAGCTTTTCACAATCGGATGGTGCAGAATGACATAGTCCCGGGATATACCACTTGGGAGCTGCTTACGTATGGTTATTTGAAACAAAAGCAGGTTGACAAGGTGCTTGAATGTTTCCAGAAAGCTGTTAAAAGTGTGCGAAAATGGGATCCAGATGAAAAGCTGGTTCAAGAAATATCTTCTGTCATCAAGGAGTTTGGCGATGTTGTGGATGCAGAAAAGTTGCTAGCCACCCTTCGTCGTGCTGGTTATGTAAATACGGAAACTTACAACTCTCTTCTCCGAACATATGCAAAAGCGGGAAAGATGCCTATTATCATGGCAGAGAGGATGAAGAAGGACAATGTCGAGATGGATGAAGAGACAAAGAGACTACTTCGATTAACCAGCACAATGCGTGTTAGTGAAATTCCAAGTGATCTTTAACTACAGATGAGGATTATCTGCGAATATATAGCACTGTTCGCCGGTTGACATTATAATATTATATAAGGGAAACTCTGGAAACAATTCTCCTCCACTGCCGATGGCTGAGGGCCATCGAGACAGCAAACTGGACAACATTAAAGTCCCAACTATTGCTAGATAAGTGTCTGAAAACCAGTTGTGCAACAGCATTCGGGTAATTGAACTAGAGTTTTATGATGTCTGAATTGTCACATCACTTCTAATCTGGTTATCCCATCATACTAGAAACCCAGTCTTCAATACACTGTTCTGATTTGGATCAGACTTAATATGCATTCATAAGTTTTATTTTGATGTTGTTCGTCGTCTTCATTACTATCATCAAAATTTTCAAATAGCCTCTGGTTTGAATGTGCAAAACAGTGAGAGAATTATTGACTTTTTGCTCAAGGTATGCAGGCAAATTGACATTGACAATTCTTTCTATCGTTTATTACTTAATGGTGTATGCGAGGTATGACATCCAATAGTATCTCACATCAATCTCTTACATACTTGACATAATTACCTACCTCTCAGTATTGAAGTTTTTGGGATGTAAAGATTTGGCAATGTTGCCAGTTACCTAAGTGGTAATAATTGTTCTAGGTGGATGATAGATTGTGCTGAAATGCCTTATATCTTCACAAAGATCAGACAATTATCTGAACATATATTTTATTCCATGTTCAATATTCTAACAGTGAATTATCTTTAAGGCACCACTTGTTTTTATTTCCTTGATATATTAAAACTGATGCCTCGTTGAATGTTGGGTTGATAGTGACTAATAAAGTATCTTATCTGATGCAATGATTTGAAGAAATAATTCACATATACTGTTGAAGACTCCATATTGCATAATTCGGCTTCAGAGACGGCTTCTTCTCAGCATCTTATGATGAGGAAAAATTTAGTGAAGTACTATTTGGTATGCTATGCTAATTTTTAGTTCCTCATGTCATCATTTAGAATGATTTTGCTGATTCAATAGTTTGTTTCAACAGGTCGACACGTTTCACAGAGACGGCGTTCAAGGGGAATCCATCTTCCGTGTGTCTGCTCGAGGAGGAGAAGGATGTAGCATGGCTGCAAAGCTTGGCTCGGGAGTTCAACCAAGCTGTGACAAGCTATTTGACTCAGCTAACCTGTGATCAACCTGAAATGGAAGCAGAGTTTTAACCTCCGTTGGTTCACTCGCGATGGCGATGAGGTAGTCTATTCAAGAATCATCTTTATCTACATTTTCATCGTCACCAAGCTAATGAAAATTATCACGCATTGTTTTGCAGATTCCCCTTTGCGGGCACGCGACTCTAGCAGCATCCCATTTTATTTTTGGCCATGTCTTGCCCGGCTGCAATGTGGTAAAGCTATCAACCTTGTCAGGACCATTGATTGTCCGGAGAATCCAAGATTTGACATTTCCAGGAACATTCTCCATTGAGATGGATTTTCCAGTGCTGCCATTGGTGGACTACAATGCTCCCGAGGCGCCGCCAGTGTCCAGCCTCCTGACAGGCGCTCCAATCCTGGAAATCAAGAAGACAGCCCTGGAAGACTACCTCTTTGTTCGTCCCTCATTTATCTTACATAAAACTTCGACCCTATCCTATCCATTGTAGGCAATTTCGCCCTTACAGGTTGTTTTTTCGTCTGGAGACGATGTCAAAGCAGTGAAGCCACAGATTGATGCCATAAGGAAGTATCCAGCCAGGGGAATCATCATCACTGGACCTGCCCCGTCGGGATCCCACTTCGACTTCTACGTTCGATTCTTCTGCCCAAACCTGGGGGCCGATGAGGTAATTAGTCTAATCTGGTTGTCCTGTTGAACCTAACTCTGCAGATCCTTACGATTACCAATTTCTCTAAATTATTGCATCATCATTGGCTCTCTGCTAAGGATCATGTCTGTGGAAGTGCTCACTGTGCCTTGGCACCGTACTGGTCCGACAGGCTTGGGAAACACGACCTTGTCTCTTATCAGGTCTGTCTATATCTACCCTAATTCCCTGTCCTCCTTTCCTCGATCTTTCAACTTCAATTATCCTCAATCTCAAGTAAAAATCTTGTCTTTAATCAGGCATCAGCAAGGAGTGGGGTGATTAATGTGCACCTGGACGATAAGAATCAGAGGGTTTTGATTCGGGGGAAAGCTGTTGCCGTCATGGAAGGTCATGTTCTTGTCTGAATTTCGAATCTTGTTCTTCTAAATGTGTTTGGATCGAAAAACCTGAATGAATTATTATTATGGCTGCGGATCCTGGACTGATCCGGCGAAGTTAGTCTGCTGATTTGACGGAATTAGCATATATTATACATACAATATGTGTTATAGATATGTTGGTATAGTGTATATATATGTACACGTTGATTACCTGTATAGCTTAGTACTGCAATTGGTTCTAAGAATGTGGAAAACAATGGTGGCAAAATTGACATAATTTTAGCTTTAGTGTTACCACATGGTTTTCTTATCTGCAGAAAGTTTCACTCCCTGTTGAGTTCATTAGGTTACAGTTAGATAGAGGTTGGATTTTTGGAAAAATTTAAGAACAGTAAAAATTTGGTGTTTTATTTGATTTTTGTAAAAAATTTACTTACCTGCTAAAACCTCCAAAAGTGTATATGTAAATGGAAAACCTTGTATTTTTAGCACCAGAATTGCTCAGATGTCTTCTTTGCTTGCACTTAATAATTCTATCATGCAAACTATATGATTTAATTCTTTTGGTGCTTTCTGAATACAGCCACAGTCCTTCTGGTCTCGATTTCTTTATTTCTTGGAATTTTCGATTTGAAAAAAAATCTATATTTCATATAAACTCTACTACTACGTGGAGAAAATTCAAAAATAAAATAATCATATATATATTTTATATTTTTTCTAAATATTACAATCCTCCATCTTTGGGTACCTAAAGAATTACTTGATTTATCAGTTTCTTCACGTCCATTATATTTGCTTTCCTACCTCTCACATTCTCTGTCACCTTAAAAAGCAATAAAAATAAAAATAAATAATAAGGTAAAATGCAACAAACATTAGTGAGTGAAGGAAGGGGCGACACAAACCTTAGCTCTCATCGCAGCCGTTAAAATCGCATCATCGGTGATGGAAGATCGGACGGCTGTAATCTCCATCCCAAACTCTGATCTGACGGCCAGCATTACATCCAATAAAAGCCCTTCCCTGTGAGGGCACTCCATCTCCACCAACGCGTCTCTTTCTATTATCGACACCTCCACTTGCGGCGGCGCCGCCTGCCCTCCGCCGTGCTTGAACCTCCTCTTCTCATTCTTTTCGATTCCAAATTTCCCATTTTTCTCCACCTCGAGCTCTTCCACCTTCCTCCTCAATTGCTTCACGTACTCTATGGCGTCCCCAAGAATCGAGGCTTTGTCCATTTTCGTCACGAATGGAATCAAAGACCTTAAAGTGACGAACCGCTGGTTCAGCTTCTCGCGGCGGCGCCGCTCCGCCAGCACATGGTCGTCGGCGCTGACCTCATCCGCCGGAACCCTAACTGCCGCCGCCGCCTCGCGGCGGTGGAAGAGCGGCACGGTGAAGAGTATGCATTTGAGGACGGATTTTGAAGCACGGTTTGTCGAAGAGCTGAAGAACAACGACCACTTGGAGAAGGCGGAGGCGGCGGAGGGTATGGCCGACGAAGCGGCGGCGCTCCACCGGTCGGACCGGGTTTCGAGGACGACGGCGACTGTTCGACAGTAATTTGTATCCTCTTGCAATTGCCTGTGTTCCTCCTCTAATCGGAAATCCCAACTTCCGGCGGCGGCGGCGGAGCCATATTCTCCTGCAAGCTGCATAAGCTCATTACCTGTTGCCTCAGTTGTACCATGGCCTGACAGGTAGCTACCCAACTCTTCATCTTCATCTTCATCTTCATCTTCTTCATCTGAATGTGCCATGAAAGCCTGGATAGGGTTTGAAGTCGAGAGCTCCGACATGGCTGGCCTGCTTGTAGGAGGAGGAAGAAGATACGTAGAATCGCCATTATCACTGAAGAAGAAGCTTTTTACACGTTGAATCACTCCAATGTCTTCCTCAATCTACCACAATGTTGATTCAAAATATAAACTTTGAGCTTAATTTCATCTTAATTCAAGGGTAAAATTAAAATCAGAAATTGATTAATTAATTACCCTAGCTGTGGTTCCCAGTTCAAGAACACCATCCAAGACAGGAACACAAACCACCGTCTGAAAGTAAGAAATTTCAATTCAATTAATCTTAATTAACAGGTGTAAAGATTAATATTACAATTAATTAATTAATTAATTACCTGTATTTTTGCACTCTAGAAACAGCAAATGGGATTGGAAAGCAGACACAAGAAAGAAGACAAGAAATATAAGATCCATTATATGGTAATATCAGAAAAAGCAGTGTACCAAAATGCAGTGAAAAGGGATTGGCAATGGCAATCTGTACCTTGGCAAGAATTGCTCTGGAGAACACTTTGGTGTCCACTTCATTTGCTTTTGTCAGCCATACATGCTGCCTTGTTGCATATGCTTTTCCAGGTAACCTATAATGATATATGCAACAAGAAATTGGATATTCATGGCGGAGCTTGTAAGAAATTCAATTAATTGTACAGAGAGCTGTCAGATTTGGCGTAGAAATAGAATCCCTAATTTATGAACACCACTACAACTGTTCATTGATACTGAGCATGTATCCGTATAAGTTGAATTAAAATCGATCCAATGGATTGATAGATGGAGACGATGATTATAGATTAGAGATTAGAGAATTCTATATATACATGTATATGTATGTATGTATATACGTACCCTAGGCCTGGAGGAAAAGTGAAAGAAATGCAGAGCAAATAGAACCACTCGGATTCCGTCAGGTCCTCCGGCGATAAGGCGGTGGAAGGGCGGCGCGGCTGGAGGCGGCTTGCTTCTCCGGCGGAGAGGAAATCGTAGAGTTCTCTAAGCTGCTGGCTTCTCTGAAGCTTCGCTTCTTCAGTGCTCACCTCAATTGATTGCACTGTTTTTCGAGTTTTGATTTCTCCGTTGTAGTATCCATCGCTCCATGACAGAATTCTTCATCAGATTATGCATATATATATATATATATATATGATGATCATGATCATGATCATGATGTCTATATATATGGAAGAAGAGAAACCCTAGAAGAATTTATATAGTGTATAATTTAATTATTACCCTTGTTTGGGGGTAAATTGCCAGAAGAGGCTGTAACTCCATTGAACGGACTGCACTGCCGCCTGTAACAAGCTTTGCAGGCGGCGGTTCTTCGGCGGCTCCGCCATTCCGATTAATTCTCCGATCAATACGACGCCGTTTCGGAGCTTAATTCAAGCTTTTGTGTGTGTATTTCTGCAAAACAGATATGGTTGAAACAGGTACGGAATTTTAGAAGATAAAAATCATGTTCATTATTCAATTACATATACGCAGAAGAAATTAAAATCGAATCGGAGACGAATGCAAGCTCTGATTGTATGTAGGTATGAATGATAATCGATGGAGAGAGAAATTAAAAAAACACTCTATAATTGTATGGAATTTAAAACCTAACCCTAAAGTAAGAAGCGATGGCGATAATGATGGTGAGATTAATTGACTGGTTGTTGCAGAGACCGACAGCTAGCTGGTGGAGTGTGGTGATTTGATTTCCATTAGTGTAAAGCTTTCAGCAGCCTGACCTCATCTGATCTGATCTATCCAGTAGTGATTGGAAGGAAGAAAGGAAATGGAATTAAAGGACGGACCCCATCCATCGCCATTTCTGGAAGCTCAATCAATTTCAGCTATACGCCATTGGAGGAGAATATTAGGGAAGACGGACGACGACGATTGAATTGATGTTGTTGGAATTAGGAATTGGGAATTAGGTCATCACTACTACTACTACTACTGCCATATTTCGATTCTTTTTCTTTAAGTTCAACTTCTATTGTTATCCCATACTTAATTCTATTTTTGGATTTTTCATTATTAATTAATTAATATTATTAGCTTATATACTTTTTTCTTTTTTTTTTCACTCTTTTTGTATCTATCAATTCATTTTATTATATAATATTAATATTTTATTCGGTACAAAGAATAGTTAGAGTGTTGATTAGAAATAATCAGATTAGTTTTAAGAAGCACATGAAAAGACATCGGTATAGACAATTCTCTTGTTTTGAAATATATATTGCTTCCGTTCCAGTACAATAGTCCTATTTACCATTTTTGTCCGTTCCAAACAATAGTATCATTTCTATAAATAATTATATCACTATAAAATTATCCTTACTTTTTCATTATTGTTACACAATTGCCCCTACTTTTTACACTAATCACTCACAAGAGCAAAAAAATCTTTTACCCATATTTTTTACCCACTACCAATATAATATCAATATTCCTTAAATCTCGTGTAAAACACATATTATAGTTTTGGGATGAAGGGAGTAGTATTGTGTGCATTATAAACTATTATCACATATTCCTTTTGTTTGGTAGCAAACTTTTCATTTGACTTTTGCACGTGGATTAGAGTAAAATAGTATTTTATAAATATGTAATGTAATAAAATAAATGTAATACTCCATCCGTTCCATATCTATATATCCATTTGCTTTTTGTACGGAGTTTTAGAAATATTAGTATTATATTGGGATAAAGTAGAAATAAAGGTAAAATGACTAAATTAACCCTATTGGTATTGTATGATACAAAGGTAATGACATTTGTGTAATATATTGTAAATTGGAAGGATATTTGTAATATTAGGTGGATAATACAATTACTAAAAAAAAATGAAATGCATACTTTGTTATGGACGGACCAAAATAGAAAAATGGATAAATTGTTAAGAGACGAACCAAAATAGAAAAATGATAAATTATTAAGGGATGGAGGGATTATTTATTTTGCCATTTAAATTCAACTTTTGGATTTATCATTAAATAAACTAGACTTTTGACACTGCTCGTTCTACAGTAATATGTACATATAAAACACTTTGGTTACGATATTGATCCATCAAATAGCACCGATCAAAAGTGTAATAACGCATGCTTTGTAAAATAAAAGCATATGTTATCTGTATATATAAAAGCGTGTCATATGCTCTAGGTTCTTTTGTTAGTATTATATTAATATAAATGATATATTTTCTGACATTATTTATCATTCGGCTTGATTCTAAATTTTAAATTTAGCATGATAATTGCTACCATATAACTTAGGTCATGTACTTATTTTTCTCATGAATAAATGATATGAAATATTCTCTTTCTACTATTTACAAAATTCTCCAAAAGCTTCCAAATCTCAAATGGCTACCTGCATTGTTTGTATTTTTGGAGTTTATTGTTTTGTTAGATGAAATATTATAGCTCTATGTGACTAAAAAAAGAATAAAAGAAGATGGGTGTGTTTTACTTGTGAAATTTTGACGATGATTTTACTATTCTAATAATTATTTTTTTTCAAAAATATCAAATCAAATACCTATTTTTTTATTTATTATATTTTAATAAAATTTAATTTAACATTCAAAACATCACATCAATATATATTTATATCACATCAAACAACTATTTCAATTCAAAATTTTACTATTCAAAACCAACACCCAAAATCAAAATCTCACAAATAAACACAGCCTAGAAAAATATGGATTAAAAAATAAAAACACACACACATGACTAAACAAACCCTAAATTATACTCCCTCCGTCCCAAACAAAGTGCAACATTTATTTTTGGCATGGGTTTTTAGGTGGGTAGTATTAAGTATAATAATTTAAAAATTAGGTGATGTGATGAAGAGAGAAATATATATTTTATTTTTTTATTTGGATGATGTGAGGGGATAAAGCGTGGCGTAGAGATTATGTATAATTAATTATTTCCTATTATGGAAATGCTGTAAGTGTTTGGGATATATCAAAAAGGAAATATTGGCACGGTGTTTGGGACGGAGGGAAGTACTATTTAACTTGGCCCAAAAGAATGAAAATGTAATTAATCCCACAAAGGGGCAATATATTGGGCCTATATTTAAGGCCCAACATCTTCCCAATCGGCCTATTTTACAATGGCCCATTAAGGATTCTACATATATATATATATATATATACATATATATTGATAATATTCTATTTGATATATTTTATTTTAGAGTGAATTTATATTTCCAAACAAAGTAAATAAATAAATAAAAGCTCTTCACGATTATGGTGATGGCTGATATTTTGGAATAAAAAAAAACAAAACGTATAAGATTTGTTCTTGAAGACAATGATTGTGAAATTGTGTGTATATATATATATATATTATTGTTGATGAATTCAAAATGGAGCAATTACATTTCCATTAAGAAATGGGTGGAGAGATAAATTTGACACAAACCTAACCCGATGAATCAATATGGACTCCGTTTTATTAGTAAATAAAATAAAATATAATTGAAATAGTGTTTGATATTATATGAATAAATACCCGATATGATGCTTTGAATAAAAATTTAAATCATTTTTGTATGTGTAGTATATCAAATAAATAATATGCGTATGATTTATTGTTCTGGAGAAAACACACACATATATATATATATATGTATATATGTACTTTTAATTTTTTTAAAAAAAAAAAAATCTATCGTGGCTTTAGTTATTTAATTCAAATTAGAATATAAATAAATAAATATATTCTCAGAGAAGGACCAACAAATTGAGGTGGACGATTGGAGATTCCACTACTTATAGAGATGAGTAGATGTTCATCCTACAATATATAAGTTTATATTAATTAATTGTACTATTAATATATAAAATTAGACTTTACAAACCGTATATACATTGTAACAAATTAATTAATGATTCAACTATTTCATTTACTTTTTATTTTATTATCTAAATATGGACTTCATCATAGAATACCTCTAAATTATAATTATAACCAAAACATCACAAGTTCAATCAAATTCCAAAAAGAAAATATAATTATATATATATATATATAGATTTATTTGTTGTGGCTCCCCAAATCAGTTGGAAGTTTTGGAATTGGCCCATCTTTACTTACAACATTAATGCATATAATATATATATATATATGCTTATTCCACTATACATATGTATATAATTATTTACAGGCATAAACGTATCTTATATTAAATAAATAATTAATTAGACCATATAATTTAATTAAATGGAAAGTGGATTGCTGGATCATCATCACTATTATATTATATATATAATGCCACCAATCATTCACTGCATATCATATTCCCTACTATCAAATATATTGCTATTATTTTTTATTTTGTAAGAATAAAATAAAAATTGAATTTTATTAACTAAAAAATTAACAAGGATACAGCCGCCCATATATATATATATAAGTAATTCTATTGTTTTATTTTTTTTCATTAATAATTTGATTTGTATATTTTATTTAGATGTATTATCCAATGTTATTGAATTAGTATTTTGATTATCTAATAATAATTTTATTTGGATGTATTATGCAAAACAATAGACTTGCATGATTTTATCAATTTATATTTATATTGAAATTAAAATTAAAAATTTATTAATTTTGTTAATAATAAATATAGTTCATTATTTTACATTTTTTTTTTCAAATAAAAACTAACGTTTAAATATATATATATATACATGTAAAAACAAAGCACAAATAAATTGTTAATCCAGTTTGTTTGACCTCCAATTTTATTTACATCTGGAGATTCCAATCCAAGCTTGATAATTAAACATTTATACAAAATCAATATTTATAATAACGAACTCCAAGACAACAAATGCACAAATAAATTCATACTTATGTATAGTAAACTCCCCTCAAATGATGACTACCACACCTCAAATAATATATAATAGTTTTAAAATTATATAATTATTTTTTAAAAAAGACAAACAATTTTTAGTTTGTTTCATTCGATTTTTTCGGATATCTCTAAATATTTGAAGTATTTTTAAGTGTTTGAATTATATATATAAAAATAATAATTATATAAATACTACATAATAAAAATATAAAATTCAAATAATTAGAGGGGCCGAACAATCTTGAGCCCCCCACTAGCTCCGCTATTAAGGTCGGCTCGAGATCCGAGACAGTTCTCGATATTTCCTTTTGGGTCCTTTCCGATCAATCTATTTGTTGATCAGACTATTTATAAAAAATAAAAATAAAAATAAAAATAAAAATGAATTAAAACTCAAAAACGAAGTACATCCCACAATCAACAATTGTCACCGTTAATAATGTTTAAACTTTGTCTGTCTATTCCTTTCTTAATTAATTTCCTAACTAATTATATATATATATATATATTGAATTAAATTAATAGATAAATAAATAATGTGATATATAGTGGTGTGGTACTACGCAGTACGCACATACACTAGATGGTGCATTAAATTTTGTTGCTTTTGTTTGCATCATTCCTATCATACCCCAAAAAAATTCATTATTATTTAATTGAGTTAAATTTGGATTTGAAATTTGAGAATACCAAAAACTTTAAGTTAAAATAGTATTTGATATGAAATTTTAAATCAATTTCTTCGTGTCATATATATTAAATAAAAAATAATTATTGATTTAATAGTTTTGAGAAAGGAAAAATATATATATATATATATATTGATGAATACGACAAGAATAAAATCAGACATTAAAGAAACGTGCACTACTTATATATCTATGTGTATATATATATATATATATATTCCTAGTGTGCTAAATTTTATATATTTATTAATTTAGGGTTTTGTTGTGACATCATGATATTAGTTCAAGAACACTTTTTTTTCCCCAAAACAAAAAGGAAATAAAACAAAATAAGAGGTAGCTAGAATTGAAGAATAAAAAAAAAAGAAAAGATGAATTAATGAAATATGGAGTTGAGTCAGAGTGGATTCACAGAAAGGAAAAAACCAAAAAGATCCATCGATCATTCTATCCCACTTTTCCTAATTTATTATAAATTATTTATTTAGTATATATATATATATATATAATAAATAATATCTTGCACTCACAAACTTACAAGATTGCATGCATGCATGCACGTCCCTTTCATTATATATATTTATATTATTATTATTATTATTATTATTATTATTATTATTATTATTATAAAGGCGTGTCGAGAGCGTGTGCACTATCGATTTGACTACTTAAATAGTTACTAGAAGAGAAGATTGATTTTTTTATTTTTTTTATTATTTAATTTTAATTTAATTTTATTTTTTTGGTATTTGAATGGGATAATAAGTTGACCCATTTTTGCCATGAGAAGTACGGATTGTTTTTGGGTGTACTTAGTGAATGCTGAGTCATCCATTACTATTTCATATGCCCTAATTATAATATATAGAAAATTTAAAAATATAATATATATATATATATATACATACATATTGAATTTTCAATGAGCAATTCTCATCTTGTCTCCCAATAATCAATGTAAGATGATGATTGACAGCCAAACAAGCCACTATTTTCTCCACATCAATAATTAATTAATTATCGCATACTTATAAAATGTATTTGGATACATAGTTTATAGTCATAGTAAATCAATATAAATGTAACAAATGAATTAATAAACATAATCATAATAATAATAATAATAATTTATACAATACATATTACTATTAATAAACATAAAAAATATATTCTATAAATTGTGACAAGTTGATCGATCATGTTACTTTATAAATTTATTAATTGATCTACTTTTGATGACTTAGACAAATTAAATACGACTTAGATTAATTACACATAGATCCACTTTTTTTTTTTTTTTTTGGTTAGTGAAATTATATAAAAAATATATATATAGTAAATAGAATTATAGAAAATAGAATTAATTTAAAAAAGACAAGTCCACCAATGTTAAGTGTGTAATTTACAATATATATAAATTTAGGTAGCTTGGGTTTTAGTGGGGCAATTAAACTACTGGTCCTGTTTGAAAAAATAAAAAATCAATGGTCACACATTTATGTTTTTAATTAATCTATATAATTAAGCTTTCCAACACAATTAATTTACCATACCTAATAAGTAATTGCAATATTTACTAGGTATACGAAACGTGTCAGATTTATAACCAACATTATAAATACATATTCACATCAATTCATTTAAAATCTAAACAAAAAATTTCATATATAGTACTTGCTAATTAGTATAAATAAAATCATGTAAGACGACTAAGAAGCAATCCTAGGATATGTTCTTTTCTTTTTTTCAATAGTTTTCTTTTTCTTTTTCTTTTTCTTTTTTTATTACATATTTCATCGTTATGAATTTTTTCTTTTAAAAAAAAAAATATATTTTGTAACCACAAATTTATTTTATAAAAATTCATGTATTTATTTGGAGATTTATATATATATATATATCATAGAAATTCAGAACCGCTAACGAGTACGCTTTAGGTAAACTTTCGGCTGAATTTAATAGCCTGCAAACTAAGTCCGACAAAACAAGTCACACTAGATGAATATTCCCTCTGTCATTCAAATCTATGTTCACTTTTCTTTTTGAATTGTCATCGAAAAATATATTCTCATTTCTTTTTTAAGTAAAAAATCATTTCATTTTTATACTATTTTTTACTATAAAAAAATTAATAATTATTATTCACTTCTATTAAAATACGTGCCCAATCAAATGAGCATACGTTTGTACGATGGATGGAGGGAGTATATATTTGTAGGTTTGGGAGTTGAGTTGGAGATTAATTTCGTGTAAATTGGTGTTGTCCGTAATATTTGAAAAAAATAAACATATAATTTGATGTCTTTTTAAAAAATAATAATAAAAAATTTAATCCCGATTAAAAAACCGACAAAACATACACACCCATACACATACATATCTATATCTATCTATATATATACACACAAAATACATAAACACATACACATACATATCTATATATTTTTTATATATACATATAAACACACACATCGACAGAGAGACAGGCAAACAGGAAAATACATACATATATATAGTGGACACAGACGAACGATCGATTCGATGAGCAAAAAAGAGAGAAAGAAGAAAGAGAATATTATTATTATTATTATTATTATTATTATTAATTTTAGAAGCTTGTCCGAAAGGCGGGGCTGTGTGTGGAGCTCGTTGGCTTATTTAATTAGGTCGTCGTCGAGTATGAACCTAGGCAGTACTGCAGAAATTAATGGAATTATCAATAACACCATGGCCAAGGGAGAAGAAGCTTCTGCTACTGCAATATCTGCAGGTGAATTTAACAACAACAACAACAATAATAATAATAATAATAATAATTTCAGCAGCTGGAGGAAGAAGACGATGCAGTGGTGCGCCGAGAAATTAGGGTTTCTATTACTGTGCAATAACAAGAAGATGAAGATTAACAGTGGTGAGGAGAGTACGAGGAGGATGATCCACAGCAGCAAGGTAGGGGTAGCCCTGGTCATCGTGTCTCTTGCTTATCTGCTCAATCCCATGTTCGAACAGGTCGGGGAGAATGCCATGTGGGCAATCATGACTGTTGTTGTCATGTTCGAGTTCTACGCTGGTAATGCTAATGTATACATACAGACATATATATATATATATTACATTTTGTATGTGTATATATAATCTTCTCTCTCTCACACACTCTCTCTCTCTCTCTCTCTCTCTACAGGTGCTACGATAGGAAAAGGGATCAACAGGGGAATAGGGACATTTGTTGGGGGTGGATTGGGGTGCTTAACTTCACTTCTTGCTGATCAAATTGGAGGCCTTGCCCATCCTATCATCATTGCTTCTTCACTCTTCCTATTTGGTAATCGGTGCCCACTTCATTCTAATTTTATTTTATTTGTATATTCAGTTTGACCGTACATTTCTTAATAAAATAATTTCTTTTTTTTAAATTAAAAATGAATACTTTTGAAATGAAACAAACGAAAATGATAAAAAGAGTACTTGGGACAGACAGACAGAGTATACTTATAAAAAATCAATAATTCAATCCAAAATATTACTCCCTGTATTAGTGATGATTACCATTTTTGTCTGTCTAAAAACGTATCGTTTCCATAAATATTCATATCACCCTAAAACTACCATTACTTTTTCATTTTTATTACACAATTGCCTTTTACCCGTACCTTTTACTCATTACTATCATTTTGATTTTGGGACGGATGGAGTACTTTTTTTATAGTTTTCCATGGCACATACAAAAAAATATTTTATTTAAAAACGCTGAGTAAACATTGATTATATGTGGTGTTAGGGTGTGGTGCGACGTACTGCAGACAACTGCCAAAGTGGAGGAAAAGATACGACTATGGCCTGATGATAGCGATTCTGACATTCAATCTGGTGGCGGTTTCCGGCGTCCGAGCCGACCGGATTTTCAAGCTGGCTCAGAGCCGGCTTGCCACCATAGCCATGGGCTTCGGTGTCTGCATATTCATCAGTGTCCTCGTCTTCCCCTTCTGGGCAAGTGATCATCTCCATTTCTCCATTGCCTCCAGCTTCATCACTCTAGCCAATGCTCTCCAAGGCAAGCAATTACCACTTTTATTTTATATTTATTTCTCTAACAAAATATATCCTACATATTTATAAATAACAAATTTTGAAAACACGTGAGATATCAGGATATTTTTTGGTAATTTTTCTCAACTTCATTTATTCATTAATTATTCATTCATTACACCATTAATTAATTACTGATGTTTAGACATGGATGGATTTTGTGTTTGTGTAGAGTGTTTGGATGACTATTTCACCATCGAATGCCACAAGGAAATTGATCAAGATCATAAGACCAAGAATCACGCCTGCAAGTCAGTGCTCAACTCCAAATCAAACGAAGACTCACTGGTAATTATAACAGTACTGCTTAATTAATTTCCTTAATTAATTATTACATATATTAATTAATTAATTAATTAATTGTCATTATATATTTCAGGCAAATTTTGCAAAGTGGGAGCCATGGCATGGCAAGTTTGGATTGAGCTATCCATGGGAGAAGTATCTGGAGATTGGGGAGCTTTTGAGAGACCTCTCTGTCACTATTCTCTCTCTCAAAGGATGCCTTCAATCACCCAAACAGGTAATCATTAATTAACATCAAATCAAATTAAATTGATTTTTTTAGCCCGTAACTGAAATTTTTACGAACTAATCCGGAAGTAAAAAAAGTTCGTAATTTTAATCTTTCGGCGCGTGAGATGTCTATGTGGCATCCGCATGGCAAGCCGGAGGACACGTGTTCGCCAGTTCAGCGACGCGTGAATATTTATTGTTTTGTAAATTTTAAATTTTCAAACAAAAATTTGAAGTTTTTTAATTTTTACAAAAAAAAAAGACAAAATTAAATAAATTAAAAATTTTCTAAGAAAAATAAAAAATAAATAAAAATTCACATAGCAGACACGTGGCCTTCGGCGAGCCACGCGGGCATCTCCGACGCCGGAGGACAAAAAATGCAAAAATTTTTACTTACAAGACTAATTTACGACATGCTATAATTACGAAACTAAAATGATAAAAGTTTCGATTACAGGAGTAAAAAATCAATTTACCTAATTAATTATTAATTAAATGTCAATACTAATCTTAATTAATTTAATTGTCTTCTTCTTCATCATCATCATCATCAGCCACCAGCCATGGAAAGGCAGAGGCTGAAGGAGCCCTGTGAAAGTTTCAGCCTCTCAATAGGGTGGATACTAAAGGAGCTCGGAGAAGGGATCAAGAAAATGGAGCTAATCCAAACAAAACTTTCGATAACCCCAAAAATCGAGTCTTCGAGACAATTGCTGACACCTCACCTCCTCTCCCATTCCTGCAAGATGGAAGTTGTCGATACAACTGATGAAAATCTTGCCATCACCACTGTTAGTTTCTTATTGCTCGAGATTGTGGATAAGGTTGAAATTTTGGCTAGAAAAGTCGAAGAATTGGGAGATTTGGCTGAATTTAAAGCCAAGAAAGTTCATGTATAGCTTCAATTGCTGCTCTACCATGTCCAGGCCTGTACATAGATTGAGAAAGTTTCACACAACTTTTAACAATTTCTACACATATATATATATGTATGTATATGTCAAATGTAATGACAATAAATGTGACTGAAGAAGTAATGTATGCTCTGTTCTAACTAAGAATGAAATTTTTTCCTATTTTTCCAGAAGCATCAAAAGCTACCTATCTTTGTGTATCCCTGTTGAATTGTTCGGTGGCATTCATCGATCGGGTAAAAAGATCGAATTTTTATCTGCCGTTAAAATCTGGCGTTTGAGGAAAAGGGTGTAGAGGAGTTCGTTCCACGCATCGGGGACACCGGGAAGGCACCAATGGCTGCAGTCTTGGCGGTGAAGAGGGGCCGGGCCGAGTCCGGGCTCTAAATAGTACAAAGAAGAGTGTCCATCTTTTCGTCGGGATGTCATACTTGTTATGTTTAAGAATTCTACATGTCCTGTTTTTATAAGCTCTGTTAAGCCATCCACAGCTGTTTTGTACTCGAGGTTTGATTGAGAAGACGCCGGCGCTGTACTCGAACTAGGTATCGTCTCCCCGTGACAGCTCCCGCCGTTCCTCCAATCGCCGCCTCTGTGAAGAAAATATTAAGAAATTGATCATCTCATCTAAAAGTTTAAGTTTAAAGAGATACATATCATTTATGTTAGATGATTAAATGATATGAATGACCGTTTAACCTAAATTTTTTTTTTTTTTTTTTGCGTTTAACCTAAAAATTTAAGTTTAAGAGATACGTATCATTTATGTTAGATGTTTGTGAATGATCGTCTCACATAAAAGTTTAAGTTTAAAGAGATATATATCATTTATGTTAGATGATTTGAACGACCGTCTCACCTAAAAACTTAAGTTTAAAGAGATACTTATCATTTATGTTAGATGAGTTGAATGACCGTCTCACCTAAAAGCTCAAGTTTAAAGAGATACGTATCATTTATGTTAGATGATCTGAATGACCGTCTCACCTAAAAGTTTAAATTTAAAGAGATACGTATCATTTATGTTAGATTATTTGAATGACCGTCTCACCTGAAAGTTAAATTTAAAGAGATACGTATCATTTATGTTAGATGATCTTAATGACCGTCTCACCTAAAAATTTAAGTTTAAAAAGATAAGTATCATTTATGTTAGATGATTTGAATGACCGTCTCATCTAAAAGTTTAAATTTAAAGAAATACGTGTCATTTATGTTAGATAATCTGAATGACCGTCTCACCAAAAAGTTTAAATTTAAAGAGATACGTATCATTTATGTTAGATGATCTGAATGATTGTCTCGCCTAAAAATTTAAACTTATATTAAGAATACTCCTGTATGTAGATAAATAATTAATATATGGAATTAACCAAGAACAGATACCTAAAATGCACGGGAGCATGAGTCCGGAAGATCAAATGCGTCTTGGTCGAATTCACTTCGCGGATTATCCAATCCGCGAAAGTCTTGATAGACTTCCGGAATGCATTCTCGACGCTCATCTCCATCTTTATCTCCGACCCCTCTTGAAAGTAGCAACCCCTATTGTTCCAACATCGAATTCAAGATCATAGATTAGCATTGACGACTAACTATCCATGGAAGTCGAAAAGAAAAAAATCGAAACTCTACCCTCTAACAGTCTTTCCAAAGTTCCACCAGTGACCTGTGTTGAAGATCAGCACATCTGCACCCTTCCATTGTGGACTACTCCAATCCATACGATCGAGCTTCAGCGTCATTTTGACGTTTTCGGGGGCGCCAACGGGGGCGCGGCTTTGCAGAACAAGGAATGGAGATCTGTAGTACTCGATGGTGCAGTTGAAGTCGGCGAATTTGTAAAGTAAAGCGCCGGAATGCTTCGTGATCGGGCTCCCATTCACTTCGAATATCGATGTTTTGTTCCTAACAACTGAAGACAGCATGCAGAGAAGGGATTCCCATTGGTTTCTTCCTATAGAATCTCCGACAAAAACGAGGCGTTTGTCGCGCAACCGTTCGAGCATTTCTCCTGCGTCGAACCTGCTATCATTTTAATCTAACAGTTCATAACAAAGAACTTCAAAGAAAAAAGAAGTAATGCAATGCGTTCTTTTTGTTAATTATTTTGTTGTGATTGAATTTATTCGAAAAATAAAGAATTTTGGGATTTTAAAAAAAAAAGATTATAGATTGAATGAAGTATAAACAAAATAAAATAAGAGTGAAAATAAAGCAATTATGGAATAATGAATGAGAGTTTAGTAACTATGGCCAAGTGGATGAGACTTACTATAAAGTTTCTCATTTCTCAAAAAATCCATCAAAACTAACAAATTTTCGGTGTTTGGTATAGATAATAAAATTGAAAAAAAAATGCTACTAGATAATAGAATTATACAAAATAAATTTAATAGAGAATGCGAATTAATATTGTTTGATAAAACAAAAAAAAAATTATTAAGTTATTTGGATTGATCAATCAAGAATAAATGATTAGTCAGACAACAAACCAACAAGAATTCATATTTTTGTTTAAATAATAAATTAGATACCACCTCCTATCGAAAGAGCACCAATTGTCATTTAACATTTAAAAATATTCTCGTACCGTAATATAATTTATTTTATAAATATCATAGTAGTTGTACCATAAGAATTAATATATATATTTTTTTAATTTTTACTATATATTAATATAATAATTGATATTTAAAAATCAATCGTGAACAAAAGTCATAGTATTCTTGTTATGGACAGAGATAGTACTGTCAATTCTCTCAAACAAAACGCCCTAGAAGTATACTATAGTTCTAACATTCTTCCATCCTTACACGAGTATATATTAATTTCGTTACATCCAAATCCAACAAGAATACAAACACAGAGACACAAGAATCATTAAAGGCAAGAATGGAAGAAGGAGAAACCTGGGCAAACTGCAATCCTTAGGCTGCCATCGCCACTTGCTGTAGAGCTCATCAGGTCTACCATTTTCAAGACATCGAAAACCCACATCCAAGAACACACAATCTCGTGAATTATAAAGTGGGTACCCCTCATCCCACACCCAATCCCCTTCAAAAATGTTACAATCACCAAACCCAACCTTTACAGAGGATTTCCAATGGAAACCAAAACCATCGACGATTCTGTAATCAAACATGAACAGGCTGAAGATCAAGAAGAGGCTGAAAAAGAAGCATCCCAGTACCCCAGAAGTGGGAGCCTCTTTAGGCATCAATTTCTTGGCAAAATCGAACTGGGTCATGCTGCAGATTACACCTCTTTTAACAAAACTCCATTTTTGTGAAACTGAACAAGGATTGATTTATTGATTGATATAATTGCAGAGGAAGGAGGAGAGTTATGGCGATAAGGGAGTGTGGGCCAATCGAAAGTTGAAATGGAGAGGAGACGAAATTAATTGGGGGAGGAGATAAGCTCAGGCTGAGTTTCTTTTTCGAATCTAATTAAACAGTAGGGAGAAATTTTGGGGAGATGAGACCAATTGAAAACTAAAATCGAAATTTAAACAGGGCAGGACAGAGTTAGAATATGTGAAGGTGAGGGGTGGGGTGGGGTGGGGTCGTTCTCGTTCACTACGACAGATTTACAGACAGAGAGACAGACATTCATGGCAAAGCTGAGTTCTTCTTCACTTTACTCAATAATCTTCAAAAACCCTACACACAAATCCGCCATTAAAGTCAAATTAATCTTCGAAATCCTTGCACTCATTGCTCCGATGATTCTGAGTAGAAAGAAGATTACAAATTTGGAAGATAAACTTTGTAATCGTAATTATTGACTGTTGGGAATTTTTAGTGGGGCCCTCGATGACGTGGACGTATAAATTAAAGTCAATAATCGAGTTGGAATTTAAACTTCGCATGGGACCCACGAAATATTATTTAGATTTAAGTCCTTATTATATTGCACCGACGTCGACGGCGCCGTATTCCCGGCAGGTCCTGGGACCTCGAGCTCCTGAAAAATCCCCACCGTCCATCATCATCAACAATACACACAAACCATAAAACACATATCCTTCGACTACGTGAAAGATCTGCAACAAACAAGTTCACATAACACACACATATACATATAGAATGTGTGTATGTATCTATATATATATATAGATCGATTCAATCTTAATCTTCACAAACAGTAAAGACAGAATGTAACACAAGCTGCAATACTTCCGAGTATCCAAATTGTGTCCAACCTGTTCTCGTACCTCATCTTCTCCTCCTTCAGCTCGCTCTGAACTTTCGAATACCGTAAACACGACTCGACCGCCGCGCCATAATTCTTGCTCCGGGGGCAGCCGAGCGCGTCCCTCAGCACCAGCAAGCTGTTCCGGCCGTTGACGTGGGACCCCTCCATGTCGCCGAGCTGCATACTCAGCTCCGTCAGCTCGATCGTCGTCCGCGCGCCGCTCCCGACGAGCTTCAGCTTCATGATCAGAATGCATTCCACAACCCTACAAGGTAGAATATCCTTTGCCGGAAGAATCGACCCGAATCGGATCAAGAAGTCGTTGTCCGTAGGCCAATGCCGTTGCCCGCCGACGGGGCTCCAGCTTGACAGATTCGCGGCCTTCTTCGCTTTCCGATTTACGAGAATCCAGCTCAGCCGGATCCCGTCGCAAATCTCCTGCCAAAGCTTCCCGTCTTTCCGCTCCCTCTCCATCGACCAAACGGGCGACAACCCGTCCGTCACCGTAAGCTTAATTTCGTCCCGCGCCGAGTACGCGAGAAGATCGATCCGGAAAGGGCAGCTGTAGAACCAACCGTTGAAGCTGTTGGTGTTCGGAATTCCCCACAAGACTTTCGAACAAATCGTCGTGTCGTTGTACCTGATATCCACGATCGACACGAAATCCGACGGCGAGATGTTCTCGACTTCATCGTCGTCTCCGTAGTATTCCGCGTCGGTCCACTCTTCCGGGAAGTCGTAGTAGTCGTTCCAGTGAAACTCCGGGACCTCCTTGCTGACTATAAGAGGGAAACAGTCGGCGTAGAAGTTCTTGAACCCGCCAATCGAAGAAATTAAGTTCTTGACGTCGTCCCGATTCGTCGAAGGCCACATAGAAGTACAGGCATCTTCCCACAGCCTCTCTTCTTTCGAAATCGAACAAAATGTAGCACAAGAACAGGCGGCGCTGGCCAATGTAGCACCGTCCAGACGCTTTAGTATGTCGTAGCAAAGATCGCTGCTCAGCGAAGCCAAGCTTTCGACTGACATTGTTAAATCTTTCTTACCATCTGAAACCAAACCAAACAGAGCTTTAATAAATCGCCCTAGACGGCTGTTCTAACTTTCGACACAAATTCTTACAACCCCAACTTCATTTCTACTCTTTACCACAACAAAGGTTCAAATTTGACAAAATTAGGGTTCCATGAGATTCAAATTTGCAGAATCTGTAAGCAGATGAAGTTTATGTCTTCACAAAATTAGGGTTCCAATAATTTGGCACATTTTGCACAATAAATGTCCATTGCTAAATTGAATCTTCAGAATAAAAGAAAGTCGAAAGGTATGATCATTCTTGTAGTCCCAATTCCAGTTGCCTAATCAACTAAAATAGCAAAACAAAGACTAAGGGCATCTCTGTTCTACAATTTCTTACTTTCTGCAACAAGCAAGTTTCATATGACACATACCTTTCACACCAAATCCACAGTATAACCAACAAAACACGAATTATTTTGCTCAAACACAAAAATAGATCAATCAACACAATGAGCAAGAATCAAGAATCAAGCAAATCAAAAAACCCTAAATCGAAGAAATCGTGTGGCTGGGTAAGAAATTTGCAGAAATTAAGAGAAACATACCCGAAGACAACAGTAGAAGAAACAGATTGAAGAAGAATTAACCCATCTTGAGAGGAGACGTTCATGTCTTTCTAATTACAAGAAATTGAGAGAATACTATGAATGCAAATTGAATATAGAGAGAGAAAGAGAAGAGACACGAGGTCCCTTTCCAGATTTCCCTTATTTATCTGCAAAAGATCTCTTCCTTTGTCGGGTCCCAAATTGATTCTTAGGTAATTCGAAAAAAGCCCTAATTCTCTCGCGATGTGAAGCTGTGAACTGTAAATTAGGTTTTATCAGAGTGAGAAAACTAAATTAAATTGCATTAAATAAATAAAAATCTCAAGAGACGACGACCCTCTCCCAGAAGATGAAGGCTGATATGCTTACACGTATAAGAGTTCCAGAAGAAGACCAAATGGGACCCAAAATACGCGATTTTTACAATGACGAAAAATTAATCGTATTCTCCTATCTGCAATGGCGTGGAACTTCTTCACCAAAGCCCTGTAAAATTTTCGACTTTGGAAGGTATTATTCTACTACTGTTCTTGGAGACCATGGATTTGCTGAAGCTTTTTGCAATAATTTGCACACATTAATGGGGTGGGAAAGAAATGAAGGAACAAGAACACGGGAAATTAAATTTGTTGAAAATGACCATTAACATACAAACAAAATCCCACAGCATAAATAAAGCATTAACCTGATTGCGCCATTACCTGGTGTCGGGTAAGCACTGAACTTTAATATAAAAAGGTCATTACCAAATCAGGATTAGGATTAGGATTAAGATTAGGGTTAGGATAAGAAAATATACCTACAGATCCACCTGAGCCGGAAAAGGGTATCCGAACCGGTCCAGCGCCGCCAAACCGGAATCTTGTTTCAATAAACAGGAAGATCAAGAACAGAGAACGAAGATTTGTAATGGCATCAACAATGTGATCCAAAAGTTGTTTATTACAGCAATGCATTCATTGTTTGTGAGAAACTGAGGATGCGACAGATTTAGCAAAGTTCTTACAGAAAAATTACACACAACACAACTTGTTTCGAATGTATTTTTTGTTGTTCTTTTAGCTGATTACACCAAAAGTGAACCTTCCATAACAGCAATGGCTTTTCCTCGGAGCAACGCCCGTTGATTCTTCGAATCGAGGCTTAGATGGAGCACTCCACCTCTCGGAGAAGCCTAATATGTAAGAACAACATAGTTAGTTGTCTCTCTACCAATGCGCGTTTCGATTTAGATTTAGATTTATAGAGCTCGGACTTACTTGATAGGCTACAAGATCGCATTTTCCGAGCTTCTTGCTCCAATAAGGTAGTAATGCGCAATGAGCGCTTCCACATACGGGATCCTAATAAGGCAAGAAAAATCGACCAATTTGGAAACATCGTAGTTGTGTTGTATTCAGATTCTTTTTTTTCTTATACTATAAATTTATTTTATATTCAAAACATCGTATCAATATCTATTTATATTACATTAAACAACTATTCACATTCAATTTTTTACTATTCATAAATTCAAACCTACAAACAAACAGACTAGTATATGTTAAGACATAGATTCGAGCTTGAGGTAAGAGCGCGCCTATTGTAGTAAAAATGTGCTGATCGGAACTAATCAACAAATCAAAATAGAAACAACTATAAATGCTGTATAAATTGTTAGTTTGCGCTATCGGTTCTAATTTATGTGTTGTACAAACTACTATCATCAGTACGTCTGTGAATAATAAGCTTAAAATTTGAATTTATCGAGCTTAACATTACCTCATTTATCCCTAGTTTCGGGCAAAAGAATCGACTATAAAAATCGAAGCCAGAGCCAGGGGGACCGAGCCCAGTAATGAGTAATCCTCTACCGAGGCATTTTTGTATCAAGTCGAAGTTAGGTTCTACTCGCGCGACATCTTCACCAGACGGTAGCACAGCCTGCAGCAGCCAAAATCGAAGAATCATACATTGAAACAATACAAAGACTATTGTTCAGACACAACAATACATACGAGGAGATCTTCTGCCGAGGTTGTCAAGTGGATTTCATTCACTACAGCGCCGTTCAAGCTTTTCGAAATAGTCGAAACATCAGCAGCAGGGCCATTGTAGTCCACCAGCTCGACGACTGGAAAATCCAGCTCAATGAGGAAGCTACCAGATGTGTCTGAAATCCCGGCTTCGGATACTTTCTTCGCTGTCAAAATCCCCGACAGCGTCGTGAATTCGATTTCATTACCTTCAACCAAATCATGTGTGAAGAGAAAGTGAGCTGCAGCCAAAGTTGCATGTCCACAAAGTTTCACCTGCAAACAAACATCGATCGACATACAGATATTCGATCTTTCTTCAAAAACAGGCTCAACATTGTAATAAAAGCACACTAATCTTATCCCAGATCGAAGATCATTGAATGAGTTAGCTAGCTTGCAATAATCACGAACAAACAGAGCCTAGTGACGACAGTGCTGACCTCAGCAACGGGAGTGAACCAACGGAGGCGGAACTTGGGAGCGGAGCCGGTAAGGCGAGTCAAGTAGCAAGTTTCCGATAGATTGAACTCACGCGCCACCGCTTGCAGCCACTCCTCGTCCCTCTCGTCCTCCAGGAGGCACACCGCCGCCGGATTCCCTTTGAATGCAGAGTCAGTAAACGCATCGACCTGTTTTTACGCATTAATGGCGACTCGGTGAAGATTCCCAATCACACAATTAAAACCAAAAAAAAAAAATATAGGATTGGAGGGATTCATTTTCATTTACCACGCAGTACTTGATTTGCTTTCTCGCCATTACTGCAACTTCTTAGAACCAATTGCAGAAGAGAAGGGCTATTTGAAGACGACAATTGGGTCAAATTTCAAAGGCGAAAACTACATCACATTTCTTGTCAACAAAGTAAATAATATTAAAATCGATGGAAAAGATATTTTAAGACAAATTAATATAGACATGGATAAAAAGGTTAAGTTGCAAAAAAAAATATAGGAGTCTTCGACAGTGTCAGATGATGTGTCTCACGAGAGAGCGGATAAAAAGGCACCATATCGGATGCACAGAACAAGCTCGATCTATTAAAAAAATAATACATCATTTATAGAACGATAAATTCACCTAAAAACTTAAATTCGACGTAGTATCAGAACCCTAAACTAAGTTTTAAATTTGAATTTTTAAATGAGAGGGTCTTTCTCTCTGCACATATGAGAAACCATATAAAAGATTTAAAACTTAAAATTATTGCTTCAGAAAAGGCCATTTATCAGTCACTATCATCAACCCAAACATTCAATGAGGAATCAGTAACAGTTACAATCTTGAACATGAATTAAAACATATGTTCAAATCCCACAGATTCTGTGTCTGATCTTTGTGAAGATACAGAGGCATTTCAGCACAATCTATCATCCACCAAGAACAATTATTACCAATTGGGGCCACTGGCAACATTGCCAAATCTTTACATCACAATAACTAATACAGATAAAAGTACACAAGTTGAAATATATATATATGTCCAATTATATCACCATAACCCTTCTTTGGCCATTTTCAGAAAGTTGCAGAGAGTTATGTTCGGGAGTTCTATGTGAGAGACAGGCTGCTTCTTTCTTATTCTTGTCGACTTCAGGGAATTTCCATTTTTCGATTCGGTGACTGTGGTTGAGACCAGGTTGTAGTACTGCAGAGAGGTGGTTTAATTATGTCAAATATGTAAGAGATCAATGTGAGATATTATTATATTGGACGCCGTACCTCGCAGACACCATGAAGTAATAATCGATAAAATGGATCCTGAATGTTTAGCACAAGAACATTGTCTGCGTCACCACTGTCTTTTACATAGGAACGTATGCATTCCTGGGGTGTATTATTGCAAATTTGAAATGGGAAAAGGATAGATGGGAGGAAGTGTGTAAAAGGATGCGCGGATCAAATACCTCGTACCCATGGATGACCTCTGAAAGATAACATCGGCGCAGAGCCTCTCTGGTTCGGCTATCTACGCGATGCCAAGCAGTAAGTGCAGCAACTTTGTCGACATCCTGGCGATCTCTCTGCTTCGATGAAGAGTTTCCAACAGATTTTATAATAGATGCCTGAAGGAATACGGAAGACAAAAAAGTGTCGGAGCATGTTGAAAATGACATAATAAAAAAGACAATACATGGTTCATTAACAGATATGTAAAACCCCAACCACAAGCTGAACACTTCGCTCGATGAAAAAGTGGTGACTACAAGTAACAAGTGGGTTCTATATTGTGTCAATTTCGAGAGAAATTAAATAGAGAAATGGATTATCACTCAATCTAATATGCACATTTTCCAGTAGAATCCCATTAAAGCCAAAATAAACGAGAGGTCTAAAGATAATAGAAACTCGTTCAACTAATGCAAAATAACCTAGAGCCAAATTTATTTCGGTAAAAACTTTTGGGTTTCTTTCTTGAAACAAAGAAATGAGTTTCTGTCGAATAATTTAAAGAGAGAAAAACCTCTTTATCCATGTCTATATTTCTGAAATTATCCCATTCTCCAACATTTGTCATGCTAAATGCAGAAGGAGGAGCGTCTTCGCCTACAAAATCAAATGATCGAATTGTCAAGTTTGCATTCAGTACATTCTGAACCTGAGCTTCCGTATAAAAGACACTGAGAACAAGTCCATAGTAAACATATTATATGAACTAAAGTAATGAAAAACTCGAACAATTAGACTTAATCACACAAATATAAAAAGATTACTAACTCCGTTTTTCAGGAGAAACTTACCCCATGGTGGTGGAGCAAACAAGCCCCTAATTTCATTAGCATTCAGACGAGGTACAAGCTCCATCAACAAGCGGTCATTCAACCATCTTCGAGATCTTCGGTTGCTCACCTATAGGACAGAAAATTCAGCCTCACCTCACTTTTTTACTGACCAAATAATGAACACACTTGATATCCACTTGATATCCAGTACAAACTATAAAAATATACATAAAAAACCTTACAAACACAAGATTCTCGTAACCAAATAATAATTAATCATAAACCTATGCATACATACTTTACGCCCACATACATCACATACGTGTATATATATATATATATATATACACACACACTAACCAGGATGAAAATGATGGCTATTCAATATAACATCTACTGACCTAATCTTTTCATCTATGTACCTTCAAATCATTTCAACAAATGTGTAATGCTAAATTCACACATAAAAGAGAAGAAAAACACAGATCCTCATTCATCACTATGTACAGTGAATTCCCACAATTTCTTCCACCATCAAAATCACTAACCAAAGAAAGCTCAAATATGCATCGAACAAGATATATTCAATTTTCATCAAGTTTTAATCTGAAATTAAGATACACAAGAATACAACTCCTTCATTCACACTTGACAATAACATAAATAAATATTTGAAAAGGAAATCCAAGAAAAGTTACTTTTCCAGCCAAACTCTCCAGAAACTCTATCTTTTTCTCGATATCTAACCCCCGCGAGCTTCCATCTGTAACAATTTAAATGCAACATCACCGTTTCTTTGCCCCCAATGTATATTTATATTTATATATCGATATACAGATATATATGAGAAGAACAAGAATAAAGCGGTTAAACAGCAGACAAAATTGAAGTATCAGAGTCAATTACAAATTGCCGATTCAATTAAATCCCTAATTCACAAAAAGAAATGACAAAAACAAAGACACAATTTTAAGAAAAGATCTAACCTTTAGGAGTAGAGGCATCAAAGAGGGAAGCATATATCATGAAATCTTGTTCCGTCTGCAAAATTTCAGGAGTAGCCATGATTCAACGGCGGCAAATTGTAAAGAAACAAGATTGTTTTTTCTTATCTCTTCAGAACCTAACTTCGAAGACGAAGACCCAGAAAGAAGGTAGGGAATATGCCGATTGAATTCTTGGACGAAACGTAAATTGTTTATATTTATAAATAAAATTAATTAAACTAATAAATACTTGATAATTTGTTAAAATATTAAATACACTGACGCTTTCGTATGTTTTCACATCACATAGTACTAACGCTATGATGTTTAATTTTTGGAAGAGGAATTGAATAATTTCATTTCAAAAACCAACACCTATTTGTCCACTCATAAGAGCATGGACAATATCAATATAAACATAAATATACAATAACCTCTCTCTCTCTATATATATATATGCTAACATCCCGTGAAATTTAAGGTGGTATCGTAGACATCAACCTCAGTTTGCATAAGAGAATATGAAAATGTTCGGAAAAAAAATATTGATGAAGAGACCTGCCGGTTGATCTTTGGAGAAGATCGGTGCTTAATACGCTTGTAGAAGATATCATTTTACGCAATATGTATATCATTCTAAGTATAGTATACTTGCTAACTTCTATGGTTTGGTGATTACTGTCTCATCTTGGTGCCCTACTCTTTGTTTACTTTATTTTTTTTTATGTTCGAATTATTTTATGTTATCTCATTCGTTTTTTTTTCTTTTTTGGTACCGCTTTTAAACATGGTTTTATCATATTTTCTGCAATAATTTATATTTTTTTATTTTTGTTGAAATCGATATGCGTTCTTTGATTATAACAACATCTTAATTTGTGTGTTTCATTTGATGAATTTACACCTTTCTTGACTTTTTTCTATCCTTTGCTCATTTCCTTCATTAGCTTTATATATATATATATATATATATATACACTTTATACAATCAAAGAAGACTATGAGAAGAAAATTAAGAATCTTGAACGTTTAAACTCAAAAAGGTACATCACTTGCATCTTGAGTTACATTAATCATTGATGAGTTATTATCTGGTTATTAGTTTTGTGTTTTTGTAAAGTTTCATATATGTATTTTTATAGTTCGTATTGGAAAAAGAATAACAAATAAACTTTAACTTTCAATTTATCATTTATACACAAATTATAAATTTCATGGATGTGAAAATTGTATTTGTTATTTGGTTGGTTAAATAGTAAAGTGAAATTGAATTTTGTTTTACAGTGAGTAATAGAAAATTAAAACGGAAATTGAACGATAATATATTAGTGGAGCTTGATCTCCGTGTAAATCCTAATAAATTCAGGGCCTATTTGCTCCATGGAGTAAGTGAAAATTTCTCTCAAAAAATAAAAATGAAGTTCAAAATCTATTTTATATTACCATTTATGTTTCTTTATTCGAATTTTATAGTTAATTCAATTATTTGATTATATTTTGTAGGCCAAACTGCTCCTTCTACACCATTTAGTACAACAGAGGAAGAAATTTTATTTTTTATTTTTTATTTTCTCTTTTGTATTTGTATTTGCATTTCAATTGTGGTTGGTTTTTAAGTATTTATTAATGAATCATGCATTCTTATCTTCTTTTTTTTTCAGGCTTCTTTTATAAAATCTTTTGATAACTCCCGGCCGAGTTAGAGTTCTAGGCATGGTAGAAAAAAAATTTCGTTCCAAGAAATTAAAACACAATGAAAATAATTATTTTATTCATTTTATATCTTTGAATTAATAATTTTTTTATATTAATAATATAAAAATAATATTTTATATTAAATTATTAAATTTGTGTGAATGGATAAAATATATATTATATATATTGTTAATAGATGTATATTATGAATAATATTTATAGAGACTAGTTGCATGCAAAAATGTTAAATGATAAATAGTAAAGAATATTAAGTAACATTTAAGAGAGTTCTAAAAAATTAATCAATGTTGTATATAAATGTATATATTTTTAAAAATATTGTAAATAGTAAAGAATATTAAGTAACATTTAAGAAAATTAATGAAGTTTTTTAAAAAAGAAAATACGTGTTTCGGTGACCACAAGTAATGTAATGTTGATCGATGATAAAAAATTTTTAAAAAAAAAAGAAAAAAAAATTCTTCATCTATGTCAACATTTTTAAAATAATCTCAATATTACTGAGTGATAATATAAAAATTACAATCATAATTCCAATATTATTTTTGAAGAGAAACTTTTACTTACCCATAATGCAAACATACCTCTCATTTTTCTATTACATTAGGAACTAATGAATTTTTCAATACAAACTATTTTTTTTTGTTCAGCGGTTCCATAATATCAATTTAATACGATTTTGGATTAATAATAAAAAAATATAATATATATTCATATAAAATATATATTGTAATATATAATTTATACACTAAAAAATACAGACAATTTAATTATTTTTTATACTATCTACATTCTTGTTCATATTTAATATAAAAAAACACTTTAAACTAAAAATACAAAATTAATATACTAGTAAAATAAATTTAAATTATTAATTGATATTTTAAATTATTAATTTATTTAAATTATCATTAGTAAAATAATTAAATATAAGTAACATTAATAATTATAAATAAATACTCCATATGAATTGTAGTAGTATGCTTAAATATAATATTATATTTTATAAAACCAATAAAATATACTCCCTTCGTACCATAACAAAATATCAAATTTTTTTATTTTAGTCTTACCCATAACAAAGTATTCATTTCTTTTTTTTTTTTAATAACCGTACTATCTACCTAATGTTACAAATACCCTTACAACTTATAATATATTACACAAACGTCATTACATTTATATCACACATACTAACAAGGTTATTTTAGTCATTTCGACTTTATTCATGCTATATCCCAATATAATACTAATATTTCTAAAACCACGTGCAAAACGCAAATGGATACTTAGTTTCGGAACGGAGGGAGTAATATATTAATACAAGAAACACGGGCAGGAACACAGCCGTGTTCAGAAGTACAGGGTAATCGACACGGCCGTGTTGGCTGCCTGGGACGTCCAGTCATCTTCTGAGTCATTCAACACGGCCGTGTTCAGTTCCAGTCAACTGATTTGGGACTAAAATTGATAAATTATTATTTAAGTGGGACCGAAATTGATAATTTCTTTTAATGAGATCAAAATTGATAATTGTGATATTGAATGGGACTAAAAATAATTTTTGCTAAAAACAAAGAATAAAATTTGAATCTAAATCAAGAAAATAAAATAAAATAAAATAAAATAAAATAAAAGTATTAACAATAAAACTAAAAAGAAAATTGAAAGCGAAAGGTGAAGGAAATTTTTTTAAACCTACCAAACTGGGGTAAATTTATCTTGAAACTCCTTCCTATAAGTATTTAATATTCTGATAATTAATTAATTTAATTAAAATTTTAAAAAAATAAAATTAAAAAGTTTAAAATAAAATTAAAATATATAATATTTTTTTTAAAAAAATGACATGAAACGCGTAAGACAGAGGAAATATGATATTAAAAATAAAATAAAATAAAAATTGACAAAATATGGGAGGGTAACAGCAACTGTCACCCTAACTGTACTGCACGTAGCGTCCATGCTCACTCTGCGCATTTTAGTCCTCGGCCGCACTCAGCTCATTGCCCTTTTCCCTGCTTTCGGCGATGCTCTGAAACAAGTTACACCTCCTCCTGTGGTGGAGAATAGCTGATAATCTGTAAGAGTTCTTAATTCCCAGTTTTACCACGCTACTTCCTTGAAATTTTGATCGATTGAGCGTTAGTTTTTGTTTTTTCTTCTGAATAAATGGATGTGACGTGATTTAAGAGGATTTAGGGTTTGTCTGAAGTTTAATTTTTGTTTGGTATAGTTGCTTTTTTGTTGCAATGATTGCTATCTGTAAGTGTAATGATAATGAAGGTCCTGACTAAGGATTGCTAATGATCCGTGGTCCTTTGATTTTTCTGTAAATAAAATAATTTGCCGTTTTCACTTCTGGGTTTCATGGATATGATTTAATTTTGGCAAGCTAGTGTTGATTTCTATTAAACCTTGTTCTTATTTTTGCTTTGGATCACTCCTCTTACGGATGATAAACTAGATAATGAAGTTCAAACTTCTTTTCTGAAATTGTTTGTGGGAACCTTCTTTAGCATCAACAAACATACAAGTAATTTCATGGCTTATGACGATCTGTTAATATGGCAGTTTCCGGGAAAAAAGTTCGTATGGAAGAACAGAGTAGCATAAGCACTTGGCAGATTTCACCACTAGCTATTAGTTGGATAGCAAATAATACTCCTGCTTTACTTGGTGGCCAAGACGGGAACCAGCACTATGCCATCCCTACCGGGGATAATGGGATCGAGTCAGCGTTCCCTCATGTTCCTCATCAATGGATGTATTGCCAGCAAACATCTCAAAACTATGTTGAGTTTCTTGCTGAGAGAGCATACCCTGAGTTTCAGAAACACACTTCATGCAAACTTTCCACACAAATAGAGTCTAATTTGGGGCGTGCTGATCCTTCTTATTTGGTAAGTTCTCAGAGGAATCCATTGAAAACGAGGGATTTATGGAGCACATGAAGATTTTCACACTTATGAAATACTTAAATTGATGTTGGAACTTGGAACACATAGCAATATAATTGAAACTCTAGTTAATATTTTGGGCTTCTTTCTTATACATGTGTTTTTGCCCGTTGTAGAACGTGGGACTTCTTTAATTTACTTTGCTTATTGGATGTTGACTAATACGGAATTTTCGCCAAATTTATTAAATTAGCACCTCAATTTGATGTTGAAAGTCCTTTTGATGTTTCCAGTTTGTGCATGCATATATAAGCATGTGCTACTAGTTTGTTTCTTGCTGAACTTGAATACAATTGTCCCTGCAGAAATCAACTTGGAGTGAGGAATTCAATCATGTTCTTCATGATTATTCAGGTTCAGGCCCTGAGCTGGCAAAACGTTCTTCTACAGCTCGTCGTAACAGATCAAGAGAGAAGGCCTATGCTGCTGATCGTGTATGCTAACTCCTTCAACGAATCACTTTATTTCCTGTACATTTATGTTGAAGAATAATCAATCATTCTAACTGATTGAATGACTGGTTGTTTGCTTTAGTTTCGCAGACTGAGGATATCGCATTGGTTAGAGGCATTGCAGGAGGTGGTGCCTCATGCAAAAGAGGTGAGCCATGGATTATGAGCCTGAGCAACTTGGTTTTGTGAAATGTCAAGGAAGGAGTTTATGAAACCAGTTCTTCTACTATGCCCGTCATTACTTTTAGAAGCAAATACTAATGACTTCAGATGTTTTGACTGACACAGAACTAAAAGTAGCAAAAGGACATCGACTGCTAAATCTTTCCTAATTAAGCCAATTGATTTTATCATGTTGTCTTGGCAATAGTTGCGTCCTTGTGCTGATATGAAATTGTTTTGAATCATGGAAACCAAACAATCCCCATGGTTGAAAATTGTTACTAATGTTTTTGTAAATTGTTGTGCCAATATAGATACTTATATAAGTGTGGCTATGCAGGGTGGTAAAGCAGCTTTTCTAGATGATGTGATTGACCATGTCAAATATTTGCAATATCAAGTGAAGGTAAATTCTTCCTGCTGTTATGAAATGTTGTGGTGGTTATCAATCTTATCCAGTGTTGTTTTGCTGGAAAAAAAAGCATTAAATCTTACATTTTCTATTAACTTCTACACTATTTCTCTCCAGCTTACTCTCATATAATTCACGAGCATTTTACCCTGCAGGATCTGTGTCAAAGCCGATTGGGAGGTGAATCAACTTCCAATTCTTTTATATTCATTGAGGTACTAGAAATCATACTTCGATGATGACATATTGATCCAAAGAAAATTTTCATTGTCTCTTGAAGGGGTAGTCCCTTTTATTCCATCTGGAAATGTCACTGATTTGATGTCTGATGATGTTAGGGGCATGGGCACTATGTTGTTCAGGAGCAAATGCTGTATGGCCCTTTGGAAGAGATGATGGGGAAGTTGATTGATGTTTACCCTTCAGCAGCTTCTGAATTGTTGCAGAGTAAAGGTCTTATGGTGTTGCCAGTGGCCTTTGCAGAAGGACTTCTTGAGCCCGTCCAGATTCTTGACACTAAGGTTTTAGTCTTTTTGCCCAAAGTTATATCCACTTCACTTTATGCTAGTTGTGTTCAATGTTATTCATCTTCAAATACCTTGATATACATATTTACTTGATACCCTGGCGACAAAATTCGTGGCAGCTGATTATAAATGGCATACTTAAGGCGTAGAATCCCGCATTTTTTAGATTAATCAGCTGATCATTTGTTTCTTGGAAACAATAAATACTGCATTCTATACAAAAGTGAGCTATGCAAGAATGATCATTGAATGATATATAGTCCTTGGTCTAGGTTTGATTTGTTACCATGTTTTGAGTATTCAATAAATGGATATCATTATCAGTGATATCAATTAATATTGCAACAAACTTATCAATGGCTGAATAGACACTTCGCACTATGAGAAGCCTTGAAATGGATAGGAAAGACCCTCAGGCCTCAGTATGCATGTCCTGGTAAAATGAAAGGATATATTGCCTGTTCCAACCTTGTGATTATTGAATAATCAAAGGATACATGGTAAATGCCTAAGGTGAATGTAAGCACGGCAACATGCTGTATTTTTCTCACTCTAATAGCCAAATGAATTCTCCATTTTCTCATAACTGACCTACTATACAAGTAGCGGAAATTGCAGTTTGCTTTAGGAATAATGGTAGTAGCTTTTGTCTGTATCCCAATGTAATTGCATCTTTCAATTAATATGTTCTTATGGTTTCAATGCAGAGAAAGGTGCATTCTGATCTCCCAAGTTTTTGTCAAGTAAATATGGTTGGTTCATCACAGTTCTAGGGAAGCTACTGCAAGATTTCATACATTGGGAGCCCTCATCTAAGGCCTAATATAACCAGTGTTCATCATACATGATGCAGATAATAATAGGACAAGTTTGGTGAGGGAAGAAAGAAACATTGCTTCAAAAGGGCTTACATTTTATGTTGCCGGAACTGAATTTTTGTTTTAAAGACACTTACCTTAAATATTATGATAATGACTCTACAAAACTACCAGCTACTGAAACACCTCAGAATAGATTCACTTTTTATTACACTTTGGAAAAGCATACAAAGACAGGTTTCACAATTTTCCTACACCATGTCAACACACACCATAGGCATATATGTATATATTGTCTTAGCTCTATGCATAGATGATCAGGGCAATTGTGGCAAGCAGGTAATGATCAGACTCGGACTATCCTTGATGGACAGGCGAAAGTAACATTGCAAGAATCATCGACCACAACAGTGTATTCATGCACAGGCCGGGTAAGAAAGGTAGGCAAGTGTACCAACATATCACACACACAGATATCGTCAATCTCCTTGAGCCACCGGCAGCAGTCATATTCAACAGTTGTCTCCCTGTACCTATGCAGCAAGTGCCTACGGCTGCGGCTGCGCTCCTCTGTGCCGTAACCAATGTCATCTCCTCTGTGCCTGTGTCTATTATGTGCATGTCTGTGATGATGGCTGTGGCCGCCCCTGTGTCGGTGCCGGTGCCTATGCCGGTGAGGGGTCCAGCCAAACATGTCGTCTGGCGATGGAGGAGAAGGCGGAGGAACAAATTCATAAGGCATAAGAGAACATGCACTATTGGCTAAGTCGATTTGCGTGGGACATAATGGTGTGGGGTGGATCGGAAGGTGATGATAGTGTGGGTGCGGCTTTGGATGCGGTGTCCATTCACTTTGATTATCTGGCGAGGCGTTCGCCGCCGCCCCCCGGAAGCACATTACAAGAAGAAGGATCAGCAGCTGTTGTAGTAAAGGGTGTTTGGCAGAGGCTTTATCCATGTCTGAGATTGCTTGGCGGGTATGCACATAAGATAATTAAAGCAGAGTACTATGTTGGTTAGATACGAAATGAAATTTTGATCATCCTATATTTATAATATTTATAAATTGTCGCCCATCACAACCTTTTCATGCAGCTTGATCAGGTTAGGTGCTGCATTTCTCCATTAAAGAACATCCCTTCTGCGTGGATTCTGCTAACTACACAGATTTGTAGTGCTCCCAACAAACCTTCTTGTTGGAGGAAGATGATGAAACGGATACTTCTGCAAGAATGGTTGATCTGCAGTAATACTGGTAAATTAATCATGCCTCGATTTAGCTTCTCTAGGCAATCAAAATAATTACTTTACTTTTCCTATTTTATTGGGACCGACCCATTTATGGAATATCGCTGTTTTCTTATTAGAGTTGGTTTTGTACGTAAAGTCAAGATTAAATTTTTATTATTGTAGTCAAACTTTAGGGTAAGGTACAAGACGGCCCAAATATACATCATTTGATAGGATCACTAGGCCCTATAAAAGCCGTGTCTTTTACAATTCCATTCTGGAGATGATGAGGCGCATATAGAAGCAAGAAATATTTATCGGCGTTCTGACTGCGTCGAGTTCAGTATTTATTGGCCGCGGGATTCGGTGGGTATCTGCGTATCTCTCTAGGGTTTCTTCTCTTATCCCTGTATTCGTGTGGTTGTGATTCTCGTTTCCTATACACATTTGTGTACGAATTCGTTTTGGTATTACTCAATTTCACAGATATACATACTGATAAAGAGGAGAAATTCGAAACCAGGTTTCAAGCCGTTTATCGCTTCCCTTTTCCCCTCCGTCGATCCAATTCAGGTTTTTTTTTTATTTTTTTTTATTTTAGCCCTGATGATCAGAATTCTGTTTCTATTCAGTGCTAATTTGAATTGATCGCATGTTTCATACATTGTTTGTGCATACATGTATGTAGTGATCCTGTTATGTAACAAGTGAAAAGCGTAAGTTTTGAAACGTTGAATATGATCATTGAAACTTCACGTTTGTCTATTTGTAATTTTTGATTGCAGGACTTGAAGATGGGATTCAACGAAGTCTACAAGTCATTGCTGGAAATTTTCCCCGAGGTAACATCTAGCATTCATTTTTCAAATGTTGTGTATACTCAGTATAGAAATCTCTGAAATATATTAGTTAATTCTAGTGTGTCTAGACAGGCAAAAATTTCAGATTATCTCATGTCAATTGTGTTTTTTTATTGATTTCTTCCTTGTATGATTAAAGGTTGATTCTCGAGCTCTTAGAGCTGTGGCATTTGAGCATAACAAGGATGTTGACACAGCTGTCGGGGTTGTACTCGAGGATATCATCCCTTTCTTTCTTGAAAGATTGGGTCTAGGCACTCCATTTACGCCTATTTCTGGTGGAAATGGTTATGGATCTCAACCGATTACCCCAAAGAAATCACATGAGATGATCAAAATGAGTGCTGATCAGCACACCCCTGTTGAGCCTAGAATTGTGACTGATAAAACTGGCGAAGATGCTGTATGCATTGAAGTATCAAGTGATGCTGAAACAGAGGAAGTTCCTCCGGCTGTTAACTGTCCAGAAAGGATCAAAATTATTTCATCTGATATTACTCTTAATCAGACACTGGGAACACAGCAAAATACGGATATGGATCTTGAAACAACTGGGGCAGGTGCTCAATGCATTGAAGTATCAAGTGATTCTGATACAGAGGAAGCTTTTCCAGATGTGAACTTTGATGAAAGAATCTTAAAAACTTCATCTGATAGTACACTTGGTCCAACGCCGGAAACTCTGCAAAATATGTTTATGGAACTTGAAATGACTGCCACTCAGGCTAGAGAAGATTTCAACGTGTCTATTAATGAAGAAAATGGCCTGGGAGTGGCTTTGGTGGACTTAACCAGCTCTACTACTGGGTCTTCTTCATCCACTGTATCTGCTAGCCCTTTGGAAATTGGTGTCCAGACATTAGAGGCAACTAACATGCATGAAAGTGATTCAGATAAATTTGGAACAAGTTTGTCAAGTGATTCTGTTTCCCAGATGGCAATTTCTGAAGATGTTTCAACCTCAACCACTGCAATTTCTCAATCTAGCCAGTTCCAATCCATGGGGGTTCTTGACGAAGTTATTGCACTTGCAAATAACAAGGTATCATTGATATCAAATCTAATTATTCATAGAGCAACTAGTATTAATGGGCTCTAGAAATTTGATGAAGCTGTGAACTGTGCCCAAATGGTTCTTATATTTTTTGTCCAATGAACTTTTAACCAAATCCTAGATCTATTGTTGGGAATAAACTTCTCTCTTTTTCATGAATCTATTTGATGACAAAAATTTTGAAGTGTTGGTTTCATGTTTACTTTGCGGGAGTTTTGAGGAAAATATTTATGCATCTCCCTTGATATGACTGTATGTCTAAGATTTACCATTTTGCAGAATACATTGTTCTCAGCAGTGGAGTCTGTTATAAGCTTGGTGAGGGAAGTGGAGCTAAAAGAGGAAGCTTCAGAAAAAGCGAAGGAGGATGCTGCAAAAGGTGGGTTCCATATATTGGAAAAGTTTGAAGAGCTTCAACAAATGCTGAAACATGCAAAGGAGGCAAATGACATGGTATTACTGTTGTTGGTAGTTTGGAATCCATTTTAGACAATTTAATATTAGCCTAATTACATAATTATTCCTTTCTTTCTCTTTCTCAAAGCATGCTGGAGAAGTGTATGGTGAAAAAGCCATCCTAGCAACTGAGCTGAAAGAGCTTCAGACACGTGCGCGCTCTCTATTAGATGAAAAGGACAATGCTCTTCAAATTCTTGATAAGGTAGCTTTTGACATGCCCTTTTTTTTTTCATCCATTCACAACTTACACTGATATTGTAGATCAACTGCGCAGAGCTTGTCTGATGTGAAATTAATATCTTGATTTGTGAAAATACAGTGGTGTTTGATTATTATGTCATGTGAATGAGGATTTTCTTCTTAGCTTTGACTCTGTGTTTAAACTGAGAAATTCTAGAACACAAATGAGAGATCTCATAGAGGCTTGGCTTGAAAACTTTGCACTCTTTCTGAGAGTGTCCTCTCTTTCTCCTTAACTTAGGTGCGGAAATTGATATGAAAAATGATTCTTTAGTGCCATAAGCGGATTGAATCTGCCTGCTTTTATGCCTTCAGTATCACATATTATTTTCCCATGCATCAAATCACATCCAGAATTACATAATTTACGGGAAAGTTACTATCATCATAGCATCTTCTTAAGTTTTAAGCCACATCTGGCAGATGAGGCAAACTCTGGAGGAGAGGTTAGCCACAGCCCAGAATGTAATAGATTCTGCAGAGAAGGAAAAACTAGAGAAGGAAGAGGCTGCACAAAAGTCACTAACTGATCTGGATTCAGTCATGGAAAAAGTGGTGCAGGAGTCGAAGATCCTGAAACAACAGGCAGAAGATAATTCCAAGGTAGGCCTCCTTTCCCTATGTATTTTCTAATTCACATTGGATCAGTTTGAACCATATAGAAGGGAAAGTTTAAAATCAGATTACCCTACAGTCCCTACCCCTTTGTTCCACAATCAACACTTAGCCATTTTTTCCCCTTCGGTATAATATGCTTACTGGAAATCTTGTGTCTCAGTTGCAGGAGTTTATATTGGACCGTGGCCGTGTTGTGGACATGATACAGTAAGTTATAGTACAAGTTTTCATATGTTATCTTATACCCAGCTTACAGTTGAGTTTTTTTTTTCCTTTTCTAAAAAAAAAAAAGGACAGGTTCTACAGTTCACATCAATATATTATTACTAATGCAAGGACAAGATATAAAATCAGTTGGATTTCAACTTGCCCTTGTTGAAAATTGTTTTTAAATTTTCGGTTTAGCTATAAATTTTGGAGAATTGGCATGCTGTCACTTCTAATCTGTTCTACACATGCATTTACAAGCTTTATTGTTCACGTGTATAAAGCCAAAAATGAACTCTGTTTTTGCTTACTTCCCTCCCTTGTTCCTTTTTTCCAGAGGAGAAATAGCTGTTATATGTCAGGATGTGAGGCTGCTCAAGGAGAAATTCGACAATGGTGCCCCATTGAGCAAATCATTTCTCTCGGGGCAGACCAGCTTCATCTTCACCTCTTTGAATTCATCAACCCAAGGCTCCATTTCAGAACCAGTGGAACCAGAGCCTCACAGGGATCATTCATCTGCAACTCAGGAAGGAAAAGAAAGAGAACAGGAACAGGTCCTGGAAGAGGAAGAGGAAGTGGAAGTGGAAGAGGAAGAGGAAGAGGAAGAGGGAGCAGCAGTAGACGACCGCAGTGCACTTCTACGAGATGGATGGGACATTTTCGACAAACATGAAATCTATCCATGATTACATGGCATCCTCAGCTCCATCTCCTCCCACTCTTCTTAAGTCTTTCTAAGACCCACATTTTGCACATGGTTTCTGTAGTTAGTTTGCCATTTCATTTCAATTTCTTGGGATTTCCAATTCTGTCATCTAGACTCAAGAATGTGGGAAAGATTTTTCCATAGACAAGAGTACCTTGTACAGTCTGCCTGCTTTCAGTCACTTTTCCATTTTTATGTAGATGGCTTTTCTTTTGCAAAATCTTTGCTTCATCATTATCTTCCTTTTGAGAAGTAAATGCCATAAAAATTCCCAAATAATCACATATTCTGAAAACAAACCATTCTTTCCACCATTCATATGTTCATCAGAAAAACAATTAACCAAACAAGGTATCCCCTCTCTACAAACTATACATACAGATCAAGATTAACACCCAAAACCACCTCTAAATTGATCAAAACTACAGTATGTTAGCAGCTAACAAAATCCTACTCTTAAATATAAACACTACATCATCATCCTCAGCAAGGATTATCAATCATTCCAACACAGAAGCAGCACAGTACATCGCCATATGATGTAAAGTCGAGCCTTGTGTTCTCTGATGTGCTTCGAGCATCTCTGCACGGACCGTTGTTTCAAACTTCTTACCGGAAAAACTGAATGAGCAACAGTTGCCATTGTCTCTTCAAACTCAAGAAAATGTGCAGTGCCTTAGATTTTAGTTCTAGAAAATGTGAATGACTTGGATGGAGGGAAAGCAGCACTTGGTGCTCTCATATTTATAGCAACGAGGAAGGTAGTGGAGATATGCAAAAAAAGAACTTGTGGTGCATACCTAGTTATGGCCCTCTAGTAGGGACGACACTATACATTGTTTAGAGGTGCATTCAATTCACTTATAAAAGACATTAAGAGATAACGAAGCAAAGCTTGCAGATTTGTCTCCTCACCTGCCCTACTTGAAATGGACTTATTATCATCATCTTCTTGCTTGTTGAGGGACATACTGTCCCCCTCATTAGCTTCTTGATGACCCTTTCTTTTCGATATTTTTTAATCAAATCTCTTGAATAGTAACACCTTCTTTCATCAGGGCTTTCTTGATTTCCCATTTTTTACCTATAAAGGACAAAACTTGTCGATAATTTATAACTAGATTGCCCAGACAAGATATAAAAAATTCAATCTTTTTTGGTGGTTCATGCAACCAACCGAACCCTGCTGGATAATTCAAGTAGAAAAAAAAGAATCTTGAAGATGGCGTGAAATGTTTATTCAACATCAAGAACTCTTTACTTATTTGAACTGCAATAATTAGGGCATACAAGACACCAACAGGTCACATGAAGTTTCTTGATTGGCTGATATCTTTCAACCACAGAATCCCCAAATTGGGCACAGCCACAGCCCCCACGAATTGACAAGGAACTATCAATTTAGGGGTGGGCACGTGCAATTGAAGCTACAGCCTAAAATCAAGACAAGATGGCCACTCATCATTGACTAACCCTAGTTTCCAAGTCATTCATTCACTTGGGAATTATTTCTTTGTGTCCCTTTCCACCTTGAAGCTGAATTAATGGCAATTGGGGTGGGGGTGCACATTGTCCCACTCCCACGTGCTGAGGTGTGTGCCCATTATGTTGAACTAAAGAGAAGCATATCAGACCTCTTATCTTCTTATCTTGATGTCATGTCAAGCTCCAATGGTGGGATGTCCTCAAGGATGTCTGGATTTTGATCTGTGTTGGCTTCTGCCCTGTAATGATTTTTCTGATGATCTCTCTCTTTTTTGAGTTCTAATAGTGCGTATGTGTGTGTGTGTGTGTTTTTCTTGGCTGGTGCACTATAAGGAAATTATTGTATCAGACGTGGAAAAAGTGCAACAATCTGTAGATAAAGAAGTGTGGACACTTACACCTAACTCCATGAATGTTGCACCAAGTGCTTGTACCATTGATCAGCCAAAGCTACAGAAGAATCTAACTATAAATATGAGGTAAATACATTACATAAACATTACACGAGTTTTTGACAAGGGTCGATCGCCTGTAGCTTCTGCTGCGCAGTGCTTCCATTATGGTTAGCTTTTGGTCTTAATGGCAATGCTTTCAATCCTCTCCCAAACCCAAAGCTTTTCTTATATCTCCCTGCAAAAGAGAAGGAGAATGTGAATTGTGGGTGCATTTTTGGCCCGACATCAGTCGTGCACATGATGCCTTTCTCATTGCTGTCTGGTTAGAACACAACATTGTCAAAAGTAGAGTGGAAGAGACCTCGATTGCTGAAGGTGAAGTTACAGTGGTGCTATAGCGCTTGATTACACGCCCCTCTTTGCTAAGTAGAAACTTGGTGAAGTTCCACTTGACGCTCGGCCCCCAGATTCCATGTTTACTTGATTTAAGGAAGCTAAAGAGTGGCGCCGTGTCTTTGCCATTCACCTTGACCTGCTCTGAGGTTATAAGAAATCAATCATTTCTAATCAACAGCAAAAAGAAAAAAAAACATTAACTAGAGGAAACTTATATGAATCAATCACCTTTTGAAAAATGGGAAACTCAGCCTGGAATCGGGTGCAAGCATATTGTGCCGCCTCTTGGCTACTCCCCGGCTCTTGATTCAAGAACTGATTGCAAGGGAAGGCCAATATCTCAAGACCTGAGCTACAAAATCACATTAGAATCTCAGGCAGACATGAAAATTTGAAATTTCTTAACCTCTAACAAGAACAAGAACATGATTAACTAACAACTGACCCTTATCCTTGAATTCTTTGTACAATTGTGTCAATAGGGCGTAATTGGAGTCTGTAAAACCACTGCTACAGCCAATGGGAATATGAAATCAATACCAAATTAGATTCCAACATAAATTAACAAGCAAAGGGCAAAGAACAAAATATATATACCAATGGGAAGCAACATTAACAACAAGCAAGACCTTGCCTTTGTAAATACCAAGATTCACATCATTGCCTTTGTTGTCCTGATAAAAAATCCACCAAACTTTTAGGGTTAAATGAGGGAAAACCATGGATAAAGAGGATATGCATTAATTGAAGTTAGGACAGGACCTTCACGGTGAAATCGTAGATCGTAGTTTGTTGGGATGAATAAGAAATTCCCATTCCTCCCTTGCTGGCTGTCATCCAACAGCTTCAATAATCCTTGAAACCCAAAGGTACGAACAATCTGGATTGATTGCCGCAAAAGAGACCAGATCCTTCCAATGCTCGATTTTCATTATCATCACCGTATTGGAAGTTGGAACGTACGACGAACAAATTATAGCCCTTCATTTTCGCCGACTATTTCGAATTTGTTACCGTGTCTTCTATGACTCTCCTATGCACATCTAGGATTTAATTTACGAGAGCATGATCTCCCACCAAATTTAGAGCTCTTGCCATTGATTTTGAAGCTTTTAACATAAGGTTGTAGATGATGCGAAAACTATTGGCCTGTTTATTGGGCTTTTTGGTTTTATTTTTATGTTCTTTTATTGGGCTGAGCCCAATTCAAAATACAAATATAAAGGAAATCTAGTGGGAAATATGTTGGGAAAGTATACGACATATTTATAAAAAATATTCTTTGTAAAAAAATCAAGAACTCTTAATGCAAATCTATATTTTAGATATTATTACAATTTTTAATACCACATGTATAAGCATCTGATTTGATTTATGGCGCGCGCGTGATGGGCTAAAACATTAAACTTTACACGTGCCAGTTCCACATGTGACCCCAAAATAGTGGGCCCGGGCTCACTTTAGTCGGCCGGCCCAGTAGCCACAAATTCCTCAGATATTTTTAACCTACGATAACCAGAAACAGATATTTATGAATATCCGCCACGGCGAAAAGAAGCATTTAATTTGAGCAACGACAGGCCAATCAAACGGTGACACGTAACTCCTGTCAGTTGGTCAGTTGCTCTCGCATATCTCCACGTGTCCCTTGCCGTTATAAATTCGGTTGTGTTGAATCAAATCGAATCTGGTCTGGATAGCGTCTTCCGATCGAGAAATGAACGGCGCCCCGACGGGGAATTCGAGCCGAGTCCAGAAACTCGGCGAACCGGCCGAGGCGGGCATCCTCGACGAGCGAATTCTGCTGCTGCTATTCGAGTACATGAGATGGGACATTCCGACGCTCTGCCGTACGTCCGCCGTCAACCGGAAGCTCCAGGCGGTGGCGAAGCGCCTCCTCTGGCGGGAGCTCTGCCGGCGGCGGGCGCCGCGGATGACGTCAGTGCTGACGGAGAGCGGCCGGATGACCGGCGGCTGGGACGCTTTGGGGAAGCTGCTGTTCTTCTGCGGCGGTTCGGAGTTCAGACCGGGTCAGGCGACTCCGGGTCATTTTGCCGAGTCGACTCGGTTTTCGAAGACCTCCGGTCGGAGCTTTCTGGCGAAGAGCTGCGGCGGCGACGTGCTTTACGTTAGCGACCCGTGCGAGCACCGAGTCCGTTCGGCGGCGGAGGCGGACGACGTCGGGGTGTACCGGGGGGTGTTTGGGGGGTTTATGAAGTCGCGGACGCGGCAGTGTTTGATACGGCGGCGCGTGGAGCTGGAGGCGGTGCTGCGGTGTCCGTACTGCGGGGCACGTGTTTGGAGCATGACGTCGGCGCGGCTTATAGCGAGGAGGAGCGCGGCGCGGCGGCTGGGGTCGAGGGATGATGAGCTGGAGTACTTTGTGTGCTTGAATGGCCACTTGCACGGCACGTGCTGGCTGGCGGCTCTGTCTTCCGACGACGGCGGCGGCGTTTCCGATGATCGGATAGACGGGGAAGAAGATGATGGCAGCCAGCAGAGTGGAGACGACGACAACGATGTACATGCCACTGGGAAGCATCATTAACAACAAGCAAGACCTAATTAATAAAATAATAAAAAAGTGGTAGAGTAAATAGAAAATAATAATGAGAAAAATATTATTATTATTTGTTAAAATAAAAGTAATAATAGATAAAATATTTTATTATAAATAGAATGTATATAAATTTTACAGAGAATAAAAAAATAAATTCTGACATAATTTTAACAGAAGAAAGAGGTAAACCTCCGGCTGTCAATAAACATAGAAAAAATGATTGGAATAAATAATAATACTAATAATAATTTTAATTATAGATTTTTTTTAATAAATATGTATTACTATATTTATTTCATAAAAATCCAAAAATGAATTTTTACAATATATAGTAAATAATACTATTATAATTGTTATTTGTTAATATTTTTAAAATATAATAATTAGAAAGATAAAATTAGTTGGACAATAAATAGACATATAAAATATATTTCTTCTATCTTAAAATAATAAATTTTTTTTTTTTTCGTCTCAAAATAATAATTTTATTTTCATAAATAATCATATCATCATATAATTATTTATATATTTTTTATTATTTTTATATAAATGTCATTACTTTTATACGCAAATACACTATTAATGATATTTTAGTTTTTTTACTATCTATTTTATCTTCATTTTAAACATAATATTATTATTTCTTAAATTCCGAGCCGAACCCAAATGTCCTTATTGTTTCGAGACAGGAAAAGTATTTTGTTACTTTAAAAAAATAGCCACCCTCTAACTTGATCCTAGTTCCGCCACTGCTTGCAATTCACGTTTAAGGAAAAAACAACTAAAACAAATTATAATTTATTATATAATTTTTTTAGAAACAAACATAATTGCATCATATATAAAAGTGATTATCTATTAGTATTTAACCTATTATTTGAACAACATTTGCCTCATTCTCCTCTTATATAAATATTATTAAAAAAATTTAATACTCCTTCCGTCCCAAATACCATGTCCACGTTATCATTTCTGTCCGTTCTACATACCATGTCATTTTTCTTTTTTGAAAAATGATTACACACTTTAGTATCATTTTAAATTTTTAAATTTTATTTTTTTTTAATTTTAATTAAACTAATTATTATCTTAATCTTAATCTTAATTTATAATTATTTATATTATAGAATAATTATTTTCACTAATATATTTTTAATTATCTACTAATTATACCCCTCCTAAAATACTGTATCTACAGTGTAGCAGACACGGTATATGAGACGGAGGGAGTACTATTTATCATCGTAGATAGACTTAGATCGTGCTAAGAAAAGGCTGAATAAGATCGAGAGAGATTGACATTCAGTTTGAGGGAGTTTTTTTTTTTTTTTAATTTTTATTTTTAATAACAAAATGTATCAATCCAAATTTCATATATTAAAATTTCTATCAAAAAGTTTTGAGCTTAAACTTGAAAAGCTAAGGAGTATTATTCATTTGTTTTTTTTTTCTAAAATGCATTAATTTATTTTCTAAAATACTTCACCAAACAATATTATAATTCTCCATACATTTTTATAATTCTTCATAACTAACAATAAAAATCTCACTAATTAATGTGTGTTTGCTGTTTAAATTTTAAATAGAATTTTTATTTAAATAATTATTTAATATAATATAAATAACTTTGATAGTTGATATAATATATTGATTGTAAATTTGATTTGTAATATAATTTGATTGAAAGGTTACGATTTTCCATTTTCATCCGTCCCAAAACAAGATCTATTGGGATGCCGAGGCAAACATATGAAAACCTTAATTTATTTTTGGGTAAACTGGTTTTTAGTTTCGTTATTGAATTCCTTATTATTTTAGTCTCGTAAATGGAGCATGTAGCAGGCTAGTTCTATAAGTGAAAAGTTTTCGTTGTTTTAGTCTTCTGGTGCCGGAGATGCCCGCGTGGCTCGTCAGAAGCTATGTGTCCCGCCAGGTCAGTGACAGCTGGCGGACACGTGGATTTTATTTTATTATTTTAATTTTTTTAATTTTTTTTAATGGGACCAAATAAAAAATTAAAAAAAATGCAAATAAAATTAAAAATAAATTTAAAAAAATAAAAAAAATAAAAAATAAAAAATAAAATCCACGTGTCCGCCAGGTATCGCTGACCTAGCGGACACGTGGCCTCCGGCAAGCCACGTGGGCGTCTTCGGCGCCGGAGGACTAAAATAACGAAAATTTTTCGCTTATAAAAATAGTTTGCGACAGACTCCATTTACAGGACTAAAATGATAAGAGGGTCCAATTACGGAACTAAAAAACACCTTACCCTTCATTTTTTAGGCTCTAGCCAGAACAATTTGATTTGTTTATTTCTTATTTAAAATTGATTTGAAATTAGTGACTTCAAATTAAATTACAAGCAAATATATTCCGATCTAATTTAGAAATTTTTTTATTACAATTGTGCCAATAGGGCGTAGTAGGAGTCCACAAAGAACAAATATATACCAACCGAAACTAGTGAGGAAATACTCGTTTCGTCCCACATACCAGGTGCACGTTGCTGTTTCTGTCCGGCTCACGTATCATGTCACTTTCCTTTTTTTTATAAAATGATTATACACTTTAATCTCATTTTAAACTTTTTAATTTTATTTTGTAAAAAAATTTAATTAAACTAATTAGTTATCTTAATTTTAATTTATAATTATATATATTATAGGATAATTATTTTCACTAATATATTCTTAATTATCTACTAATTACACCCCTCCTAAGCCGTGTCTACAGTGTAGCAGGTTTGTGAGACAGAGGTAGTATAATATTTTGATTTTATAGAAATTTAAATTGAGTTTCTAAATTTTAAATACAAATATTATTAAATTGAAATAATAATAATAATAATAATAATAATAATAATAATAATAATAATAGAATATTTAATAAAAGAATATGGTATGTTTATAAAAATATTCCTTAGTAAAAAACCAACGAAAAATATAAAGAAATATAATATTTTTATTTTATAGAAAATCGAATTAAATTTCCAAATTTAACATACAAATATCATTAAATAATAATAATAATAAAATCAAGAATCTTAATCTAAATCTATATTTAAGATATTATCACAATTTCCAATTCAATAACAAAATATCAAATCCAAATATTTCCATACGATTAAGATTTCAATTCCAAATATAATTCAAGAAGTAGTCCATAAATAAGCAAAGATGTCTAAACACTTTCTACACATCATCACCACAACAATGCAGTATCCGTGTGAAATTCCTCTGCCCAACAGAAACAAGTCCGCCGTGCAGATAGCAGCCGCCGTGGCGGCGGAGCTCGAGCGCGACACCCCGACAAATTATGAACAAGTCCAACCGATAATGTCATTATTAAAAGAATACAGAGACATAGCGTGGGAGGTTTCTAGTCTCATCACGGAGATGTTGTGTAAGCTAATCTACACCACTCGGTACGAACACTATTTGGATTTGCAAGCATCGTCAATGGCGGAGATTGCGCGATTGAAGTTTAGGGAGATGGAATTGTCAAATAATCGGAATTTGTTGATTGGCACGACTGCTGAGGAACTAGAGGAGAATATGAGTACCATTAAATGGGATTTAGCCACTGCGCGGATGGACTTAGACTGTGCCGAGGAAGCACTAAATAAGGCCGAGGAAGATTGGCATTCCGCGCTGGATATTTGGGCTAAGGTGCTTCGTTTATGTCCTCCTGAGTCGTTGGATTCGGTCGAGCTTCCGCCGCCTGTCTGCCCCGATAGTCCTACTGGTAATGATTTTATAAGCTATATTATTCTTTTATTTTGTAATAATTATATTTTTAATAATATATACAAATCGTGCAACGCACGGATAGTTTAATTTATTTTTGAATTTTTGTGATCAAATCTAACTCTTTCTTCGATGATAATAATAAAAATTTAGAATAAAACGGGCCGGAGTATGCTGTTCGTAGTTGCGCCGCCGCGGCTGTGGAACAAGTCTGGGAGTTTGTTTTTGTAATTTTCAGATTTATTTTTGTTTAAAATTCTGTTTTATTATTTTTGGGTTATTTGATTTTGCTGTTTATTTAATATGATTTTGTATTTACCAAAAAAGTACATCAATCTTAAACAAATACAAGACAAACTATATATATAAACTGAATGTTGGGTATTTATTGGTTTTATTTGGAAAAGAATTTATGTAAGATATTTTATTTATATAATGCTTGGATAATTAGTTATGTATTTACTATTAATACTATTAGCTTTGGACATAGAAGATATCTTATGTACTATAATTTTAGTGTTGATTTGAATTTTAATTCAAAAGATTTGATATGGTATTTTTTTTAAAAAAAAATAAATAATAATAATAATGATAGTTTCAAATTAAAATTGCAACTAGAAACATGATTGAACTTTGAATTTTTTTTAGTACAATTTTGTCCGTAAGGCATAATTGAAGTCCCTAAAGAACGAATATATACCTATAGGAAATATTAAGGATATATATTATTTTGATTTTCTAGACTTTGAATTCAATTTCTAAATTCAAAATATAATATGTGTATTCTTTTGAAGGATTTCCCCACATTTCTACTATTCATCCAAATTTTTTTTTTAAAAACATCAAATCAAATATTTATTTTTCATTTTTTATATTATAATAAAAATTAATTTTAAATTCAAAAGATCACATCAACATTTATTTGTATCACATTATACAACTATTTCAATTCAAAAATTTTACTATTCAAATCTTAATTCAAAATCCAAACCCCAAACAAACACACCCTAATAATAATAATAGAACATTTCATAAAAGTAGTCGACGCGGTTTTCGAAGACGTCCGGTCGGAGCTTTCCGGCGAAGAGCTGCGGCTGCGACGTGCTTTACGTTAGCGATCCGTGCGAGCACCGAGTCCGTTCGGCGGCGGCGGCGGACGACGTCGGGGTGTTTGGGGGATTTATGAAGTCGCGGACGCGGCAGTGTTTGATACGGCGGCGCGTGGAGCTGGAGGCGGTGCTGCGGTGTCCGTACTGCGGGGCATGTGTTTGGAGCATGGCGTCGGCGCGGCGGCTGGGGTCGAGGGATGATGAGCTGGAGTACTTTGTGTGCTTGAATGGCCACTTGCACGGCACGTGCTGGCTGGTGGCTCTGTCTTCCGACGACGGCGGCGGCGTTTCCGATGATCGGAGAGACGGGGAAGAAGATGATGGGAGCCAGCAGAGTGGAGACGACGACAACGATGATGATGGGTCTCGAGATTGTTCTAGGATTGACGATGATTAGGTGACAATAGATACTCTCTATTGTATTGTTATTTGTTACAATATTTTTTTATATAATATTAATTATTATGTCAAAATGTAATATAAATTTAAATAAAAAAATTATAAAAATATCTTATAAAAAAATATATATATAAATATAATAATATTTTAATATTAAATAAAATGATAGCAAAAAATAAATGTGACATATATATTTTTTTTAAATATTATGCTCTCACTCTCTTATCAAAATTTATTTTTATTATTTATCATTTAAATTTTTTTTTGTTCTTTTAGTAAAAAATACAATATTTTTATTTTTTCTTTATCGTCAAAAAAAAAATAATATTAATAAATACTTTTTTTGTCCACTCACAGTATACACTGTTCAATTTTTGTTTGTTTATTCTGTCATTTTTCTTTTTTCTTAAAGAATTATAAACTTTAATCATACTATTAAAATTTTTAATTTATAGTATATTTTTTTTATTTTCGATTAGACTAATAGATTATTTTAAATTTAATCTAAAATTATTTTTAGTATACGATAATTATTTTATTAATATATTTTAAATTATTTAGTAATTATATTTCTCTTATATTTTTTATATATTCGTGTTTACAGTAAACGAGACACAATGGTCTAGACGGAGGGATTATATTTTTAGATTATAAAATATTATATTAAATATTCAATTTTTTAATGTTTTTTCAAAACTCTACAAAACTTCTTCCAAAATTGAATCATAATTGTAACAATCTAATATGTTCTAAATATATTTAATTTTTTATATGTAATTAAGGTACTAAATTTAGGGGAACATGGAAAATACAGGTACACACATGCATGCCAAAAGTAGGTGAAAGACCGAGTCAAATTAGAGGCAACGATCTAAAGGTAATTAACTAATTAATCAGTTAAATTAAAGGAGGGGTAATATTGTCATTCCACAGGTCACACACTTTCCTCGCCGTTGCTAATTAACGTTAACTGCGAACAAACAAACGAACGAAATCTGCCATGAAAGAAAGCTTGCAGACCGGACGACGACATAAGCAAGCCAAACAAAACATAATATATATATATATGTATATATACATTTATATATACAAAAACTCGCCTGCGGAACCGACGACGAATCCGCTGTCCGCCTCCACTTCTTGGCGCCAATCCATTCGCCACCGCATTCCTTCTTTCACCAATTCCTCCGGCGATCTCTTTCTCCGCCGAGAAGATTATTTCGGACAGTTTGTGTTTCTTCCTCGTTTTCGACGACCTAGGTAAAATGCTTAACGGTTCAATTGATTTTGGTGGTGTTTTTGTTCAATCGAGAATGCCAGAGTAGTTTCCATTGCTTCGAATTTTGTTTTGATTTTTTGTGTCGGTATTTTTGTTTTTCTGATTATTTATTAGGTCGTTTTTTTTTTCTCTATTCGAGATTTTCGCCTCTTTGATTCTCTCAGGACAACCATTGGAAAACAAAATGTAATTACATACAGAGCATTGTAGATATGTGTTTTTAAGTGTATTTTTCGACATGGATCTAGCAATTGTAGCTTGAAGTACACAATTTTAATCTCAATCTGTGGAGAAATAGGAGGATTGATATCAGATTCCTCGTTTTTCAGGTAATTGCCGGTAAGAAAATTAAGGATCCTTATGTAATTGGGACATTGCATTGCCGTGATCTTAAATCCTCGAGAGGAGGCAATTGATACTGCTCCATCACTTCATCACATTCTTTCTCTCTTTGGTTTGTACATCCACATTTGATCTTTGCTAATTATATATATATATCAAATTGGTTATGCTGGAAACATAATGTTGAAATAAATTGTAGCATGTCTTCCAGTCTTTACATAAATTGCCATATTTCCCCTCCTTTGTGTCATTGTATTTATATTATATTAATGTGTTGTGCGTGCTTATATTGCGTGCGCTGAATTCTAAATATTAAAAGAGTAGTTGTCGCCATATATAACAGAATTTCAGCTAATGAAACTCTACTTATTTTTAACTCGAAGCAGGGGATAAGTAAGTAGCAGCGGTAAGAAAACAACAAAATGGCTAGCGTTCAAGACATCGTCGTATCAGCCGCGATCAATCTGTTGTCCGCACTGGCATTTCTTCTACTATTTGCATTCCTACGTCTCCAGCCGTTCAACGACAGAGTCTATTTCCCGAAATGGTACTTAAAGGGCGTGAGAGCCAGCCCCCGCAGCCGCGGGCCTTTCGTGAAAAAGCTCGTAAATTTAGACGGCAGAACATACCTAAAGTTCTGGAAATGGATGCCTGCAGCCTTGAGAATGCCCGAGCCAGAGTTGATACAGCACGCCGGTCTCGATTGTGCCGTCTATGTAAGAATTTACCTTCTCGGGTAAGTGTACAAACCACTATTTTTTCTAACATCATCGTTCCTCTTCGAGACATTCAGATCACTGTAAGAATTTTTCGCAGATTAAAGATCTTTGTCCCCGTGGCTTTGCTCGCTTTTGCTGTCCTGGTTCCCGTCAACTTGACTGGTAAAACACTCGAGGGTACTAAAGATTTAACCTATAGCAACATCGACAAGCTTTCGATCTCCAATGTTCCTTCGGGATCTCTCCGGTGAGTTTACAGCCCTCAATTTCTGTTAAAACTCCAAAACTTGTATCTAAAACCTTTGAATCTACTATCGTCGTCGATCAGGTTAGTGACGCATATAGTTATGGCGTACGTATTCACATTTTGGACATGCTATGTTCTTTACAAAGAGTATCGAATTATTACCACCAAGCGGTTGCAGTTCTTGGCTTCGGAAGGTCGTCGCCCGGATCAGTTTACCGTGAGTCTTTCGAGGTTGTCGAATAAGTGTTCATCCTTACAAGGCCAGATCTGTGATAGTTCGCGATTCTTGCAGGTTCTTGTAAGGAATGTCCCTCCGGATCCTGACGAAACGGTTGGCGAGCACGTCGAGCATTTCTTCTGCGTGAATCATCCTCATCACTACCTCATACATCAGGTGTGTTATCATATCATGTTAACATATATCATGTATCGTATGTCATTATATCGTAAATTCAGTACTGTAATCGCCACTTACTAACCCTGATGTTCGAATTCGTCGTGACTCTTCCATGGATGGATTGAAGCTCATATATAACGCAAACAACCTCGCGACGCTGGTCGAGAGGAAGAAGCAGTTGCACAATTGGCGAACTTACTACATGACACGATACGAAAGAAACCCGAAGAAGAGACCAACAACAAAGGTATCTTCGCTTCCACATCGAATCATTCTCGTCGTCATCTTACGAACAAACATGGAATCTCATTGCTCCGAAGTATAGACAGGTTTTTGGGGCCTGTGGGGGCAGACCGTCGACGCCATCGACTACTGCACAGCCGAAATTGAGAAGATTAGTGAAGTAGTAAGCTTTCTACATTACCTAATTCCATGTAAATTTCTTACGTTGTTCGACACAGACTTGACTATCTTCGAGTTTTTTTTTCTTTTTCGGCAAAAACAGGAAGCCGCTGAGAGAGAAAGGGTGACGAATGATCCAAATGCAACAGTTCCTGCAGCATTTGTTTCGTTCAAATCGCGGTGGGGAGCAGCCGTTTGCGCTCAAACTCAACAGACAAGCAATCCGACAGTTTGGCTTACGGAATGGGCGCCCGAGCCGCGCGACGTTTACTGGGACAATCTTGCAATACCATACGTCGAGCTCGCGGTAAAAAAGTTGCTGATGTCTGTAGCTATGTTCTTCCTCACTTTCTTCTTCATGATCCCGATAGTATTTGTGCAATCCTTGGCGAGCATCGAAGGCATTGAAAAGGTTTTCCCATTCCTCACGCCGTTGATAGAATCGTAAGCTCTCGCTTCTTTTAAAGAACGTAAGTACGAGTCTTTCTTCAGATTACTGACTTCTTCTTCCTTGTCATCGTCGCCATTTTCAGGAAACATGTCAAGTCTGTAGTTCAAGGTTTTCTCCCTGGAATTGCACTGAAGATATTTCTCGCGCTCCTTCCGACAATTCTTATGACAATGTCGAAGATAGAAGGGCATACCTCTCTTTCAAGTCTGGACAGACGATCAGCCGGAAAATACCATTTGTTCTTGTTCGTCAATGTCTTCCTCGGAAGCATCATCACCGGAGCTGCATTCGAACAGCTTCACAAGTTCCTTAACCAGTCCCCATCAGAGTATGTTGTCTCCTTGCTTCTATATCATATTATCAGAGTTGTGACTTGATTCGGCTCGATTCAATTCATTGCGTTGCAGGATTCCGAAAACTGTGGGCGTCGCCATTCCAATGAAAGCCACATTCTTCATAACTTACATTATGGTCGATGGCTGGGCCGGCATTGCTGCGGAGATCATCCGAATAGTGCCATTGATAATCTTCCATCTCAAGAATGCATTTTTAGTCAAGACAGAAAAGGACAGGGAAGAGGCGATGGATCCCGGCTCGATAACTTTCGCCACAAACGAACCTCGCATACAGCTATACTTCCTGCTCGGATTAGTCTATGCTTGCATCACACCGTTCATACTGCCTTTCATCATCGTCTTCTTCGCATTCGCCTATGTGGTTTTTCGCCATCAGGTACGTCTGAGCCTCTCACTGTCCTGTTACTTCACGACGTTTACTTCCAGTCCCTCAACGCCTTCTCGCATTATTTCTCTCCAGATCATCAATGTATACGACCAAAAGTACGAGAGCGCGGCTGCATTCTGGCCAGACGTTCACTTCCGTGTAATCGTGAGCCTAATCGTGTCGCAAATACTGCTCTTGGGATTACTGAGCACAAAGAATGCTTCCAAATCAACTCCATTGTTGCTTGTACTACCTGTTGTGACAATCTGGTTTCATCGATTCTGCAAAGGCCGGTACGAGCCGGCGTTCGTTCGGTTCCCCTTGCAGGTTAGTTCATATCATCTCATCTCTTGTGCTAAAATGTCCCTGCAAACTTGTTAGAAAATTAACTTTTTCTTGCCTATGGGAAACCAAATCAAACCAAACAGGATGCAGTGGTGAAGGATACATTAGAAAGGGCAACTGAACCAAATCTGGACTTGAAAGCATACCTTAGAGATGCATACTTACATCCTGTGTTCAGACCAATTGAGAATGAGAAAGAACCAGTGGATGATGATGAGGAGAACAATCAAGTTGTTTCCACCAAGAGAACTTCCCAAAGGGGCAGCAAAAATGTCTCCGGCAGCGTCACACCGGACGGCCAACGACTGTAACAAAACAGAGAAATGTGCGCTGCGCGCCGAGGAAATCATCTATGCAAGAAATCAAGATTGGGGATCCTCACCTGCCTGAGCTGCTGAGAGTGTACTACTGCTGTAATATTGAAAGCTCATGAAGGAGACAGAAGTTTATAGGCAACAAAAATCCGACAACATTTCCGATCTGTTCTAAGGAATACGTAAATACAGACATACATACATACATACATACCATATGCGGATGCTAAGGACAGTGATTAGAGCAGAATTCCTGGCTTGTTTGTCTATCTACCAAACTGAAAAATCAGTGTGATTGATTCATGAATAAGATTCAGATCCCGGCTTCTACGATCATTTCGGCTGCAGTACCCATAGCATGAATTCCGCTTATTCCAAGAAGGGCCAAGGCGAGTTCGTCTTCATTCAATTGTTTCAAACCCTTGCTGACTCTCTTCAAAACATCCACATCGACTTCCGTCATCCATTTGGGAGTGCAGCTCACCATGAGAGTGGAAAACCCGGTGACATATGCCCTCCACGTAGCTTTACTACACCCGAGAGTTATTTTTCCCTCGAGGGCGCTTGCGAAAAATTCCAAGTGCTTCTTTAGATAGTATGGTCGGTACTTGGATGCCGTTGATGTTGAATCCACTCCCCAACCGTATGTTCCGGAAAATACAATGAAGTAAGCAAGTGCATAGCCGCACAGCATAGCTACAGAGCCTCCCATTTCCTCTCCATTCGGCTCTGAGCCACGACTAGAGATGAACCACGAGGGTAATATTTCTTTAATAAGGGAATGCACTGAATTTATTCCACCTGCAATCCAAAGTAAAGATGCACCGAGCGAAGCTGCAACCTTCACTTGAGACATGGCAGTAGCAAGCGAAACCTGACCATACTTCATGTTGAACTTCGTCTTCTTCAGCCTCTCCTTTTGCTTGGTCGGCAAACCACTACTTGCAATATCTTTGACTGCTTCCATTAAAATAGACACAATTTCTTCTGTCAGAAACCGAACATTTCTAACAGCTCGATGCACTCTTAGGTATAGTATGCCGGGGGCAACGGCTGAAAAACCACCAGAAAAGTGAGATCCAAAACCATGCCCCAAAAGAGCAGCCACACCACCATTGTTAGTAACAGAAGAAGAATGTAATCCAAGGGCAGCTGTAAAGCAGACTTTAACGAGTTGAACTACGGCAAGATTACTGTGGTGAAACACAGTCTGGGACGCAGAGAAAATAATAAAATCATTCCAACGTTTCACCTTTTGCGCCCAAAGTGCTGATATCATAGGCATACATGGCCAGGGGCAACCTGTTCCAAGGTTAGTCAAGGCTGGACCGACCAAGTTTAGATAACGGTCTGTATCTTTATCAAGTTTATATGTTATTGTGAAACTAACGAAGGCCGCCAGGGGTAATGGAAGTGTCAGAGGTGAGCTTCCCCCTGCAACAAAATAAAAATTTCAGCAGACTGGCAAACTGAAACCATCATGTCTTCTAACAAGTCAGATGTTTCCTCTCTTTCTAACTTTTTTTTTTTTAAATTTAATAGCGACTGACAAGTAACGAATAAAATTCTTCGAACATAACGACTCTAGAAGCCTCATTTTATAAAGAAACTAGAACACTACAATACAAAATGAAATAACAAGTTTATTAGTTTTTACTAAATCACTACTTCCACAGCATCTTATCCTACTCTGGAATTAAATATTTGCGGAAAAAACTATCAGGGCCAAACCCAAAAGCAAAGATCTGTCCACTGGAAGCAGAAATGTTTGGGCAAATGTATAATAAACGTTATTCAAGTTGTTAAACAACAAGATGTGTAAATACAAAGATACGCACCAGCAGCAAGACATGGTATATGAACACCTGTGGTAGCTAAAATTGTTTTTATCTGTTGTTCAATTGTGGACAAATTTGCAGCTGGGCTCGGCCAATCTGTTCCATTCATTGAAGCAGGTTTCCAAATTCCTCGAGTCACCTCTGCTGAAAAATAACTCACGATTGCTCCCAAAGACGCAGGAAAGAAATCGGCAAGGTCTTTGAGCCCTGAGATAGTTACATAGTATTGTAGTTAAACTATAAATAAATAAAATCAAATAACATCATAACATTAAGCACAAGCACAAAAATAATGTCAGCTTCTCAAACATATACAAAAATTGTACACATAGGTTAAGAGAATAGCTTCTACACTATGTCTCGCTTAAAAGTGCCGAGGGCTTCACCCCAGAATTCTGAAACTTACATACATATTCAATACCAAATACAAACCACCAAAACATTGCATGAGAGATAGGAGAGGGCGTGGATGGGATAACACACTTTCTAGGAGCTCTCAAGCATACCCTATCCTAAACAAAATTTGACTTAAATTACGTATGTAACTCCTTATGAATTATGAAAAGGCAAGAATTCATAATTTAAAACTAGGAGAAAAAAGATTGAAGCCAACCATATTCAAGTATATTAGGAAGCAAAATAGGATCACATTTGTAAAAAAAAAAAAAGAAAATTATGACAGACTTAAGCATATTCTACATTATGCTCTGGAAATGTTATAAGCAATGACATAATACATAAAAATCTTGCCAGTTGTCAATTGACGGGGGGATAGACTCCCGTGGGCACAGGCAGTAAGAGCAGCATCAAGGACAAATGGTACAGCTTCAAGAATATCCCAAGCAGGAAATTTGAGACTAAGTGAGAAATCATCTGTTCCAGATGCAGACGAGCTGCTGCTACCAGAGGTTGAAGTAGTGCCCGATTGACTTCCTCTGTTGGTTTTTCTAAACATCATGCTCAGAAGTGCCTCAAAAATCTGGTGAACAGGATTTCCAGGAGCCATGCCAGAAAGAGTCGATACAATGCATTCCTGATGCTTCCTATACCACTGCTTTAACTTAGGAAAAGACTCCATAAATATGGGAACTTCAGAAGATGGATGTAAAATTTTGGACATTTTGTTAGACTTATTTTGGCTTTTTGGATGCTTCCCATACGATGCTAACTGAGAATTGCGCACTACTAATAGATAGTCAGGAGTTAAATGAGCTCCCACAGGAGCAGTATCTCCGAGTACATAGTCCAGAGGTGGCTGATAAAATCTCCATAATTTTAGCAACAGAGTGAATGCATCTGAAAATACAGCATGCGAAGAAATTTTCTCCCCTGTATGAAGAGTCCAGGACGTATTGGGTACACAAGAACCAAACACTTCACATATTGGCATCAACACAGCTGCAAGTTCAGGAACCTGTAATATATTTGAAACACATATAATATTTATTAGTGAATGAAAAACAAATATATGATTGCATACTGTTTCTTCGGTCTTGATACCATCACGTCAGTGTTGAATCTCATAAATTGTGATTCTGTAACATCTGTGCTAGTCCATGTTTTAGTTGCTTCCACTATGTTTGAATGGCATTTCTTATACATAAGAGCTATGTCTATCCATGGACTAAAATGGCACAACAATTTAAAGACTGGGAGTAATTCAAAATTACTGTTCTTGTTCACAAACACACACACACGGGCACATCTCCATAAATGTATATGTTACATCTACCCATAACACTTTTGGAATCGTTCTTATAAACAAGTTATAGCCAACCGAACGCATCATGACATCTTAGGAGAGATTTAAGGATCTTAAAGTAACAGAAATAGTTGACTAGGCAAAGTCCCCCTAGAGGTAAGCAAAGGTCAAGCTGGATCTTCATTTTGAGTGTCCATTTCCTTCTTCAGTTTTTCCTTTCGTTTTTTCTATTTTTTTTTTTTTTTTCTTTTTTGCACTTTGCTTGCATTTTTCAGATCAACACCAATTGTTTGTCCCATTTTTCTAACACCAAATGCACAACGAGAGAAAGTTTAGACTTATCTTTCTCAAAGAACTTTACAATATATATATATGTATGTATATATTAATACAATAACTATAGGATTTGTAATATATATCAAGGAAATCATAAGATTGTAGGGTGTGGTTTGTATATATTTAATGTGAGCAAGAGATTTATGCATGCGTTCTGATATAGACAGTTTATATATAATTACTCCATAGGAGTCAGTCAATATACGATCAAAAGAAAATGTCGAATTGAGACATTAGAATTCAATTATATCCAGGGGTATTTGACTTCATAATAATGGAAAGTTATGAAGAAAAGGCAGAGATGAACTTGCACCTACCAACCCATGCAATGAGAAAATCTGAATAATATCAATAGGTGATATTCCGATGAGAAGAGCATTCAAAAATGGAGCATAACCTATCAAATGGCTCTCACTTCCAGAAAAATCTTTGGGAACAGCAGGTGAAAGCAATCTTATGATCAAAAGACCTGTATGCTCCTGTAAACACACAATCGGATATTGCATCATTGAATGTGTGCATGTAGATATACTATATAAGCATAAGGGGTGATGATAGCCAATACCAAACAATGGCATCCTAAAGTGTTCAATCACCCCAATTACTAAACAAAATTAGAAAGAGACAACAGCCTTGAGCTCAAGTAATCACCTGAATGTTCCAACCACGACTTAGTGAAGCCCCACAGAATACTGTAGCAGCAGAAATTTTCTCATCATCTGTACCACTGACAGCAATTTCATACAATTTCTCTATCTCTGCAAAGCTTAGGTCATCCAAAAAACTAAAAGTTAGTTGCAGAGAGAGAGTGAGAAAGAGAAGAGAGGAACCATAATATAATGTCTTCCAAAGCTCAGAAGAAAGTAGATTCTGTATATAGTATAATCTAGAGTTGCATTTCAAGAATTATCAAAATTAAGATGGCAGATCGACGGCCATGAGCTGATTCTATCCCATAAATTATATAATATTAATGATCAATTTTCGCAGTGCACTAACAAAAATAACCTGATAGAGACCCCAAAAAAAGAACAAAGGGCTATATCAAAGACCACCTTCCGGGGGTTATTTCTTAAAGGTTACAGTTATGAATTATTTTCTACATCTTCCAACATAAATTCAATTTTTTCTTGTAAAATAAGCCATAATAACACTTACAACCACGATAACCAAATACGAACAGGAACTTTCAAAATTCAGACTTCCACCTACCTAGTAGCTGGAGTTGACACCAAGGCACTGACCATAGGAGGAGTTAGGGGAGACCCTTTCATGAATGATGACCAACCAGGCACTGATCCAGGAATGTTACGAGGAATTTGGCTGCCAAGACCTTTTACATACCCAGGCCACATATATGCTGATGTGTCCAAAAGATTTCTAGCAATGCAGGCTTCGACAATTAGGTGCCAAAGGTTTCCAGCTGCACATTATCAAAGTCTTAGCAACAGATTAACCAGAAAAATTATATGTAAATTAAAGTGTTGAGGCAACAAGAATCACTTCAATGAACATTTTTTTTTTTTAATTATAATAAACCAATGAACATATTGGTTTCACTTCATGGTCAATACATAGGACGATAATCCAAAAGGTACCTGTATAAGAGCAAATCCTATAAGAAATACTTACAATTAGTCAAGGACATCTCATTCAAGCTCATGCCATCAATCTGCCCATTGCTGACTGTTATGCCCGAAAGGAATAGCATAGCTTTTGCAGCAGCTTGATTAGCCAATGAACTTACAGGTGGAGGAGGATACAACAACCCTTCAAAATCATGTAATCGCTGCACACTGGAAACTAACTCTTGACGACACTTTGCCTCTTGCTTAATATCTTTTCTCTGTCCCGTGGAGATTTCTTCAGCTTCACTAACCACTGCAGTCTCCTCGTCTTCAATGATTTTTACAACTGAAAGTATTGTGATTGACAATAACATGCATAAACAAGTATCAAGGCGAGGAACAGGACCCTCACTTGAATTCATCTCCTGGATATAACCAAAGTTTAGAAAAATAACATGGTACTCAATACATACGGCAGTGTTTCCTATAGAATGGAGAAACTACAACAAACCAGAATAAACAATTACCAATATGCCATATAAGATTTTCATATAGGTAGATACACACACACACATATATATATGCATGTGTATAGCAACAGAGAGAGAGAGAGAGAGAGATTCAACCTTTTAGACACCTTTATTATGTTTCTAAAGCTACATAATCAATACGAGCTGGGAGCCAAAGATAATGTCTTCTATAACAACTTATGGTGTTTGTTGGTAATGTATAGGAATCCACTAATACATCTTGCAGATTTTTTATTTCAAAAAATAACTTACCCTTTTTTACTATAGTTGCTAAAATTTTAAAATGTGGTAGTAGTTTCCCATCTTTATATGATGGATACTGTATTCATATCATCAAAAACAGCTAGATGTGATAAACAAATTCAACAAAAAAATAAAAATAAAAATATACATGTACTATGGGTGAAGTGTTACCCTTTGAACAAGACGCAGAGCTGCAGTCCATAAACCAAGGAATGTGTCTTGCCAAGAGGTCTGATTTAGAGCTTGCAGAGCCTTTACTAAACCTGAAATAGCAAGACTGGGTGAACAACACTACAATGCAATAAGAATTAGTGCCACAATATTAGAACATAAGTACCTGCAAGAGTTTCAGCAGCACTAATAGCTCTAACTTGTGAACCATCCATTGCATCTTCTAAATATATATCTATGGGAACCCAAAATGCTGAATGAACTATGCCATGACAATGTGCGACAGATGACATATGTGACCTTGCTGATACCGAATGGAAGTGTTGTTTTGAGTTTAGTCGGAATTCATGTGACAAAACATGGTGTGGATCAGATGTTAACTGCAATAGTTCATCTGAAGTGATATCTTTTGAGTTTCTTAAAGATGCCGATTTTTCTGCCAGCAGTCTTAAATGTTGAATGAAGGATTCCCACAGCACTGGCCTAAAATTACCAATGGTTTCATCAGAGTTAATGCACAATCTTGCACGAGTCCAAGAACTCACAATTGTAGTGCATAAAATAAATGTTGTTGGGAAAGCATAAAACATGAAACTTACATGTTTCGACAGGCCAAAAAAAGAATCCGGGAAGTTACTTTGTTCCGAAAAAATTCACCAATTATTTCAATAGCCATTATAGTATTTATCTTACTCATGGCCACTTGTCCTTCCATTCTTTTTCCTTCATAAGAACCTAGATGATCAATATCCATGTCTTGATTCCGGATTGGCCATCTTGACTTCTTGTCAGGTGTTAGTTCTAATAGTGCTTCATCATCAAGTGACGCATCGAGGAGCTCCCATACAATTGAAAATACAAATTCAACAAGAAGAAAACCTGGTTCGGAGGACTGAACCCCAAATGTTTGATGAAATTGGAGCACATCACTAATAGATTCCATTATCCTGCAGTTGAAAACTTCATTTTGTTAATCATTTATGATGCTAAAGTAGTTATAATTTGCTATATCTGATAAAAGTGTGTACTTCTGCGGCTTTGAAACTTCAACCTTAAAACTACCACTAAATGAAATAAAGAACTAATTATTGGAAACTAACAGGACATGTCTTTTGGGGGAGTCACATAGTTAATAGCACCATCACAATCATATATGCACAAAGAAACACAATGCATAACCAACTTCAGCTATATACTCAGTGCATAAGTATAACGAAGGAGACTTAAAAAAGGTAAACTTAAATCAAACAAAGGCCAGGGAGACAATTCTCCTAAAAATCTTCATCCACAACCAAGACAATGAATAAAATTGAGGTTTGATTAACACACATTGAGGCTCCCACCGATATGATGGGAGTTCCAAACCACAAAGTGAAAATGGTTACCTCGTGCCTTTTTTTTCAATGATGCATACATTCCAAAAGGATCGGTACTAACCTCTAGAAAACATAGCTCCTAGAATCAGTAACATTCTTTGAGGCTATAACTATATTAACCACTACAAAGTTTAATAATAAAAACAATGACATTGCATCAGACACACTAGCGTTCTTAAAAAAAAAAAAAATACCAAATAAAATCATTACTTCCTCCTAACACCAAACATTCAAGAGAAGCTAAACCCAAAAAATACCATTTCAAAGAAGAAAAAAATTATACCTTTGATAGTTGGGACCATTGATTAGAGACGGCAATGAGAAGGCATATCTTCGGAGAAGCTCCATATACAATCTATAAGCTACAGCATACCTCCTTCGACTTGGTATTACCCTGCAAGACAGCAGTGCAGTTACACCAATTAAGAGTAGCTTTACAAAATTAAATCCAACAGCTGACGAGATGAAAAACAACCTAGCAGAAAGATGTGCGAGAACGAGCAGAGGAGGAGCAATACGAAGAGTGAGCGCCTTCTCGAGGAATTTCCATGCTATAGGAACATTGTTGGACCAGCAAATGTGAGAAACAATGAGGTCGGCCACCTCAACGGAGGGCATGGAAACCCCCGCCGCAGTGAGGGTGGAAGACAATTGCATGGACCACATTAGAGGGTCGGCGCCGCTCGCCTGCGCCGCCTTGGTCAGCTCCAATACTGCACTCAACGGGGCGTCCTGCACCGCCTCGAGCGCCATTGGATCAATCTACTGTCGGGGTGAAGCACAGTGCATGGAATGGAATTTTGGGGAAGTAGGCTAGCGGTAATCAGTCAATTTGAGAGACGACAGCGACAAGAACTTTCTGGATTCGTTTCTTATCTATGAATATGAATGAATCCACCACACCCTTGCTGATTGACTGTTCAACCATTGAGTAGGTTTTTGGAATTTACCAAAGAAAAATGACTATTTAATTTTTATTTTTTTAAATTTTTTTACCATTCATTTACTATAATTTTATATCAATCTTACAAATATTATAGAACACATATAATATCTAAATATATAGAACTGCGTATTTAATGTAATATTTTGTAGAGCACAATCCAAGTTTGCAAATATTATAATTTAATACTACTGGCACTATTAGATAAATAAAAAACAACCCCTCCTTCAATTTGGGTCAATTTTGGCTCGCTGCCCATTTTCCAACAAGATCACCTATTTTTCAACAAAGTACGATCAAGAATCATGTGTTTTCTTATTATTTTTTTTAAAAAGAAAAAAAAAATTTGAAAAATATACATTATTCATACAAATCAACACATAACGTGTCAAGGTAGCCTAGACATTGTCGAACTGTGTGTGTGCCGCAGTGGCCGACTATAGCCAGGCACCTTCTGAACTTCTTCCTTTAAAGTAAATACAAAAATATCACAAAACATAAAAACTTGAATCCATAGTCTTCCAGTTTTGGTTATAAGCCAAAGCCATCAACAAGAACTATTCCACAAATATCTTTTCAATCTAAAATGCTTAAACAAACTTCTCCTGTTCAACTCATCACCGCATGCAATGCAATCTAAGCCATTATCATCTCAAGAGTTTGCCCCCAGACTGTGCTTTAGGTTCAATTACAGATAACATTGGTTCCACACGACAGATCGATACTCAGAACCTCAACACATTACGAATTTTACAGTGTCTGTCAACTACATGCAGCAGCACATGGCAAGAATAAGTAAAAAGACCCATCATTTACAACTGTGCCCAGCTATGGGCAGCCCCAACAATGATCTTTAGTTTTGCCCGGAACAAGGACCTAAAGCTACTCTTTTTTCTCGGCTGTAGAAAGCTATTTGTGGCCTTCATTCATAGTCTTTGTTTCACACGTCTGCCATTGATGTCGCTTCCATCTGGAATACCCTCCATCCCTTGCTTGCCAACAGCAATGGAGTGTTCGTTGATCCTAGCAACGTACTCCAGTAATTCAGTCAGAACATGGGGGCAACTTTCCTTGAGGTAGTCAAAGCCATCCGTCTGCATGACAGCTGCAACAGTTCAACTTATCAGCAGGAGTTCATAAAGGGCCCGAAGAAATTAATGGCAAGTTAAAACTAAGGGCAGATGGATAACATAAAACAAGTATAATTATGGAAAAAAGGAGAGAGAACCGAAACAACAAGAGAAATAAAAATTGTAAGGAAATCTGGAGTCAAGTCATTATAAACAAATCACAAACAAAACTGTAGTACAATAAACCATATGAAACTGAATTGGAAAAAGGGAGCTCGTGGTTTTGGAACTGAAGACTACACAAAATTAGATTCACACACAATAATGTTTTGCATCAACCAAATCAAAACTCTAACATCCGTATTGTAATTTCATCCTGAATGTAACGTGTAAAGAACAGAAACAAAAATAGAAACTGCAGATACTAAAATATAGTAATAGAAAAAGATATACCTCGAAGATTTTCAGGTTGCGCAACAAATTTCAGACAGACAGATTTTAGCTGGAAACAGTGGTGCTGTTCTGCCAATGCTAGCGTTGTTGCAACAGTATTTATAGCAACATCCTCACAAAGATTTGCTTCGCATAGCAGTCTAAGCCTATCCAGACCATACCTATCAGCAGCAGCAAGCAGATGCTGAGACATCAACGTTGATGCTCTTTGTGAGTTCAGTCCAGTAAGCTCTTCCAAGTCAGGTAATGTATCCCAATATATAAAATGAAGTAGAGCCTGTAATATACAAAGTGTTGAAAATGATATAGCAAGTCGGGTAATGGCAGGGACAATGCAAACTATTGATGACATAGGATTGAAAATAATGACTGAACAAACTAGAAGTATGCCAGAAGGTTGATAATTTGATGCAGCATTTCACACTTGACGAGGAAAGTAAATATGGAGGGCCGAGAGTAGAAAATATTCCTAAATAGTATTGACAGCTTCATGCTGACAGACCATTATTTCAGTCCATAGTGAAGCACACCACTCATAGCCATAGAAGTTCTAATGTGAACTTGCTTTTATTGAGTCAACTACTCAATCTATATAATATTGATTCTACCAACACTTGCTGAAGGATGAAAGCATCACGACTTACAAGCATTTAACTATCGTAGAAGAGAACAACTTACAGCAAGAGAGTGTGGCATGAACAACCAACAAGAGAATTAAAAGAAAAAAGGAATGAGAAATTATGTACATCATAACCTCAGGGAGATGATGAAATAATCAGTGGAAGACACAAGTCATTGCGTTGGATATACCAATTGAGAGTCAACTGCATATAGTTTACTTGATAATAAATGCAAAAGATCTTATGCCAGTGTGTTTTTTTCCACATGTATAAAGATGCAAATGGCAAACTTCAGAACCGGATCTGAGACTCACCCAAAATACGCATATAAAACGAATAGAGGGTTTACAAACAGTAAGAAGCTAATTAAAACCAGAGCTGTCCAAACGGGTTGGCGGGACGACGGATTAGCCCACAACCAAACCATAACCGCAAATAAGGGATTTATTTGCATGCCAATCCGCGGCGGAGCAGGCTAAAATTTAGGTTGTCAAACCAACCCACAGGTGGGTGGCCAGCCAAATGGACCAACCCACAGACTCTTAAAAATATTAAAAAAATTATTTTTTATATATATAATATAAAGATTAGTTATATCATATAGTTCAAATAACAAATATTTCAAATCAAATATCTAACATAAATTGATTCAAAATTCTGAATATCATTGGTCGTTACTTAAAAAAAAACAATAAAAGATGAATAAAACAAAAAAAAAAAAAAATTGAAGAAAAGAAAATAGTGACATGGTCAATACCGTCATAAAATAGAGTATCGTAATATAAGTTGTAAGAATTTTCTTAAATTATGTAGTAAGCACAATTACTAAAAATGAAATAAATAGATTAATTTTGGACAAGATAAAATGACAAAATAGATAGATTCATTTGAAATATTAAAGATATAATATAATTATAATTATATGTATTTGGCCCACGAGCTAACCCGCCACATTGCGAGCTAACCCACTTCCAACCCGCAGCCCGCGTGGGTTGGCTCGTTTAGGCCCACATTTTAATGGGCCTAAAAAAATTAAAAACTCAAACTCAACCCTCTTTAAAAGTGGGACTGGGCGGGCCAATCCGACAGGCTCAACCCTTTTTAACAACTCTAACTAAAACGATTAATAGTGGCGCTCAAAATATGCTGTAAAACCAGAAGTAGTTAGCGAGAGGAAGAAGGATTCAAGAAGAACCTTAAAAACTGGTGCTTCCATGTCTTCAACCTTCATACACTCTGTATTTTGATCTTTCATTGGACCATACAATTGAGCTCTAAATACTGGAGATCGAGCAGCAAGAATCAACTTGTGAGCAGAAAAGGTTTCTCCATCAACTTCAAAGTTTACGTCAATCCCCTTTCCACTTTCCAGAAGCTGCCCAAAGTGCTGACCAATGTCAGATGGTGGAAATGGTATTGAGTAGATCTTAGGCCCTTCAGTCTGCGACCTAACAACACCAACACAGCAGTGCACATGAAGGCAATCGTCTTTCAGGTAGTCAGATGATTCCAAAGCAGTTCTTTTGAAGAATCTTTTGTATCCCCTGCAGCAACAATTAATGTCAGTATCGATCTTTGAACAATTCAACACGTGCCTTTTCTTCCTTTATACTAGCCATTTCGCAACAAGATGGCTGAACAGTTCCAGTCGTGCTATACTCGCAACATAAAAAAGATAACAAAAACAGGGCTTCGATGCCATAAATGCAGATTATACTCCAATTAGTTACAAAACCTGATCAATCATCTGCAACTTGGTAGACAAAAATAGTAAATGCAAAACATTCAATATGCCTATGCATATGTCATTCATTCTTTAATTCTCGGATGGCAAGAATCATGTGACTACAAACTCAATCAAGGCATAAAGCCGAAATCTCAGGAGATGCGATGAATTGATTGTTTCTAAATTAGTAGCACATAATATGCCCATACTAGCATTACATAAAAGGATCAAGAAGAAATTTAGGGTGTGTTTGTTTAAAGGATTTACCCAAAAATCCTAATATTTATCCAATTTTTTTTTCCCCAAAAACATCAAATCAAACATTCATTTTTTATTTTTTATATTATACTAAAAATAATTTTACATTCAAAATATCACATCAACACTTATTTATATCACATCGTACAACTATTACAATTCAAAATCTTTACTATTCAAATCTCAACTCAAAATCCACTTCCTCAAACAAACACACCCTTAGTTTTCCCAAGAGGTTGACCTGCAAATTAAGGTCCTTGAAATTGAAGGTGGGGACACAAATCTATTCTCACACAGACATATATTACCATCCATAAATTGGAAAATATAAGAAATATTATAGTAAAACAAGAATGAACTAATAATATACCAATAGAAACATCTAAAAGAAAACTATCCCACGGCGATGCACCATTACATCCTAATCTAAGCCATTTCGCAACAAGATGACTGAACAGTTCCAGTCGTGGTTTACTTGCAACATAAAAAGATAACAAAAACAGGGCTTCAATACCATAAATGCAGATTATACTCCAAATAGTTACAAAACCTGATCAATCATCTAAAACTTGCTAGACAAAATTAGTAAATCCACAAACATTCAATATGCCTATGCATTCGTCATTCATTCTCTAATTCTCGGATGGCAAGAATCATGTAACTACAAACACAATCAAGGCATAAAGCCGAAATTTTGGGAGATCCAATTAATTGATTGTTTCTAAATTAGCAGCACATAGTATGCCCATACTAGCATTACATAAAAAGATCAAGAAGAAATTTAGTTTTTCCCAAGAGATTGACCTGCAAAATTAAGGTCCTTCAAATCGAAGGTGGGGACACAAATCTATTCTCACACAAGACATATATTACCATGCATAAACTGAAAAATATAAGAAATATTATAGTAAAACAAGAATGAACTAATAATATACCAATAGAAAGATCTAAAAGAAAACTATCCAATGGCGATGCACCATTACATCCTAATCTAAGCCACTAAAACTCAGTCACAATAATGAAGCATTTCAAATAAAATGCAATCAAGTATAATATCATAAAAACAGATCAGAATTCAACGTTGTAAAGATTCCATAGATACAAAGAAGGAAGTTCCAAAAAAAAGAACTGAAACCCACCACATGCTCCCTCGGTATTTTAGAGTATAAGGTCCACTCTCCAATGCCCTCCCAAAATGGCTATGAACCTTGTGTCTCTCCCTTCCACTTTGATCCAAAAGGGTAAGCTCAAACAACGCCCTCACATCCGTGCCGTCACTAGCTAACGCAATGAAAAGCGAAACATATGCAGCATTGTCCTCCACGCTCTTCCCATCAGGGTAGAAATAAATCGCCCAAGAATATCCACCCACCATAAACGTGTCGGATGCTATGTACTTCCCAATCCCAATTCCCTTCGACAAAGAATAGCCCGTGATCTTAAAATCGTGAGAACCATTCACGGTCTCGACTATCGATGTAGAACTTGTCACCTGTGGCGACGCCGGAGGAGCCGACGATGACGAGGGTTTCGTTGTCTCGAAGCACACCCTGCCCATTCCCACCATATACGATACACAGAAGCTTGATTGAATGAAATCCTACAGATACGAATACCCGAATACAAATGAATTCGAATTAAATCGGGAGTTTCGTGCGCAAATCAGAGACGTATCAAATTGGGGGAATTAGGGTTAGATCTGGCAGATTTGAACGAAATTGGACTGGAAGCAGAGCACAAGAAACGGATGAACGGGCTTCTGATCGGAGGGATGGCGAGGAAATCTCGATTTTCCAATTTATAAGAAAATTTTGACGAGAGAAATTCCTCGAATTTTAGGGTTTCGAACCTTCCGACAGGGGCGACCGAGCTTTGCCTACAGAGGAGAGAAAATATTATAACTAAAGAAATAATCATTAGAAAGAAATAAGACACCTATTTATAGAGACAATAATTCTGGATGGACACATTCTGCTACCAGAAATATTAAAAATAATAGTACTTCTTTATTTCGTTTCATAAATAAATATTCATTTATTTTTTTAGTATTACATTAAAATATAGTAAAAATAAAATAAAAATGATTAAAATAGATATAATATTTGTGTAATATATTGTAAGTTGTAAGGTATTCGTAATGTTAGATAGTTAGTATATTTACTAAAAAAGAAAATTAATACTTTATTATGGGGACGGACTAAAATGGAAAAATGATATTTTATTATGGGACGAACTAAAATGGAAAAATGAATACTTTGTTATGGGACGGACTAAAATGGAAAAATGAATATTTTGTTATGGGACGGAGGGAGGGAGTATAATACTCCATCTCTCTTTCATCCAATTTTATTATAACCTTCAAGTTTTTTCTTTTTTCTTTTTTTATCCAAATATATTCTCCTTTTTTTTAGTAAAAAAAAAATAAAATTTTTTACTTTTTAAGAAAGTAAAAAATTTTATTTTTTTTTTATTTATTTTTCTTAAAATATGTGTCCGATCAAATGAACACACAATTGGATAACAGGGAGTAATATTAAATTGTAGTGAATAATTGAAAATAGTGTAAAGATAGTTGTCTTTATCTCTTTTGCGTAACAGTAACAATGTGATAGTAAAATAGAGGTATTTGAAATAAAAAATTGGATCCATAGTTACTAAAAAAAATAAATGTATACGTTAACCTGGACGGATGAAAATAGAAAGATATATATATTAAGGTGGGGCGAAAAAAATATTTGTTTGTAATTTTAATTTGAGATATTTTTTTATATTTTCTATTAGAAATGTGTTGACAATATAAAAAACAATTTATTGTTAAATTATTAAATTTTGATAAGTTTGTATAATATATAGATCATGTTGATGTGCATATATATTGGATATATTTTTTTAATAATATTAATCATAAAGCATATCAAATATTTTTTTTATTAGGGTATTTGATTGAATATTTTGTATTAGAATTTATATCTTATTTTTTTAAAAAAAAAAAACAAATATTTTTCTTAGGATTTTATTATTATTATTTGTTATTGAGAATTGTAAAAATATTATTAAAATATTTAATTATATTATTTTGTAAAAAAAATAATATATTATGAATATTTACAAAAAATGAGATTCGATTTTTCGAATGAAGAGAATATTATTAAAAATTTGTGATTAAAATTTTGTGACTCATCTATCATATTCATCACTATTAATAGCTAACTTCAGTTTAAATTTTATCTTTTTATTTACTTTTTCAATAATTTTATATAAAATATTATTAAAATTAAAAATTTTATAGTTTTTATTGTTTAATTATATTTAGATTAATAAAATATTTTTTTTTTTACATTATTACTGTTTTACTGATTATACAATATTTTTAAAAAAAAAATAATTTCAAAATATAAAATATTCAGTATAAAAAAAATATATTTATTTTTTTAATATATCATTAAATAAAAGTAATTAAAACAATAATACAATATAAATATTATATAAATTAATCAAACTAATTAACTATTTAATATACTATTTCTTTAACTTTGTGTCCAAAGAAAGGAGATCAATTTTATGAGATGAGAGGAGTACATAATAATGTTTAGTGGATATGTTAAAAAATAATTTTAATATTTTATTTTGACTAAGTACAAAATAAATAAATATTTTTTAAATATTAAAAATGCATTTTAATTATTTTTATTATAAATTACCAATTAAAAAATTAGAAATATTTTAAATAAACGGTCTAATTTAGTTAAAATATGATTAAAAAAATATAAATATTTTATATTGAATGAAGAGAGTAAATTAATAATAATAAGTTATAATATTATGAGTAAATTATATAATATTCTATTGTGTTTTAGTAAAAATGCACAAAACACTTTATATTTTATTTATTGCGTGATGTATTAATATAAAATTTGCATGAAACACCTTTCTTGTGTTTTGATGTTTGATTTTAAATAAAAACTAAAATTATACAAGTTTTATGCAAACAAAAAATGTAAAATATTTTAATTAATTTATTTGAATAAAGTTTGCGTAATTTAAGTATTTATTTAAAATCAAACATCATATTTGAACGTTGTTTTGCGCAAACTTTACGTTAACATAGGGAGTTTCATACAATAAATAAAATACAAAGAGTTTTGTACATTTTTATTAAGACACAGGGGTGTGATATAATTTACCCTAATATTATTTTATTATTTTTTTATATGAGTAATTTTGTTGATATTTTTAAAATAAAAATTAATCTTCTTTGGTCCAGGATAATTGTCATTTTTTTTGTCATCCACAATTTTATTATTTTATATTAGTTCTGTAATAAGATTTTTTATATTTTATTTATTTTACTTTTTATTTATTCTATTTTTATATTAAAATATTAAAAAAAAAATTCAATTGAATTTGAACAAAAGTAATTACACATTAAATTAAAATACTTTTAATTTTTTTTATTAAATTATAAATATATTATTACATATACAATTAATTTATATCTAAAGTTGAATGAGATAAATAAATTAGTTTATATTTGTTAAAAATATTTTAAAAATTAATAGATTTATTAAAAATATAAACTTGTCAAATTATGAAAATTACCAAAATTCTACTGGCCGCGAAGGGAAGTATATGGAATGAAAATACCATTCAGAATTAATCCCTTCACCGGACAGTTTAAACCCTTGCCGAAACTCACCGTCGCCAGAATGAATCTGGCCGTCGGAGTCATCGACTTCTCCGATTGCAGTTCCGCCGTGCCGCGTTTCAAGATTTACGTCGCTGGCGGCATGTTGGCGGACGCCGGCGGCAGCGGACCTGCATATCAGCCAACGGTAATATGGTGTTTTTTTTACTACGTATTCGTTAGGGATTTGGATTTTGGTATTTATAATTTTTAATTTGAATAATTATTTGATATATATATATATATATATGAATAAATTAAGAGTTTGTTCGTTTGAAAAATTTTACCAAAATTTTACTATTCATCCAAATTTTTTTTTCCAAAAAACATCAAATCAAACACTTATTTTTCATTTTTTATATTATACTAAAAATCAATTTTACATTCAAAATATCACATCAACACCTATTTATATCACATTATACAACTATTCAAATTCAAAATTTTTACTATTCAAATCGCAACTCAAAATCCAAACCTCCAAACAAACACACCCTAAATAAATTTTAAGATAATATGAAAATAACAAATATTTGACTAGATTTTATTTTTTCTTAAGAAAAAGAAAATGTGAAAAAATCCAATCAAACACATTTTTTGGATTTGTTTTAATTATGATATTGGGATTTACTTCAATTTTATTTTACTATTTATTCTTTAAATTTTAAAAATATATAATTATTGATTTATTATATAATTTGATTATTTGTGAGATTTTTTATGGTTTACAATTTTGTAATAAACTATAACAATGATTTATACTAAACACATTGTTTATAAATTTACGATGTATATAAATTTACAATATACATATAAAATAAAATCAATTGTACATCCAAATACTTTATACACTATATATTATCTTTTGATTGCCATAAATAAAAAAATTTATTATTATTATTATTATAAAAGATTTTTTTTTTAATTCAATTTTTTTTTAACCAAACACAATTTTTTTTATAATTCTCTCCTCTTCCCTCCCCTCCCCTCCAAAACCCTCAAACCAAACAAAACAGACCCTAAAGAACCCCTCCATTTCGTTCTATACCGCCTCCCCACCACACTGCAAGCTGTCCTGTGCTGGCGGCGACGCCTTTCCCCCTATTCTCATCGGTAACTCATAATTGTTCTCCCTGCTCTTGCTCTTGCTATTGATGTTTGTCATTGACTACTTGTGGTTAATTTCTTCAATTTCGCCTGCTCCAGTTTCGTTTTGCAATTGCTGGTGAATTATAGTCCCTTGTGTTGGGGAAAATGTTTGGGGGTATTATTGGGTTGTGTTCGTGCAGGGAAAGCATCAGGAAAAAAAGTAGACGGTAGAGATGATTCTCAGTTATTTCGGAATCGTTCGAACTCGAGATTCGGTAATCGGCAGTGTTGTTCTGCTCACTCTGATTTTGAATCCGTGAATCCGAGAATGCTTCATCATCACCATTCGAAACCTTCGATTCCTTATAAGTCGGAATTGTGTCTGCGGTTCCCAAGAGGCAAGTGTTTCCATGGCGAGAGTTGTCGTTTTGCACACAGCACGGCTGAAATTCGGAAGCCAGAGTTGAATCCTGTTGATGTGAAAATGTACCGTACAAGGAAATGCTAGCCTACAACCGAGATCACGTTCTAAAGTGTGCACTGCATCATCGGACGGCGCACGGCGCGACACGTAAGAGCCAATATTAATAAATCAAGGGCGGCGATCAGTGCGGGGTTAATGACGACGACGTCACGCGCATTGCGCGTGACTTGAATCACCCTTAATTAATTCAAGAGAGGAGACCGTTGGACCGGATATTTATAGGGATAATAAATCGGGCGGGTTAGCTCCGGATTCGCGCCGGATCCGCTTTTAATAGGTCGGGTTCGGGTCTAAATAATATATTTTGAGGCGGATTATGGATTTAAAATTTTAAAGCGAGTTACGGATTTTACTAAAAATCTATCCAATTCGGACCCGGACCCAAACCTGAATATTTTTTAAAATTATTATAACTAATACTCACTTTGTCCCATATTATTCATTTTTTAATTTTAATCCGTACTATAACAAAATATTCATACTGTAATTATCTTTATATGATTATTTTAATTATTTATACTTTATTTCTACTATATCCCAAATATAATAGCAAATGAATATTTATTTATGAGATAGAGGGAGTATATATGTACATTTATATAATAAAAATATATTATTTATTTATTTAAATAATTTTAAATATAAAATTCAATTAGTCATAATCTTTTAAAATTATTATACCTAATATATGTATATTTATATAATAAAAATATATTATTTATTTATTTTTATCTTATTTTTTTGAATCAATATTTGATTGTTTTTAAATTTTTTTTTGTGCTTTTAATGTTATTTGTTTTAGTATTCGATTGTTAACGGGATGGAGCGGATCCTGAGGCTGGATGGAAGCACGGATTTCGAGGCCCAATATCTTCTAGCGGGGCGTGTATCGGGCCTGCATAACTCGTTCCGAACCCGCCTCGTTGCCATCCCTAGATATTTATCAGGACTTAGAAAAATTAATTGTGCCCTAAAACAGAGGCATTCAATGGTAGAATTTTCAGCAAAACACAAAGACAAGATTTTCATTCACCAATAGTTAAATTGGCTTCATTCAAATTCCTATGGTTGCGGTTCTTCACAATTAGATTATTTGCTTAGCACATACAATATAGCTTCTTTAAAACTATACTATTTGTTTATGATCTTTCTCAGCACATTCTTGGTTGTGGGCGGAGAGATTTTGCACACAATCAACGCATGAACAACAATATAACCTGTCGGGCTCGAAAAAGGCTGTAAAATCATCTCTCTTCAGCTTATAACTTTTGATACAACTCCTGCGCCAACGGTTCGGCCGCCTTCCCTAAGGGCAAATCTTTGTCCTGCCGATATAACAAGAATCCCAAATTTGTGGTTACCATCAAGAGAGTCAGCTATGCCAGCAAACTCAGATCTAACAAACTGGGATAATAGCTATATGTAACTAAGGCTAACCTGCTTCGAGAGGGACTGGGTAAATAAGGTCGAAAACAGCAGTGACATTGTCACCTGGCATAACCATCTTCACACTTTCAGGCAACTCGACTTTACCAGTGACATCAGCCGTCCTCATGTAGAATTGAGGCATATAATTTGAAAAGAAGGCGGTATGGCGACCACCTTCCTCTTTTGTGAGGACATATATCTCTGCTTCAAATTTTGTGTATGTTTTAAGGGTCCCGGGTTTGGCAATGACCTGATCAAGAAATTCAGATAAAATGAGTAAATAAGCAATTACAAGACATTGTAGCATCCCTAAGTTTCCACTAACAATTTTAGTTCTTACATAAGGTAAAATATATTCAGTGAAAAATGCAGTGGACTGAAAGCATAACATAATAAGAAAAAGTGATAAATGAAGACATTGATTCCGGAATATAAAGTTCTAGGATAATATAGGAGAGCCACAGGTATAGATTAAACAGTCAATAGGTATTAAAAAGAGAATAAAAGTTCCAGCAAAAGCGACTCACCATTCCTCGTTGAATCTCGTCACGTTTCAGACCCCGTAGAAGCAGTCCAACATTGTCACCAGCCTAGCAAAGGATGGATTGCAAAATGAGAGGCAAAGCATACGTGTTCCGAGGTAAGCATAAACTGAAATTCTTACCTGGCCAAAATCTAGTGTCTTCTTGAACATCTCAACACCAGTTACTGTAGTTTTAAGTTTGTTCTATTGCAGACACACGAAAAGGATGTAACCAGTCTACTCGGTATATGGTAGAAATAGGTGGAATGTATAAAATAATGGGGCAAAACAAAATTAATCCGCAAAAATATTCTTGAAATAAAAGGATATGAATCTGGATATTGTTGTCAAGAATCTAAACCAATTTACATTACATCACATTATAACTTTTCTCCAATATAAACATACAGCCTAATCAAGTTCTCTTGGGAGTTAAATCAGAGATCATAAAAACTATGACAAAATTTATAGCCTTTATGTTTACAATGACAAAGAAAATACAGGCATTTAAATGCTAACTACTGTGTAAACAACCTCTTAAGATTTTATTGAAAGTCAAAGCCTATATCCTCTTTCAGTAGGTGCATACAAATAGCTCTATAAAGGGCTCAGATCTCTGCTCATCCTTCAGGACTGTGTGGGTGTGACCACACATGGACACAAAGCTTGAATCCTTTTTCATATGTATCCAGTGGGAGCTACAAAACACAAAGCCTACAAATCCAACTGGCCACAAATATGACAAAAGGTACAGGAGCCTACACTACACCTAAGAGAATTTGGAATATTCACCTCATTGAGACAGAATTTTAAGCGAGTAACATATTTAAAAAGTGGCATGAAAGTAATTAAAGCATAGAAAAACTGGGCAGAAGATGGAGGAAGAGAACAATCAAATACCTGCGATAGTCCCAAAATCTCCACTTCTTCCCCAGGCTTGATCATGCCTTGCTCTACACGGCCAGTTGCAACAGTTCCACGCCCCTTCAAATTGCCAAGATGAAGAATATCAAAAAAACACAAACTATACAAAAGCAAAACTGTTCGACAAATAATAATAACAAAAACGAAATTACTTGTCACAAGCTACTATTATAGTAAGGATATCTTTGGACGACAATTTTGAAACTCATGCCCATAAAAGTTCATTTGAAGATAAAAATTTTGCATGTGCTAAAGGAGCAGATCAGTATCAAATCTAAGAAAGAAAACAGTAGTTCATAAGTGACTATCATGCTGGCATTGAATTATCAAAATGTTGAGTAGGCTAGCACAACAGTACCACAATATACACTGAGAATGAAGTATGGCGGGCAGTAAAGATTGTGGACTTGTGTATTTTAGTAAAAACGTTGTGCAGTTAAAAAAGATTGCAAATATGCCAAAAGGTCATTCTAGAAGAATAAAGAAAAATGTATAGGCTATGGTATATGTTACCTGAATGGTAAAAACATCTTCAACAGGCATTAGGAAATGTTTGTCAAGCTGGCGAATGGGATCTGGAATGTAAGTATCCACAGCTTCCATCAACTTCAAAATAGCCTTTTTTCCAATTTCTTCATTATTACCCTCCAATGCAGACAAAGCTGATCCTCGAACAATAGGGATATCATCCCCAGGAAACTTGTAGAAACTAAGCAATTCTGCCAGAAGCATGAATATGCATATTAAAAACATGAGTAGAAGAAAGGTAAACGACCATATTCAAAAGTCTTACCCCGTAATTCCATTTCCACAAGTTCCAGCAGCTCGGGGTCATCAACAGCATCAACTTTGTTAAGGAAGCACACAAGTGAAGGTACACCTACCTACATAAAAAGCAGGGTGAAGTGAAATAATCAAATCGGCACGCTTTCTGGATTTCAGCTAAGCCAACTTCCCAAATTAACATCATGATAACCTGGCGAGCCAGTAGAATGTGTTCTTTAGTTTGTGGCATAGGTCCATCAGGAGCAGATACAACAAGAATGCCCCCATCCATTTGAGCAGCTCCAGTAATCATGTTCTACAGTTCAAGTCAGGAATCAAAATGCTAGACAAAGACAACAAAGTCTTCCTCAAAACTAAAGAGATTTTTCTTTAAATAGGTACACATCAATATTATCCTCCGACGAATTTTAACAAGGTAAACTTTCCTTATAAAAATAATTTCATTATAATGCATTGGACAATTTACTAGTTGTAATATCAAATAATGCGTTTTGTTTAAGGTTCATTAAGAACAATGACTGTGAATAAGTTGGTTCTACATCTCACCTTAACATAATCAGCATGCCCGGGACAATCGACATGTGCATAATGTCGCTTTGCAGTTTCATACTCTACATGAGCCTGCAGCATCAACATGAAAATCAAGAACGGAAGTCAATCCAGGCACAGATACATGTACAGATGAAAATGGGCATATAAAGAAGAACAGAAAAGGCTTATACAGTTGCAATTGTAATTCCCCTCTTCTTCTCTTCAGGGGCTTTATCAATTTCATCGAAAGCAACAGCTTTAGCATTTCCTTCTTCTGCTAAGACCTTGAAACAAACCACAATATAACCCCAAGAACCCATGTCACGTACATAAAGTGAAAGTTGCGAAGTATAAGATAAATGGAACAAACTGCTAAGTAAAAACACTGAACGAAGTCAATTAAAAGCTGTGTGTGTGCAGAAGAGGGAAGAAGAAGCTTTGTGTCACATATACTAATATAAATGTAAATTCTCATTAAAAATCATAGCTACCAATTCAGGCCTACCTTGGTGATTGCTGCAGTTAAAGTGGTCTTTCCATGGTCCACATGCCCAATCGTTCCCACGTTCACATGAGGCTTTCTGCCATCAAGAGATGCATACATTAACAGCGAGGAATAAATCCCAAAACTGAAGCAATCTTAATCAAATAATTTGAATTCTCAATTGCTGCTAGCTCTCATTCCAATTTGCATAATTTCTTCTATCCTGAGATGTAACCATTTAGCCCCAAATACAGATGGCATAAAACAACGGTCAGAAGAAGCTACAATGCGAACAAGGCAAGACTACAAGCCTCACGTGCGAGTGAAGGTCGCCATGGATCTCCACCAAGGGCTCATCATCGGGTGCGACCCGACCGGTGATTCGGCAGCATAGAATGGAGACGAGACGGCAGATCCTCGGCAGCATGAGAGCGCAAATAAACGCTTCGCCTGCCGGCTTCTGACCACAATCGACGCCATTTTCCAATCAAATCGTGGAAAATGCTCGACGGATCAAACAAGAACTGAACAAGAAGAGCACCAGGGTTTAAGGCACCAAAAACCTCCGGTTAGGGCTTTCCGTGAACTTCAATACGACGCCGTTTAATCCAATTCCCTCCATAATTGAGCCTATTATTGGGCTCACGTAAAGCCCAAATTAATAAAATTCCAGCCCAATTTAAAATTCAAACATGTGCCAAATTTGTTCATTAATAGTCCACCATTCACACATTTTCTTGCTCAAAAAGTGACGTGCGGGTGTGTTTGTAGGAAGGGTTTTAATATATTTGTATTATTTATAGGCAATGGGTTGATTAGTTGAATATTTTAAACGGTTTAAATTATTTAATCATAATTCGATTTATTTATTATCGTGTCGTGTTTATTTTGATCCGTTTATAATCGTGTCGAATTTGTGTTGACTTATATATATATAATTAAGTTGAAATTCTTAATTCAAATTAAATTATTTTATGTCGTATTATTATATTATGTTAATTTTTATTGGTTCTACTGTAATGTAACAATGTATAATGAATTAGATTGAATTATTTTAAAATTGAATTTAGTTTAAATTAATATATGACCAAATTATTAAACTATAATTATTTTACACATAATAAATATATCAACCAATATTAATATATTATAATTGGGTTATTGTGTTCGAGTAGCCTAAACCCTAACCTTACTCTCGTTTATTATCGTATCGGGTGTCAACCCGTATACATAATCGGGTTAAAATTTTTAACTCAAACTCAATTATTTCATGTTTTTTTGTGGGCTCTAATTCACACTAATTTTTTCTCTAATCAAATATTTATTTTTTACTTTTTATATTATTTTAAAAATAAATTTTACATTAATAACATTACATCAATACTCATTTATATCACATTATACAACAATTGCAATTCAAGTTTTTTAGTGTTGAAAATCAAAACTCCCAAACAAACACACCCCTATACAGTTACTATTGCAAGAACAAATTCTTCCAACAGAGAAGTCACTAAAATGAAGAAAACTAACAATGGGATCAGATTCTTTACTTACCATAACCTCTCTCATTGCCAAGAATCTAACTTTTAGTGAAGAAAATTTTATGCATACTATATATTTCATTTTGGCCTAATTTTTTTGGGGAATATATACATTTTTAAGATGAAAATTCCCTTCAAAGTTCACCCTTAAATTCCCAAAGCTTCTAATCTTTGTGTACTTTGCAAAAATGAGACATAACCAGAAGGGCAGTGAAGGAGGGATTTGCAACAAAATATCCACGGCTGTCTCCTTAAGACGTCTTAGGACAAGAATTCGTCGAATTTCGCAAAATCATCGCGGTCCCGATCATGTCCAAAAGACTAGAAGTGGTTCCGAAGACAACCTTAGAAAGCAAGTCGAGCCTCCTCTGGCACCGGCGCCGTCTCATAATAAGCACGCCGGTGGAAAAGAAATTTTGGTTGTTAACAATCAAGAAGATGGCGAAAAGATGGTTAGATCCTCCTCGAGGGTTGGGAAAAAGACCTTTGTTCAATTCTCGGCAGCCAAGAACGACAAGCCCGCGAATGTTGATGGTGGTAAGAAAATTGAGGGTAATGATAAATTTTCGGAATATATAAGAAAGATCAAGAAAAAGATGGGAGTTGGTGTTGCGCCGTCGAATGTTGGCACTTTTGGAAAAAGGACTACAACGAGAAGAGACACTTTTAATGATAAAGTTGCGAATTATATAAAGCGCGCAAAGGTTAAGATTAGGTCGACAACAACAATTGGCACTGCCAATTCCTCTAAATAATTGGAGCAATGCATTGAGATTGGATCAAATCGATCAATGAAAATTGATGTGATATATAAATAAATATGTTATGTGTTTTATAAGATGCATATTTAGTAAATCAAGTTCACATGTGGATAATAATTGTTACTTTTTATTACTTTAGATGTAATTTTGTCATTTTTTTTTTTTTACTTGAAGTTGAGTTTGTTGTCGTAACAAAATATAAATATGTAGTTATATATCTATTTTTATTGTTATTATTTTGTATAAGTAAACAAATTATGTTTGTCTTACAACTTTAAAGTTGGTTAGAATGTTTATTAGATCTAATCTTTACATAAATAATTATTTATCATCTTAGTGCATAAGTGTGATTAAATTAGATTGTGTGAATTATTAGTATATATTGTTAATTTATATTAATTTCGTCCGGCTTTAACTGTCTCATTTATTTTTTGCGTGTTAATATTTGAATATTAATTATTATATCAAAACGTAGTACATGTTAAGAAAAAATTGCAAAAATATTTCTATTAGTATCTTATAATACTAATATAATGACATTTGTATAAAAAAATATAGAAATATAAGCATATTTTTAATGTTACGTACAATGATGTAAAAAGTAAATGTGACCCTTATAGACGGACGGAGGGAGTATATATATTTTTTTATTTCGACTCAATATAGTATTTTTTATCATTTTCGTCCGTCTAACTCAAAAGTATCAATTTTTTTAATTTTGCCACAAGTTTAAAAAAAGTCGAAAACGGACCTACATATACTTAGATAGTACATAAGATTAAATTTAATTAGAGTATACATAAAATAGAACTATTGCATCAATCAAAGCAATCGACTCGGTACTCAAATAAATTCTCAATCAACATTCTAATCGAAAGGAATAGTACCTCGTAGGTTTAAAAATAAATAGAACGGTGCTTATAAATAGTGTGTGTTTGTTTGAAGAATTTGTGGGAATTTTTAATATTCATACATAATTTTTCTCCAAAAAATTATTGTTACGATTTATGGAATAAACTCTATTTTCGTTAAAACACAATTAGGGTACAATATTATATTTATACAAGAGATATATTAGGTAGAATATATATATCAATATATAAAATATATATACTATATATATATATCAGCATCCCCCCTCAAACTCAAGGTGGAACGGTGGAGCCCAACTTGAGTTTGCTCAAAAATGACTGAAAACGGCCGGGAAGGTGAGGTTTGGTGAATCCGTCGGCCGTCTGATCAGCAGAAGGAATAGGAGACAAGGAGATGCTTCCATGAGCAACGTGATGACGTACAAGGTGACAGTCGATCTCAATATGCTTCGTACGCTCGTGGAAGACATCATTTGTCGAAATCTTCATGGCGCTCTGACTGTCGCAATGGATAATAGTGGCAGAGGGCTGAGGCACTCCAAGATCAGCCAAAAGCCAGCGAAGCCATAGAAGCTCAGCAGCGGTATCGGCAAGGGCTCTATATTCAGACTCTGCACTGGACCGGGAGACAACCGTCTGTTTCTTGCTGCGCCATGAAATAAGCGAGTCGCCAAGGAAGAAGCAAAACCCGGTGGTCGAGCGGCGATCAGAGGGATCTCCCGCCCAATCAGCGTCAGAATACCCGGTCAAAACTAAGGAGGATCGAGCGGAATAATGAAGTCCATGAAGAAGGGTACCTTTGACGTACCGGAGAATCCGTAGGACAGCAGAATGATGAGTCGTCCGAGGAGCAGACATAAACTGACTGACGATATGGACGGCATAAGCAATATCCGGTCGAGTGACAGTCAGGTAGATGAGACTTCCCACTAGCTGACGATACAAAGTCGGATCATCAAGAGGAACGCCGTCCATCGAAGTAAGACGACAGTCAGAATCAAGAGGTGTAGGAGCAGTCTTGGAGTCAGTGAGACCGGCAATAGATAGGAGGTCGGAGGCATACTTGGCTTAGGAGAGATAATATCCGTCGGAGGTGTCGGAGATCTCAAGTCCTAGGAAGTACCGAAGAGGCCCTAAACTCTTCATCTCGAAGTGGCGATTTAGATGAGCCTGCAACTCGGAGATACCTGATGCATCATCTCCCGTAATGATCATGTCATCCACATAAAGCAATAAAATAGTAATTCCAGCTGACCCACGTCGAAGGAAGAGAGCCGAATCATGATCACTAGAAGTAAAGCCAAGCTGGAGTAGAGCAGAGCTAAATTTCGAAAACCAAGCTCGAGGTGCCTGTTTCAAACCATATACGGCACGGCGAAGTTTGCATACCTTGGAAGAGGTAGGAAAACCAGGAGGAGGAGACATGTAGATATCCTAGGATAAATCACCATGCAAGAACGCATTCTTGACATCAAGCTGATGCAGGGGCCACCGACGAGCGGCAGCGATGGCGATAAGACAGCGGACAGATGTGAGACGAGCAACCGGGGCAAATGTCTCCTCATAGTCGATACCATACTGCTGGGTGTAGCCTTTGGCTACCAAACGTGCCTTGTAGCGCTCGATAGATCCATCAGAGTTAGTTTTGATTCTGAATACCCACTTGCAGCCAATAGGTTTCTTGCCAGGGGGAAGATCAACCATATCCCACGTATGGGTTTTCTCCAAAGCCTGCAACTCCTCAGACATAGCCTGCCGCCACAACGGATCCGCATACGCCTCACGAAAGGACCTGGGCTCATGATGGGACAAGGTGGCAGAGAAGCAGTGATAATCAAGTAAGTGAGTAGGAAGGTGACTAACCCGAGTGGAGCGACGAGGGCCAGGATTAGGGGCTGAGATCGAAGTCGTGTCAGGCTCTGGTGGTGGTGATGTATCGGAGTCGAGAGCAAGAGTAGGCTCGGGGATCAGCTGCGGTTCAGGAGGCGCAACCGGGATAGCGTCAGGAGCGGGAGATGGAGACGGAGCCGTGTCACTGGAAGGGAATAGGGGTGGAGAGGACAAGGTAAAGAACGGAGACGAACGATCAAAGGGGACTCGGAAGTGAGACAAGGAAGAGAATTTGGTATCCTCCCAAAATGTGACATGACGAGAAATATGTAGCCTATTGGAAATAGGATCCCAACAACGATAACCCTTATGTTCTAACCCATAGCCCAGGAAGCAACACAGACGCGCGCGAGGTTCTAACTTAGTGCGCTCATGAGGAGGGAGGAGGACAAAACTGACACAACCGAAAGGGCGGAGAAGACTATAATCAGGGGTACGATTAAATAGTCTTTCAAAAGGACTGAAATTACCTAGGACAGAGGAAGGGACACAATTTATAGTGTGGACAGCGGTGAGTGCG